GAGTAGTAATATTTTTGTGGTTGATAGCATCAAATAGAATTTCCCTCATTGGTTAACACTCTAAATGATATTAATTTGAGACTCACAGGTTATAGGTTCAAGTCTTAGTGATGATGATTATGATGTCTTTATTATTTTTAGCTTAGTGTAACATATAAATTTATGAGAAAACTTAAATGAAAAATGTGACATGGAAAATTGTGGAGTTTCTTGAATCTTATATGGCGAAATGTTGTGCTCTAAAACATCCATAATATAAGTTATAGATAGATAGATAGATAGATAGATTTGTGTATTAATTAGTGTTGCCAATTAATTAAATTCCAACCGGACCGCCTCTCTCTAATGCAGTGAATTAAACAAATTAGGCAAATGTATCACTGCTGATCTCTTAATTTTTGTTTTGGAATAAAGATCAGTGTTGATCATCACTGGAAAAAGGGCATAAGAGGGCTGCTTTTGTTGTTTGGACATAATTTATCTTTTGGGACCCCTCCAAAAGGAATGGATAGGGAATTAGTAGGAGCAATATTTATTTTTTAAATGGGTGGGAGGCAATGTACCTATAAAAGAAAGTATTACATGGTCATTTATTGATTTTTTCTTTGGCGCAAATGAGTGTTATGTCCAAATGTTGTAAGTGTTTAACGTATATAATAATGGAATATATAGTCGATTTTCAACTTATTTCTTTGTTTGATCAATGTATAAATCAACAAATTTAGAAATTGAATTTGGTGGTGACAGATTGTCCTATCGATTGTAAATTTGTCCCATAGTTGAAAGCACATATAACATGTGACCGACATTCAAAATGCAATTGATTTTGTCACCCGTAAAGCTAAAACACAATACACCATTACAGATCCTTAGGGACTCCCGAGAAGAATGATTTGCAACCTTGCTATATGATTCTTATAATAAACTGAGGGGGTTGTCGAGAGGTCAACAACTTGGCTTCCCTTGTTTATGACAAGGTGAGACTTTTGTAGTTATAGAATTATTTGTTCATGTACTTTCCTGTTTTTTGACATAACATCAATACTAACAAGTACTTGAATGAAGTCTGAGAGTAAAAGATTTACATGGTATGTGTAATTAACCACTCAAGAAATAAGCTCGCTTTAGATAAACGAAAGAGAAAAACAATTTCATATCACCAGCTACTATCAAGGTGTGTGGTTCTACGCAACCAACATACATTAAACACTTATTGATAATCATTTTTCAAGTCAATGAAATTAGTCAAAATCTTCTTTACATTTTTTTGAATAAAATCTGCACATTGATTACTAGCTTATAGCACGGCCCGTTGGCCGAAAGAAAATGGTACGGATTTGGTAAATTGCAATCAACATAATGAATGTGTTGCGAGGTGTCCATATATATAACCAATGCATATCATTGATTGACATTCACCTAAGAAAAAAGTAATGATAAAGGCCTATGCTTTATTAGTTTGAAGAACACTATTTGAAATTTTTAACTTATATTGAAGTACGACAATAAAAAACCTATTTGCTTCAACTGGAAAGGAAACCATTGTGTACAAAATCATGGCTTGATACGAAGTGTGAATAACTCTAATGGAAGACCTAACAAAAGCTGGCTTCCCAAACCGTGACCATTTTGCCACCACTGAGTTCAGTCTATCACAAAGATCAACATCGTCCAATTGAAATGGACATGTGAGGTTTGGATTTGGGTTGCATAGTTAAGCAAATGAAAATTGACAAAAAAAAAATGACATTCTTTTTGGTTTGACCTTGCCTTTGATTTTGATTCCATCAGCAAGATGGAGAAACTTTATATAACCTGACTCTTGAAGTGAAACCAGCTTGGAAGAGAATCTAATATTGTCATTAGGAAACTCTTTTGAGACCGACTCCATAAGTTATTTCCTCTTGGTGCATCTAACTTCATGATATCAACAGCAAAAACTCACAGCCACGCTTGTGAAATTTGGATCCATCTCTTGAAGTAAAGTGACACAAACTCCCTTTCTTACTTCAATCCATCCTTGTTCTTGTATGACTTCGCAAAAACCAGTTCACTTGTGACATTTGAAACATTCACAGTTCTGCAATTCATTTCCAAAAGTTAATGACTTTAGTCAATAAACAACAACTTATACACATTACGTTTGTTTTGCTGCTTGCAGGAGATGTAGAATGGCCACCCGGCCAGCGGCCTTCTCATATTTGAGTGCCCTGCAGACAAATGAGGCATGTTTGTTCACCAAGCTGCACCCTACTACTCAGCCAGGTTTCAACCAACAATGTGCTTCAGGTAAAACCCTAAGCTAGACATGAAATCTTCATCCGAGTCACTATCACTGTATATTATGCATGGAGCAATTTTTGGTTCAAGTAAATTGAACAGACTAAAGTTTGAGCAAAGGTTCAGAAGCAGAAAAAAGTGACAAACATTAGTTCATTCTCGACTGAAGAAATATTAGCGTTATAATGTCTAATGAGACATAGAAAAATGAGGAGAATGCACATGAACACAAAGGCACAAAGACATGTAAATCAGAAATATATCATTTACCTCAGTGAGAAACTAAGTTGAATGAAGTCTTGGTTCTTTCCTACACTCTCTTGAATCCAAAAGGAAAAAAATGATCTTATCCCCTCTAGCATATCAGCAAGCGCTAACAGCCTAACAGCATCACTCAATGCTCTAGTTCATCAAAAGCAAGTGTCACCTACATAACAACTTGTTACTCGTCATTCACTCTTGGCTAATGATCTCACCTATGGTCAGTAACCTCTTGGGCGACCACACTGGAGTCAGCAAGTTATTGTCCCAACATGTAACTCCAGTACAGCTCAAGCAGCTTAACCGCTGCAGTTTCGGTTTCCTTGCTGACCAAAGAGAAGTCGAGCTTATCAAGATGGTAAGAGAAGAAAGAGAGTCTGGGGCTGCGTTACGTTGTGCACATCGAATGGCCAGAGATTTTACCCGATTGCACTCAAATGTATGATATCCACTCTGGATGAAAGTAGTTCCTTGTATACATTATTCTCGTGCGTAGCTTCCTGATGACGCTCTTCTTTCTCTTGGTTCTGAATTTGAAGCATCCCATTGTCAATTCTTATACAGGCAGCTTCACCAGTCTGTTGATGTTGTCCAGTTGAGACATTCAACATTAAGACCATGAAAAATAATTCACCAAGTCCAATTAAACATGGAAAGATGCATGGATTAAAAGACCCCAATACATATATCCAATATTGAAAAACAAAAGGTAGAAAGAGAACCTTGGCGATCTTTTTAGGTATTCATGCTCTCAATATCTTTGTTGTCTTTTCGCTTCTTTGTCAGACTAGAAAGATCCAACAAGTCCAGGAGGATAGTAATCACCAAATTATACCAATTAGGTAATCGTAACTCTGACTGAAGTTGGAAACTGTCAATGACACGAAGGCCCCAAGTGGTGGAATAGAACCGGGAATAGAAAATGTATTAGAATCACCAAGTGACTTGCAATCAACATACAAATGCTTTGAAGAACATATAACATTGACACCATACCAAAATACTATATAATCCATGTTGCTTTTCATAATTATGGCACAAAACCTAATGATATGGAAGTGGAATCAACATAAGCATTTAAATAGACAACTTCCCTGAATCTTAGGTAAACTGTAAAGTCACAACCAAGAGATTAAAATTGCGTAACAATAACCTTAATATGTGTTAACAGTATGTGATGGAGGATGCGAGTAAAAATACCAATTAAAATAGAAAACAAAGCTTAGGGACTCATGAGCACAGAAAACGAATGTAAAACTTGCATATAAATGGATGTTGCCTTTATAGTTTATTCCAAGCATACGTTCATCCCTGAAAAGTATGACACTAATGGACGATCATCTTCCTTTCTTGATCTAATCAAGTTAGCCATGTTTTAATGTTAGTTGCTTTGTATGAATGATAAATTCTTAATAGGTTTAATGGTGAATCATTAACAATAGAGCATCCTTATGAGAGAAGGTATAAATGGTGAATGATAATGCACTACTTTGAAGAGACAAAACACAGGTATGGTCATATTTTCCTTCCCTATATACAAAAAGCATACAGTAATGCTTCAGGAACACTTGCAAAATGTCAAATGGCAATTGTAATAGATTAAAACGGAGCAAGCCTAGTGTACAGATCAAGATAGAAATGCCAGTAATTCCCCATAACTTAATGAGTGGCTGAAAAGACACTAAAGTATGGATTCTAAACCAAGCATTCACGATTCCCTCAAATATAAATTGTGTATGCAGCCAAAGAAACTTCTGGTTATTTTACGCAAATTACCTTCGCCAGATGGACAACACTCGCTTGGCAAAAATGAATTTATGAAGTAATGCTTGCATATGTGATTACTAAAGAGATCTTGGGTTACTTGCGAAAATGATTTTGGTAACCTTCCCTGGGGTCCTGTTCGTGGAAACTCAACTCAATGTACGTATGAAGCGAAACATAACAAAAATTGCAAGGTAGTTTTGATAACTAATGGATCAGATCTCTAAATGAGGAAGAAAATGATGGTTTACGAATCAAAAACCACCTAGAGAGGACTTAAGTACGAAGAACACTAACAATTTCCAAGATATATATATGATAAAGAGGGGTCAAGATTATCGTGCTGAAATAATGCTTATCCTGCTATCTTACAGGGCATACAAAGAGCTTTAATGTCCAATTCCATAATCACATCATGCACACCAACCAGCCTATCAAAGAAGCACAAAGAGCTTATATGAGCAAACCACATAATCATAAATTAACTATTAGAAGATAAAAAGTGTTTTCAAGACAGACCATTACATTAACCCTCAATTAGAAGATGTCAGCTCCCAGCTTCTCAATGAGAGCACAACAGAATTATACATAGTGGGGATTGACTGATTTTTTCATGGCAGCTCCCATCTTCTCAACCCCTAGCTATGTAAAAATGTAAAATATAAAGAACTCAAGACCAAATAAAATACAACACAATTCAATAGATTACTGAGATAACATAATAAACAGAAAAGATGATAATTTGCAACAACTACTCTTCCAGACTTCCACCTGACTCACTTCTACTGTCACTCCAGGAATTGGCCAAGTGAAACCACTTCCTAAAGCGTAGTATAGTGGGTTTGGGTTTAAATGTCAACCCAGGTCCTAGATTTGATGACTACTCAGTGAATTCTTGTTATCTAGCAATGAAACTTTAATGCAAGCCTAAACTACCAAACAAACAAAGCAAGTAAACTATTGTATTCAGGTTAAGAGAGGTCACCCGGATATGGTTCCCCCTAGACTGCAGTTAAGCCGGATTGTAATCACCAAGTTCAGTTTCTATGATGGTTATACTGCGGAAGGTTCTGAAACAGCCTGAAGTCTCGACTAAAGGTCTTCAGACCCTCTCAATCTGAGTCTCTAGCAGGCGACTAACCTCCACCGGAGTAAACAGATTGAGGCCCTATGAACAAAACCTCCTTTACCGAAGTGAATATGGTACAGAATAGTGAGTTGGCTCCTCGACTAAAGTCACCAACTCCCTACCTTCAATCAAGGATGCTCTATCAACCTAGGCAGATATTCTCATTCTAGGTTAAAGCAGAAACAACAGGAATTTGATCAGGATTCAAGTCATTCAATCATTCAAACCTCAATCGAATATAATCAAATCATAGAATCAGTACTTGGGTTCATACAATCAAACCTAACATACAAATCTAGGGTTCTCCATACCCAGATGAATGGAAGAACTACTCCATGGAGAAAGAAGCAAAAGCAGAATCAGACGCGGAATTCATACTGTGAAGGATGGATTCCTGCTCCTGGACGTTGATCGGCACTTCTCCAAGCTCAAGCTGGCCTCCAATGGTGATGAAGATCAGGCTAGGGCACTTGGAGACTCTTGTTCGTCACTTTCTCTCTCTAGGGCACTTGGCGGACACGGCCGTGCTTTCAGCCCGTGTTTGCAGCTTGAATTTGCCAAACTCAATTAGCAATCAGCAGTAAAAGCAAGGCCACAGAACACGGCCGTGTTCTGTTTTAGGTGTGCCCGTGTTTTGGCTCCAGCTCGACGAAATGACTTTCGAATGCCCCGAAACTCGTGCTTAGCCTTTCCTTTGATGCCTGGGACCTGAAATATGACAAAGTAGCACAACCCGGCGTAAAATATGCCAAAAATACACGACTATGCCCCTCAAACGGATAAGAACTAGGGGTGCAAATATGTGCAATTACATCGTTATCAAATTCCCCCACACTTAACCGTTTGCTTGTCCCCAAGCAAACCTAACTCAAACAAATGCAACTCTCCAGACCTCTATAGCAACAAACAACCCAGATCGTAGGTAGAGGACTTCCTAGATCATTTAGCAACTTACGAGGTCAACCGACGCACAAGTCATCTCATAGCTTCTTCGGCGAGAACACTAGTATCGAGTCGGCATCATGGCAAATAGTGAACAGAGGACAAATGAATTGTGGATGAAGAGATTCTCAAAAACAAAGGATCATGGACTCACATTTTTCAAGGTGCTCTATTTTCTTCTTGAAGATGGTTGGAACCCCTTTTCTTTCTGTTTTGCTTGTTTTCTGTTATTTTTTCTTTTCTTTTTTTCAAGGGTCCCAACCTGCTTTTCAGAAAATGGGGGCTCCCACCTAGCAGAGGTTTTGCGGGAGCCCGGCTCTTACCGGCCATGCCAGGAGCGGGTGTCTCGAGCCTCGTGCGGGGTAAAGACATGTAAGGGGGCTGGAGGTAGTAGGTGGAAATTGGGAACGGATTCCCGTCTCCCCTTACACACTTTCGCCCTATTCGCACGGGAGACGTTATTTTGAAGCACATTTTCAAGCACTTGTTAAACTCAAAACATGAAACAAGAGTCCATGACAGGTAGAGAGTCCACATTACCACACAATTCAAGGGTCCTAAGATCACTAATTCACTCAATCAACCAACACAATATGAAGAAGAAATGAGACTTCTTAAATGCATCAACATCCTCCATAGTGTTACACTACCTCCCTAGGTTGCATATTACTATAGAGACTGTCAATTCAAAGCATACTGAGCAGGCAATTGCACGGAAACACGTACTTGGAGCCCTCAAATTTAAAAATTTGGACAGTGGACTAGGCTCCAAGCACACAAACAGATCTAATGCAGTCAAAAGATTAACATCCCCCCACACTTAAGATCGACATTGCCCTCAATGGAGAAGAGGGAAGGAAAAGGGGAACGATGTTACCGGTATGCACGGACTGCAGGAGACTGGAAGCGGACCAGTCGGAGTAAAGTGGACTGGATAGAGGACCAGTCAAGACAAGCACAGCTAAAGGAAACCAAAGAGCTCAAACACAATATGTTAGGTCCAATGGCCAGTCCAATAATACATCATCCAAAACAAAAGAAAACAAACCAAAACCAAAGACTCAAAACACAAGAAAGAAAGTCAAACCGTGGTGGGGTTGCCTCCCCACAAGCGCTTCTTTACCGTCTTTTAGCTGGACACCCATGGTGGATACTCAGGGAGGTGCAGGAACAGGTGCCTCCACGAGCGGATCCACGTCGCTCTTGAGGTACACCTTCAGGTTGTGGCCTTGCACCCGACGGATGCGACCACCCTCATCGGTCAACTCGACCTGGCCATCTGGTAAGATGCAGGCGAGTGAGTACCCGGACGGCCAGGGTGGTCGTGGTGCAAGAGGTGGGACCAGCTCATAGTGGTCTCCACCCTTCTTCCGTGCAGGTTTAGCAACCTGCTGCTTCGGCCGCCACTCCTCCTTGATCTTTTTGTTCGGAGGCGAGACTGGATGGAGTGGTGGCGAAGGAATGATAGGAGGGTCCTGCAAAATAAGAGGTGCAGAAGGATACACGACAGGCTCGTGTACCTGATCAGAAATGGCATGCACAGGTGTGACAGCAATCATAGCACAGTGATCAAATTCAGTCACAGAAAAAGTAGCATGTTCATTCCCAGCACGCAAGATCAGTTTACCATCATGAACATCAATAAGTGCCTTGGCGGTGGCAAGAAATGGTCTACCCAGAATCAAAGGCACATCCACATCCTCATGTATATCAAGAATAACAAAATCAACAAGATATGTGAATGCACCTACATTAACCAGCAGATCCTCTATGATTCCCCTAGGATGCACAATGGAACGATCAGCTAGCTGAATGCTCATCCTAGTAGGGCTAAGTTCACCTAGGTCTAGCTTTTTATACAACTTATATGGCATGACATTTATGCTAGCGCCTAGGTCCTCCAGGGACTTGCCTACATGCATGCTGCCAATAGTAAGAGGGATAGTAAAACTCCCTGGATCCTTGCGCTTTTCGGGCAGCTTGTTCTGTAGGATAGCAGAACACTCCTCGCTCAGCAACACTGTCGAGAGATCCCCAAGTTTCTTCTTGTTGGTGAGGAGATCTTTCATGAACTTGGCATACTTGGGCATCTTCGACAGTGCCTCCACGAACGGTATGTTGATGTTGAGCTGCTTCAACATTGCCATAAACTTGGCAAACTCAGTCTCCAACTTGTCTTTGTGTAGGCGAGTGGGGAAGGGAAGCTGGGGTACATGCTCCTTAACCACTGGTTGTGGCTTGGGAGCAGGGGCTTCCTTCTCCACCCGCACTTCTGCATCGTCGACTGGAAGTGCTGAAGCAGGTAGAAGTTCCTCCTGTCTGGCCGGGACAGGATCAGTAGATATGGTCTTACCGCTCCTGGTAAAAATGGCATCCAGCTGCTGGAGCTGGTGAGGATCCCGAGGATTCGGGATAGTGGTGGCAGGCAGAGTCCCCGGTGCCCTGGTAGTGTTTTGGCGGGCCAAGATGCCCACCTGGGTCTTCAGATCTTGCAAAATGGCACCCTGGTTCCACTGACCTGCCTCCAGTGACGTGATAGCAGCCTAAGTGCTAGTCATGAATGAAGCTAGAATATTTTCCAGCTTTGTCATCCTGTCATCTGGGGCAGGGGCTGCTGCTGGCTCGACAAACGGATGCTGGGGCTGCTGGAATGGTTGCCCCTGCCTAGGCTGGTAGGGCTGCTGCTGTGGGGCTGGCCCCTGTCGAGCCTGGAAGGGCTGCCTCTGCTGAAAACCACCTGCTGGTGCTGGGAAACCAGGTGGTTTAGTGGTGTTGCTGCTCCAGGAAAAGTTGGGATGCTGGCGCCACCCCTCATTATATGTGTTGCTGTACGGGTCGAGGCGCCGAGCATTGGCGATGAAGTCCAACTGCTCTTGGGGAGTGGTAGACTCCCTCATAGCCTGGCAGTCCTCCACTAGGTGATTGGAGCTCTCGCACCACTGACATTGAGCTACTGGAGGTGTAGCCAAACCTCTGCCCGGAATCAGACTGTTGGGCTACTTCAATGTCTGCACTAGCTCAGCTACCTGCTGCTCGAGCCCGGATCTGGTCTCCATGGCGTGCACACCACGGTCCCGGGAATGTCTGCCTCTGCTGCTCTGTCCCCAAGAATGATCTCTGGCAGCCAAGGTATTGATCATCTGGTTCAGCTCGGGTGGAGTCTTAGTAAGAATATCCCCTCCTGGGCATAGAGACCCAATCACCCTCTGGCTATCTGGGGAGAGAGCACTGTAGAAGTTCCCCACTGTGAATGCATCACTGAAGCCATGATGGGGACACTGCCAGAAATATCCCATGTACCGCTCCCATGCATCACGAAGTCACTCATCTGGCTCTTGGCAGAAGTGAGTGATCTCCCGCTGGATCTCTGTAGTCTTTGATGCCGGATAGTACCTGTGCACGAATTTGTCAGCCAGATCGTCCCAAGAGGTGATGGACAATGGGGGCTGGGTCTCCAACCACCTCTTCACATTCCCCGCCAGAGAATGGGGGAAGAGATGAAGGCGGATTGCATCATCAGGGACACCATTCAGCTTGAACCCGTTCGTCAGCTGCAGAAAACGGGAAAGATGCACCCTGGCCTCCTCATCCTTCAAGCCATGGAACTGGATAGAGGATGTAATGAGCTGAATCCAGCATGGCTTGATCTCGAAGTTGTTTGCTGGAATAGGCGGGTAGATGATGACCGGGCGGATGTCAGCAATCCGCGGAGTGTAGTAGTACTCCAAGGTGGGACCCAGCGGCGGGTGATGATGATGAACCCCATGATCCTGGGGTATGGGGTTGTTCCCCAGGACCTGATTCACCGAGGTAACCTGCTAAGGGTTCCCCTGGTGCTGATTGTAGTCTCCGTCCATCCCGTACTCTTCCTCAGAATGGCTGCTTAGGTGGCCGTCTATGCGCTCCTCCGTAGCCAGTCTAGCTCGCTGTTATCTCCTGAGCTGGCGACAGGTGAGGTCAATCTCTGGATTCAACGGCAGTAAACCTCTTGACTAGCTACGGGTCATGCACTACCTGCACACACTCAAGCAAGCAAACCCGTGAAGGCACAAGTGGGACAAAGCAAACAAAGCGAAAAGAAAAGCTAAATTAACAGAAATCACTTTTCTTCAACAACCTAGCCGTCCCCGGCAACGGCGCCAAAAACTTGACTCACTTCTACTGTCACTCCAGGAATTGGCCAAGTGAAACCACTTCCTAAAGCGTAGTATAGCGGGTTTGGGTTTAAATGTCAACCCGGGTCCTAGATTTGATGACTACTCAGTGAATTCTTGTTATTTAGCAATGAAACTTTAATGCAAGTCTAAACTACCAAACAAACAAAGCAAGTAAACTGTTGTATTCAGGTTAAGAGAGGTCACCCGGATATGGTTTCCCCTAGACTGCAGTTAAGCCGGATTGTAATCACCAAGTTCAGTTTCTATGATAGTTATACTGCGGAAGGTTCTTAAACAGCCTGAAGTCTCGACTAAAGGTCTTCAGACCCTCTCAATCTGAGTCTCTAGCGGGCGACTAACCTCCACCGGAGTAAACAGATTGAGGCCCTATGAACAAAACCTCCATTACCGAAGTGAATCCGGTACAGAATAGTGAGTTGGCTCCTCGACTAAAGTCACCAACTCCCTACCTTCAATCAAGGATGCTCTATCAACCTAGGCAGATATTCTCATTCTAGGTTAAAGCATAAACAACAGGAATTTGATCAGGATTCAAGTCATTCAATCATTCAAACCTCAATCGAATATAATCAAATCATAGAATCGGTACTTGGGTTCATACAATCAAACCTAACATACAAATCTAGGGTTCTCCATACACAGATGAATGGGAGAACTACTCCATGGAGAAAGAAGCAAAAGCAGAATCAAACGCGGAATTCATACTGTGAAGGATGGATTCCTGCTCCTGGACGTTGATCGGCACTTCTCCAAGCTCAAGCTGGCCTCCAATGGTGATGAAGATCAAGCTAGGGCACTTGGAGACTCTTGTTCGTCACTTTCTCTCTCTAGGAATCGCTCTGTCTCTCTAAAACTCGAATCCCCTTCTGTTTTGGCTGAAATCTGCTTAAAAGGGCATCAGTGGCCAAAGCACGGTCGAGGGCACGGCCGTGCTTTGCCTCAGCCCGCCCGTGCTTTGGCTAGGGTTAATTACACGACCATTGTGTTGGTGCAAACACGGCCGTGCTTTTGAGAGGGCACGACCGTGCTTTGGCGGACACGGCCGTGCTTTCAGCCCGTGTTTGCAGCTTGAATTTGCCAAACTCAATTAGCTCTCGGCAGTAAAAGCACGGCCACAGAACACGGCCGTGTTCTGTTTTAGGTGTGCCCGTGTTTTGGCTCCAGCTCGACGAAATGACTTCCGAATGCCCCGAAACTCGTGCTTAGCCTTTCCTTTGACGCCTGGGACCTGAAATATGACAAAGTAGCACAACCCGGCGTAAAATAGGCCAAAAATACACGACTATGCCCCTCAAACGGATAAGAACTAGGGGTGCAAATATGTGCAATTACATCGTTATCACCACCCGTAAGGAACTTGAAAGTACAACCATTTGGCGCTGGACCTCTTGAAAAGTGAAGTTGATATCTAAGCATTGAGCATCAAATTTTTAAAAATAAAAAAAGCATCGAGAGAATAAGGGCTTGCACCTCGGATGAATAGTTTTGAAGCTTGTCCAACATAGACTAACTAGCGGAATGGGGGAAGAATGAATTCTGTTTCTTGGTCTTCGCCTCCATCAGGACTCAGGAGGTTTCTTTACCCACTTTGTCGAGAGAAGAGAGAAAGAAAGAGATGGAGAGCAGACAAAATATTAGACGATTTGGAAAAGCAATTGCCGGCAAGTTGTACGATACCCAATCGAAAGCACTCGACTGAGCAGTGGAATCATGAAGCGCACGAACTGAAATCACGAATTAGAAGCGGTTGCCCTGCAAGTATGGAGAATTGATGGACAGGAGTCAGTTTTTTTTGTAAAGAACGCAAACTAAATTTCCCTATTGATTAGAAGAGCGACTTCAAAGAAAGGAACCTCAGACGAACTCGACAATTTGAACCGCAGACCTGGACAGAACTGTGATTCCAAGAGGCGAGTCAGAAGTAATTAAATCCCGGATGAAGAATCGGTTACACGGCAAATATGGAGAACATTGGACAGAGACAGCGCGCTGACTGTTTTCGGCGGTGACGACAATGAACGGAGCGAGCGCTGATCGGACTGATGGAACAAAAAAATCACCAGGCCCGTTGAACGCCACAATATGATCCGATGTAATTTTCCGTTTCCGAAACTATCCCTCCGAGAAACGCTCCGGAGGCAACAAATTTGAAATGGGGAAGTTGTTTTCCCCTTCAACTTATTATAAGTAGAGTAGACTTAGGCTCTTGCGAATGATTGGCCACGGGCTTTAAACACTTGTCCCCGCCGCTCAGCCTAGCCCATCTCAACTAAGGGTAACGGAAGGCTGAATCGTCTACGCCTACGCTGTCAAGCCCAACCTAGCCCAGCCTTGCTTTGTAGCAACTAGCAAGTCGGGCAGTCAATAGATTCGAGAGGGCAGCAGATAGGGTCAGTAACCACTTGGTTACTGACATGTCAGTAATGAATAGGGACCATAGATCTAAGAGGTAGGCAATCGTGTGGTTGGGCCGGATGCTGAGTGGAGAAGGGTATTTTTGTCCGTTTATATATTAAATTCTTTATTTTATTTTATTTCGTATTTAATGGCTGCACTTTTAAAAAAGGAAAGAGAAATCACTTCTCTGCAACTTTCTATCTTCCTTCTCTCTTCCTTTTTCTCTCCCAATCTCTTTTCCGGATCCTCTCTCTTTCTCTCTTCCTTTTTCTCTCCCAATCTCTTTTCCAGATCCTCTCTCTTTCTCTCTTCCTTTTTCTCTCTCAATCTCATTTTTAGATCTAAATATGCTCCCTTCTCTTCTTCTTTATTTTTTTTCATGACGAATAAAAATTGGAGCCACTCTTTTTCATTGCATTTCTTCTCTTCATCATCTCATTGGCCTCAATTTCGATCTTTCTCATTTTTTTGGCATTTTGGTGTTCTTGATTGCGGAAGAGGAAATGAGAGGCGACACAAGACGATCTTTTTTCTCTACCTCTTTCTGTTTTTTTTTCTTTTAGATAATATATATTGATATTATAACTCTATACCATATGGTATTCGGTGGTAACGAAATATATATTGATATTACCACACTATACCATATGGTAATGTATGGTATTGTGTGGTAACGAACTATATATTGATATTACCACACTATACCATATGGTAATGTATGGTATTGTGTGGTAACGAATTATATATTGATATTACCACACTATACCATATGATATTGTATGGTATTGTGTGATATTACCACACTATACCATATGGTATTGGGTGGTAACGAAATATATATTGATATTACCACATTATACCATATGGTATTGGGTGGTAACGAAATATATATTGATATTACCACACTATACCATATGGTATTGGGTGGTAACGGAATATATATTGATATTACCATATTATACCATATGGTATTGGGTGGTAACGAAATATATATTGATATTACCACACTATACCATATGGTATTGGGTGGTAACGTAATATATATTGATGTGTTAAATTCTTTTCATACCATATGGTATGGTCAATACCAGTCAATACCATATGGTATAGACTGGTAATAACTGACAATTTTTTTTATGTCCAAAAAATATCAAAGTGGATATCATTTTGAAGAGCACAATTAATCTGATCTAACTGTGCAAAAAAAATTAAATTTCGACTTAAAACGAGTGAGAAATCGTCCGTTAAAGATTAAGGGAAGGAAAATTAAATGTTTTGCGAGGAGAGAGAAGGCGCTGATGTGATCCGGTCAAAAGTCAGCCTAAGCAATAAATAGGAAAAAATGTCATTTTACTGTACTGCCCTTTTCACATTTAATTTAAATAAAAAAGTGTCTGACACGTGGGGACCATAAAAGGGGGTTACTGATGGGTTACTGACCCATCAGTTACTGACCCGATCTGCACCCATTCGAGAGGGAATTGGGAAAGCCAAAGCCGAAGGAGATACAGACAAGGGAAGCAGAGCCACCGCGAGCGCAGACTCTCCCAGGGACCGGCTTCCACCGTCACGGACCCCCACCAGCGCCACCGGATCTCGTTCCTCTTCCTCTTCGTTCCGGTACCTTACTTCCGATTGTCGGACTTCGACTGCTTTCCGATCCCCTCGCTCGTTCCTGTTTCTATCCCGTGTAATTATCTGCTTGTTGGCCACCATCCAAAATTCCTCGCTTGCTTGCTTACTCGCTTCATTCCTTCACTTTCGATTGCTCCCGTGATTACCCTTTTTGCCGGAGGGTCCAGAAATTGATTTTCCCTTGCCGATACCCCTCGCTGTGAGCTCCGAAGTTTGTGAACCGCTGCTGTATTGCTTGAGTTGGGTCTCCTCTTGCAAGTCTCGCCACCAATATCCGTTCTTAACCTCTTCCTCATGTTCTTCCATTTGCATTACAGGGATTCCCTGCTCCTATGGATCACAGGTGGCACAACAGCAAACAGGAAAGTATCCCCAGAGATAAGCGCCATCTCGATGCAGACCAGGTGACCTGCTTTTTGATAGATGATATTTACATCAATGAACTAGTGAATGTATTAGTTTCGTCTTTGTTGCTAACTAATGGTCTTTGGGAGTGGTTGGTGCGTGGGTTATGCAGTGCCTTCATGGAGTTCAGTAGAATTTTATCTAATTGTCATTTTCTTCTTGATGCTTATCAGGAATCTGTGATTGAAGACCTGGCGGGGGGCTTCTTCTTACCCATTAACCACAGACCCACAGAGAATGTGGATCTGGAAAATGTCGAACAAGCATCACTCGAAACCAAGCTGACAGCATCTAATGTTGGTTTCAGACTTCTTCAGAAGATGGGATGGAAAGGAAAAGGACTCGGGAAGAACGAGCAAGGTATGCTTTACTCTACCTCCCTAAATATCATGTCTTGCTAGATCATGCATGCTCCTCAAATATGCTGAAAAGCAAGTGCACTTTTTATCATTCTTGCTTCATCTCGGGTTTCGGCTTCAGTTTATATATATATATATATAATGTTCAGTTTCCTAGTTCTTAATGCTCTAAAAACCATCTGTTGGACAGGTTGTATCTAGTTAACCTTTGAAATTGGTGGCATTGTCTGTCATGGATTGCTTAGTTTAGGATTCTTGCCTTCTATCTTTCATTGGTTTGTGATAGTTGCAAATTGATTTATTGAGTCATGTATGGACAGCTTGTGCTTTGGTTACTTGAATAGATGAACATACGGGTATATATGTTTTTAGTGGCTCTTTTTAGACTGTAGAACTCGCCTACCTTCTCCCTTGTCTTTGGAGGCAATAATGAGGTTTTCCTGTGTTTAGCTCTATGCTCCAATGTTAGTGCACTCTTGAGAGATAAAAGAGGGAACATTGATTTCTTAATTCAGGTAGTTGCTCTTGCTCTTGTGTATTTGGAACTATGTGTGTAGGTTAAACTGATTTCTTAATTCGGTATGCATTCAGGAATTGTTGAGCCAATCAAATCAGGAATTAGAGATCCAAAGTTAGGGATTGGAAAGCAAGAGGAGGATGACTTTTTCACTGCTGAAGAAAATATTCAACGCAAAAAGCTTGAGATTGAAGTTGAGGAAACTGAAGAGCATGCAAAGAAGCGTGAGGTATGCCTGGTTTTTATCTAGTGAAGATATAACTCGTATGTACTTTTTTTTGCTCGTGTCAACCCAATCTAATATCAGAAGGCAGCATATATTACATATGCATGCCTTTTGACTGGAATTATATATCTTAGGGGAACATCAACTTTGGAAGATCTTGAGAATTTCCTGCAGTTTTTATTACTTGGTGGCTTCTACTCCCTGCTTCGTGCAAAATTATTAAAATTCAGGTGCTAGCAGAACGGGAACAGAAAATCCAAACCGAGGTGCAAGAAATCAGGAAGGTGTTCTATTGTGATCTATGCAAAAAGCAATACAAATTGGCTATGGAATTCGAGGTTCACCTTAGTTCATATGATCATAATCACCGGAAGGTATGCTGCTGCCTGTCTTTGATCGTGAAAAGAGCTCCTTGACTCGATATGTCTTCATCCAAAGTAAACAATCCCTTAAAATTTTGTTCTTCCAGAGATTTAAAGAAATGAGAGAGATGCATGGTAGTAGCAGTCGGGATGAACGACAAAAGCGAGAATTGCAGCGACAGGAAAAAGAAATGGCTAAGTTTGCTCAAATGTAAGTCATCACTGTCTTTTATTGTTTGGATGTTTGCTGAAAATTATCACTTGCTTTGGTAAAGGGCTATGGACAAGTCTTTCTCAGTAATCTGACTCTCTTCTTCTTGTAATTATTTTGGTTTGTGGACGCAATGCAGGGCAGATGCACATAAACAGCAGCAGCTTCAGCCAAAAGAGGAAGAATCTGGATCTTCAGCACAAGTTTCCAGTTCAGTGAAAACTACAACACCGCTCGTTGATCAAGATCAGCGCAAGGCATTGAAATTCGGGTTTGCCTCTAAAAGTGGCACTTTAAAGGTACAATTAATGTTCAGCAAGGAATTAAGTATGAAATGGGGGAACAAGTTTCATTTAGATTTTAGTTAAATGTCCGATTTTGTGCTGTCAGTCTGTAACTAATCGTGTGAAATTTGACAGAAGTCAACTCCTGCTAGTGTTGGTAAGAAGCCAAAAGTTGCTCTTGCCTCTGTTTTCAACGATGACAGTGAGGAAGAGCAGTGAGCATTGAGGAAGTCTGGCGATTCACATGTACCGGAGAACCACCTTTCGTTAGAAGAAGCGCACATTGTGTAGAAAAGAACACAGAACAGAACTGTCACTTAGTTCCTACTGATTTGGACTTATAGTAACTTGTTATGTGAGGAGTGGATGACGATGCTTTATGTTGGCAGTAGAAATGCTCCTGGAAAGAGTGGTCTTGTTTCTTGGTTATGTTGACAACGAGTAAATCGTGGTGCTAGAGACATAGCGTTATAAATTTGTAGGGATTATTGGGGAAATGGCATCATGTACAATGTACTTGCAGTTCATAGTTGTTTCAATGCTAGCTGGCACGGAGGGCCAAGTAACCATGGGATGTCAAACACAATAAGGGCCATACAATCGAGATCAAATGTGGCATCAGCCCTTCTGGTTCTCCACTGCTATATATTGTTATTATTCTTTACATGAACCGTACATCTCGTGCTAGCTCGTGGAGGTAGAATGCAGCTGCATATGTTACACCAGCGACACCATTCCGTGATACCGAGATGATGATCTCTTAGTTATGCAGCTTCAGCAAAACCCAGTTGGAGGTTACCAGAGTCGAACACCGTGTGATACACACCCATGAACACATCTCCAAGAACCCTGCAATTAGAGAGCTCAGCTCTTGCAACACTTCCATTCCAAATATCATAAATACATCTAAGCATTACGTACCACAAAGGACCTTGAGGAGGTGGGACGTCAAAAACCATGAACCCACTGACGCAGATCTCTGAAATGCCTTCCCCGATCTTCAGAACGTACTGCACATTTTGCAAGCAAACAATCAATGAATGATGGGCTGCTGTAATCCAGTCATATGTGACTTGGAACACTCTTTACTTGTCAAGAAAAACAAATCCGTACCTGCTCCGGAGTGAGGCTGAAGAGTTTGTCCCCAATTGTCAAAGAGACGTTGGGCATGGTTGGAAGGTTGTTGCAATCAACTATGGACTCTCCAGATGGACTCGGCAGCTTCTCACACAGCTGTTAGGAGGGGGAAAACGATTCAGCCTCAAGGATGGAGTTATTTCTCGGAGTTAGCTCGCTAGACGCGTCACAAAGCTTACCTCGGCGACGTAGTTGAGGACTGCATTCTTTATCTCCTTGTGTTTGAGTTGGTTCCGGACCCAGATGACTAGCAGCTCACAAGCAGTGCACAGAAGGTCATTGTTAACTGATGCTCCCTCATTTTCCTTCACCACTTGCTCAATCTCAGAACTAACAAGTAATAACCATGCACACGCATAGATAGGCAACAGATCATGCATATAGTTACTAAGGATAAGGGTCAAAGTTGAACGTTTCATTCCATCACTAACTTATTAAAGTTCATTAATCATTACCTCACATACTGAGCCCCATTGAACATGCACACGCCAAGCTGTGAACATACTTGATCGGGTTTTACCTGATCAGAGGAATCATCCACTATAACAATTGCTCCATGAACCAACCCAGGCAGAGAGAAAGTGAGCCTGCATGTGTGTGTTTGTGTCTGAAAACTAACTCACCCCTAAAATCAAGAGATCCCATATCATGTCCCCAAACTGACTAACCACTTTCTTGCACTCTGCACTCACAACCCCTTCAGCACCAATGGCGTGATTGATCTCCGTGACAATACTCTCCAATGCATAATGAGTTCATCCATATTAGAAATCAAAAGCAAAAGGAGAAAAAACGGCACCACCAAATTTGATACATTTCGAGAAATAGCTGGGGTAAACATGTACTAACAGTTGGACCAGCAAGTAAGGATGTCCCAGAATCCACAATTGCACCACAACCCTCTTCACAAACGCCTAATGATTATGTCCGGAAACTTTGTTAAGACCCTTTTTAAAGCTCACCAAATCAGATAACAAGAGAGCAGCAGGGATAAATTAAGCTACTAACCTGTAGAGAGGTTTCCAATCAGGAAGTCCCCCATGTTTAACTGAAATGGAAGTCCAAAAGTAGAAAAAATTAGAGAGTGCAATGAGGTAAAGGGAGATCAAATGTAACCAAAGCAAGCTAAATTAACCCATCCCACCTGCCAGTAACCCTTTTGAATGACAGGGACATAAGTATGGTTTCCTTTGAAGTGCTTCGGATCACTGCCACCAAAAACTAGCTCGCCCCCCTCTAGCGCATTTGGATCTCGATTCAGCCAAAACGAGAACACTTCCTCTTTCACAAGACGTTGCTGCACCATGTTATACCTTAGCATAATACCCAGCATGAAAATGAGCATCATTTTGGAGAAGTTTAACCACGCTGGAAGATCACCATAAAATGGAAATACCAACCAGACAGGGACAGCATCCCCAACAGACATTTCCTGAAACCCAAGGCCAAGAATTCCATCAAACTTAGAAACCAGAAGGGAAATACTGCCTTCTCGGGTAGCCTCAATAAAAACCTGCAACATCAATAGATCAATTAGAGTAAGCACTCGGCCGTTAAGCTCAAGAGTTGCAAATAACCCTAAATCGGTCCAAATGACAATGCCTAGCCAGCTCTAGCTAGTAGATACCAAAATACTAACTTGATCCTCGACAAGAAGATCTCCAAGCTCAACGTTATCCTGACCCAAAACCCCAGATATTGATCCAGACCCATAGTTGATTTCACAAGATTCTCCTGTATTATACTGTGATAAGTTCATTAGAGTGGCCAGGAACATGAATGATTGAAACAACTTTAAGTTACTTGCCAATGAAACAATAAGGAAACTACCGTTGGTGTGGTATGTTGCTGAACGGGTAGAGTTGTACTTGGAGTGGAAATAGCATGGAATCTGCAACCGAGAAATACACAGAATCATTGATTAAGGTCATAGACAGATAGATGAAGCCTCATAGCAGAATGAAGATACATACAGAGAAGTAGCATTTGGAGGAGGGAACCCAGAGATTGGAGCTGCCGGTGTCAAAGACAACGGTGAATTGCTGGGGAGGGGTGCCGATCCCAATTTCTCCGAAGTACTGAGCATCGAAGTAATTCTTCAGAGGAAGAGCGCTAGCACCATTTCCACTATCACCGGCGGCGACGAGGGATGCTCGTCCTCCTGCCGCTGCCGCTGCCTTTGCCTTAACATCCTCAAGACGGAGAGGACGCTTCCTGAGGCTCAGTCTCACTAAGCCGCCGGCGTCAGCTGCACGAGCCTCAGTAGTTGGGAGATTGAAGTGTAAAGGTTCCAGGCAGCATGAGACGAGGACAACGATGGTTAAGGCCACCCACCCAACTCTTGTCTTGGACTCCATAGTTCTAGCAGAAGTAGCAGATTGTCAAGGGAAGGAGTGTTCGTGTCCTGGTTTTAATCGCCGGAAACGTGGAAAATAGAAGTTGGGACATTTACGTTGTCGCTTTTCATTGGCCTGAGTAGGGCAGAAAACTCGAAATTCCTGACATTTACCCCACCCATGGCCTACTGATTCGTAATGTTCACAAGCGCACAGTGGAAGACAATCCGGTCTCCTGCAGACTCTACGAGCCTCTATAATTTAACAATCATGCCCATAAAACAAGATTCCATAGTTGCTCTGTTTGTGCTAGTAAGATCCCACCAGTTTAGGAATCCAACAGAAAACAGGGGAAGGCGAAAAAAGCTTCAACCTTGCCGCTGGCTGTACAAGAAAAGTAGAGTTCAACTCTCCGTGGAAAAGAGACCTCCGGAGGAAATAGTTTTGGGAGGCTAAAGAACGGATTGGGTTTCCGAGAGCGGAGGCGCCACAAGCTTGGCGGTGGTGCTGGTAACCGAACCGTCATCGCCATCTCCAGAAACTGGTGGCTCAAGATAGGTTGCATAGGATCCAGATAAAGTGCAAACTCGATAACTAAACTAGCTTTGTACCCGGTCCGTTGGCCTGGTAAATTTTAAATGAAATGGTGTTTGGTTTATAGTTTCATTTTGCTAGAATTAACACTCAGCTGCTAGTTTAAACTGCAAGATTAACTAACAAATATCCTCAATTGTCCTCCAACTCTTGGTGGTTTCGGATGCTTTCTCTTTCCCGTCTCAAGTTCTCATTGTCTACTCTCACCCTCTCTCACTACCACACCATTAAAGATGTTGATCTAAGAACCTGAAAATCGTGTTACTAAATTGAAAGGGAACGTACGCATTTGAATGGTTAATATCCACATGGTATATTTTAGAAAATGAAACTCAAATAATGTAAATAAATGGATCTAGATATCTATCAACCAAATAAAGAAAACAGTGATGATATTAGTTACTTAAATATTAAATTTTTTAAAGCCAAGTATCTCCCAAAAAATGAATAGAAATTTTTTAAAGCATAGTTTAAAAAGAAATCAGCCCGGGGAAGGCAATTGTAACTAATAAAGTCTTAAATACAGAACTCCTCACAAACAAACAGAAAGAGAGAATATATAACCCCAAACAATAGGATACCAATCGAAATATGATCCCAACACAATGAAATATAATCATGCTTCATAGTTTCCATGAAAACCTGCTGAATATGTTCATAGCTATTAAAGGATGAAAGTAAACTGCTGAATGTCCATCTTTTAAAGGTAGAGCAGTAGCTATGATATATATAGTAATTAAGAGATCACCAGTCTTGTTTCATGTCATAGTGTTTTGGTCTTTTGATAAGAGGTTACTGATAGACAAAGATTAGCCTGAATCGGAGATGAGCTCACAGCTGCCTTTGTATGTTGAATAACATTTTGAGTCTCTAACAAACTGCATTATACAGTTTGACATTTTTATATTGATAAGAGACTCGCGCGGAAACTGATCAGGCGAAGAACATTAGAAGCCTTGCGAGACCAAAGGTAAAGGCCTGTAAGAAATTTATTGGGCTTTAAATCATGCACAGCAGGCCCTGTTATGAATTGATGTGATCAGAAAATCCAAATCATCAGTCTAAAGTGGCACGTTAATTAACATGTATGTATGCTTTATCTTTCTCTCTTTTTTCACTCGTTTCCTTTTATGATTGTTTCTTTCCTGTGATTTCAGGTTAGAAAGAAGATGGGAAAACAGCCGCGAACTCATAATAAGCATGCTGTGTTTTCAGTCTTTATATTCACACTGATGCATAGTCTTGTTACTGTTGTACGAATTTGACATGATCCCAGATGTGATATATACCTTAAACTAAAGTAGTATTCTTGATCAAGAATATGAACATGATGGGTTTCATTGACTGATGGTCATGGATGCTAGCAGAACGTAATAATCACAGGAAAGAGCAGAGGATGAAGTAGTCGACATCAATTGAGCTATGAAAGTCCGCGAAAATTAAGACGTAAGAACACCAAAAGCAATGAGAAGTTACATTTGACACACCTTTTAGAAGAAACTGTGGGCTCCAAAATCATGATCTATTGGATCTACAAATTTCTGGGTGAACAAATTACAGGACCAAAAAATACCATACAATACCACTCTGGTACGGGGTGGTATCTTGTGGTACACAATGTTAAAAGTCGTAAATGACAGTTAATATACTTCTACTATCATGTATTCAACCATCCTGCATTCTTGGTTTGTTCACACCATCATGGTACGCTTTTCAAACCATAAGTATGCTCTTATTTCAATACCATATGGTATAGACTGGTAAAAAATGACTCATTTTTTTTGTTCGAAAAATATATCAGAGCGAATATCATTTTGAAGAGCACCCTGGTACGGGGTGGTATCTTGTGGTACACAATGTTAAAAGTCGTAAATGATAATTAATATACTTCTACTATCATGTATTCAACCATCCTACAGTCTTGGTTTGTTCATACCATCATGGTACGCTTTTCAAACCATAAGTATGCTCTTATTTCAATACCATATGGTATAGGCTGGTAAAAAATGACTCAAATTTTTTTGTTCGAAAAGTATATCAGAGCGAATATCATTTTGAAGAGCACAATTAATCTGATCTAACTGTGCAGAAAAAAAATTCGACTTAAAACGAGTGAGAAATCGTCCGCCAAAGATTAAGGAGGGGAAAATTAAAGGCTTTCCAGGAGAGAGAGAGGGATGCTGATGTGGACGGGTTACTCATGGTCATAGTTAGTAAAATATGGTACGGAAAAGTTACCTATAAAAACCGATTTACTAATTATAGTAGGATTTACTCAGTATGTTAACCGCATACGTGATATCAGGTCGAGTGACCGTGAGATATAGTAGTCTCCCAACTAATCGTTTGTATTCTCATGGATCATGAGCAGTCTCCCAACTAATCGTTATATGATGATTTTGATCAATGGGAAAGAACAAGGCTTGACCCCAAGAGCACCAGAATCGTTGAGAAGGTCCAATGTATACTTTCTCTGCGACAATGAATCCCATGACGCGACCTCGCAACCTCGATACCCAGAAAGTATCCCAAAGGACCTAAATCTTTGATGTTGAACTCCTTCTTCAAGAACACTTTGACCCGTTCAATAACTTCCCAACTATCTCCCCCTAGTACTATATCATCGACATAGATGAGAGCGAAAATGAATACTCCATGCTTCCGATATAAGAACAAAGAGTGATAAACCCTTGAACAACTGAAACCAAACGATACAAGAGCCATGGTGAACTTTTTATACCAGTTCTGTGATGCCTAACGCAACTCGTACTCGTGTGTCCTCCGGTCGAGCAAAACCATCAGGAACGTGCATATAAACTTCTTCATCAAGATCTCTCTGAAGAAAAGCAGTGTTCACGTCCAACTGGTGAAGGAACCAAATGTGTTGTGCCGCAAGAGCTAAGACAAATAAATTTGCAACCGGCGCAAAAGTTTCATGAAAATCAATCCCCTCCTTTTGTGTGTACCCCTGTGCAACAAGACGAGCTTTGAACATTTCAATACTGCCATCGGGACGGTATGTAATATTAAATACCCACTTCGAACCAATAGTTTCTTTCACGGGGGCAAGTGTTGTAACTCCCATGTGTTGTTAGCAACAAGGGCATCAAACTCCTGCTGCATATCTTCTCACCAGCACGCGTGGATAACAGCTTCAGAAAACGTGCGAGGCTATACATGACGTGTAAGAGCAGCCGCTAATGCACGATAACTTGGGTGCATACACGAAGAAAGTAGGCTCGCTCTATCTAAATTAATCAAGCTCAAGTAGCGAGAGCTACCTAAAACGAGAGCGGTCCTTAGACACACGCCTCAAAAGGGTTGACTAAGGGATAATATGATCAGGTCGGTCAAATTTTGGGTTGAGGGCTAATCTTGTGCCTCCATCTTCCTCACTAACAACAACGTGAATGCTACACATCATGTAAAGGGTTATCTATCGCACAAGAACAAAACGAACGACACAAGTCTCACATGGCTACCTAGGTGCTCAATCATTCGTTCTAACTCCCTAAAAGGTTGCACACCATCCAGGGGTGGACCCATGTGGTAGAGAGGTGTGTCAAGCGACACACCTCCGCACTAATATTTTGTGAGAGACCCATGTTTTGTTGGTATAATTTTTTGGAATTTAGGACTTTCGACACACCTTGAATAATTGTTATCGACACACCTTTAATACACTACGATGAAATTAGTGTCATAAAGTTCCCAAAATCCGTAAATATATGTTATTTATTTTAAATTTTAGTTAACTTATGACAAATTTGGGGTTCTTTCCATTGCTTAAGCATTTAGATGCAAGGGTTTATTGCTCTTAGGTCTTAGGCATGGGTAATCGTAAGGAAGTTTTCTCTTTTTTTTCTCTACCTGAATAAGTTTCGTTTCTTCTTGATCCTTGTAGGTTTCACATAGTTGTCCACCTAGTGACAAAAAATGCTCTTTCATCGGGAGTCTGGTTGCATATGGACTACTATCTTATAAAAAAAACTCCAATGTTCCCTTTGCCTCTTTCGATCCCACTTCTCGTTGTGTTACACAGTAAAATATAATTAAAATTTATTTATTATTTTATTTAATTTTATCGACTGACACACCTTTACGAGAATCCTGGGTCCGCCACCATCACAAGCAAATTATCCATAGACAATACTAATAATGAGGAGATTCAAAACAACACAAGTGCCACTATGATCATGCAAATGTATAAGTTGTTATGCTTGGAGCCCTCAAATTTTTAAAAAAATTGGGCATACAACAAGGCTCCAAGTCTCAAAATCACACCAATCATTCACACACACAAGCATAAATAGGTGTCAAAACAGAACCCGACCCGACTAACCCGCCCAACTAACGTGACCCGCAACCCGAATTGACTAAAAGTCAATGACCCGCAACCCGCCCGACCCGTGACCCGATTAACCCGCAACCCGATTAACCCGAACCCGATTAAACTCGTAACCCGATTGACACGAACCCAATGGGCCCAAACCCGACTGACCCATAACTCGTCCGATTGACCCAAATAATTACTAAATTATATAAAATTTCAAAATGAAATTTGTTTGTTGTAAGACTAAGTAAAACTATTTTTTCATTATATAAATGAAGGTTCAGATAATGATATTAAGTTGAAATTATGTATTTTTAATAAAAGAAAGAAGAGAAAGAAATAAGGTGGAATTTTGATGTTTTGGTTTATAGGAAGAGAAAGAAGTGCGAAATTTTGGTGTTTTCAACTTTTTGGGGGAAAAAAGAGAGAAATTTAGTGCTTAAATTTTTTGAAAAAGAAAGAAGAGAGAGTTTTGGTGTTTTGGTTTATAGAAAGAGAAAGAAGTGGGAAATATTGGTGTTTTCAAATTTTTGGAGAAAAAAAAGAGAGGGAAATTTGATGTTTCAAATTTTGGGAAAAGAAAGAAAATGAAATTTTGGTGCTTTGATTTATAAGAAGAGAAAGAAGTGGAAAATTTTGATGTTTTCAACTTTTAGAGGAAAAAAGAAGAGAGAGATTTGGTGCTTCAAGTTTTGGTGATTTTGATTTATCGGAAGAGAAAATGGTGTGAAATTTTGATGTTTATTATTTATGGAAATATAAATTAGGGTACAATTTTGTATTTTCAGCTTCTTAAGAGAAATAAGAGAGACAATTTATCAAAATGTTTACATATGATGGTTTACGAGTTTATTAATTATCGATTTGATTATCACAATGTTTAAATATGATGATTTAGAAGCGTAACATTTAGTGACTAGCTAAAATATTGTCTACACTCTATAAAAAAAACCTTATTATAGCTTTTAGGCATGACTAATTTGATATAGTAGATTTGAGAACATGTAAAGAGTTATTCTATCTCAAATGCATATTATTTTACTTCACTCGCAACATCCTACTCGTTTCGCTTCACTCGCAACATATGAACGAAATTTCATAGGTTAAGGATGGCCTCAAGGCAGCACTAGAATTTAGGTTGAAAACTTAATCTTACTTACTAATTCTCCCACCTCATTTTCATTTAGGTGGGAAACTTCCCCCCTCATTTTGATATCTTCATCCCAACTTTTCACTTCCCCAATATTTACCTCTCCACCTTTCGTTCTTCTCATTCCCCCCAATTCGATCTACCAACGTTTTAATTCCTTTATTAGTAAGCCTGATTTCCATCTCTCATAAATTGTTGTTTTATAATATTAGTGTCTTGACTAGTAATATTAGTAAGCCTGAGATCCGGAAGAGCAAGGTCACGACCAAAACACCACCAAAATCTCTTCAAATTGTCATCTTATTGAATCAAAAAGAAATAAACCAATGGTGGTTGGGTTACTTCCCGCCAACCGCTTCTTTAACGTCGTGAGCCAGACGGTTGCTCTTCAAGTTTCAGTCTACCCAAGAACCTCCTTGAAGTTGAGGTTCTCGTCGGTTAGGTAATGTTTCAAGTCACAAGTTTTGGACGAATTCATGATTGAGGGCTTATGAACTTGATTTGTCATGAGGCTCCACCCACGAGACCTCTTCTTCTTTTATTCTTCTCCCTTCTGTTTGCCCCATACCATGTAGTGCAACCACGATCAACTTCCATCGCATCCACCAAGAGGGATCGCCGATGGTTTTGCTTTGGCTTGGCAAAGAGCCGCAAACAGGTCCTTCTCGAGTAGCGCATCAAGGTCGGGTGGAAAGCTTTTATAGCACTTGTAACTTGTAGAAGCTTCATCCACCTCGACCTCGTCCTCTTTTTGGACATCCTTGCATCTTCAACCTCAACCTCCCTTCCTTCTTCAAAATTTGATTCCTCCCCTTGGGAACAATCAAGATCTTCATTTTCTTTAATGCTCTCTTCCTCCTCTTCAACGCTCACCTCTTTCTCCTTTCCATTCATGTCTTCAAGTACGGTTTGGTGGGAAAGATGCCATGCAAGATCATATAAAGGATTATCCTGCTCCTCCACACTCGTGACTTGGTCTTCAAATTTTCTCTTGAGAAGGGAAAAAGTGACGAGAGTCGTCAATGCAACATTCTTGTTCATCCTCACCACGGGAGCTCTCCGAGGTGAGTTCGTCTTGCCCCACACGCTTGTCATTGATTAATCCTTCAACCTCCTCTTTCTCTTTAATTGATGAGAAGCGATAGCTTGGCTCGTGTCACCTTCTCTTCAAGTGTCAAACCGGGTGGAGGGAGAGGTTGGAAATCCGTGTTGGAGCTTGTTCTTTCAAATTTCTCCATGGAAAGCTCCAACTTAGACTTCACTTCGGGTTGGGGGAGATCCAAGTTCGAGCACCCTTCATCGGTTCCTCGAGCAAACTGCTCCACCATGAGCTCCAATTGGCTCTCTGGCTTCGGTTATGGAGTGGCAAATGGTCTTGAGGATTGTCCCATGAAAGTTTCCATTGCCAACTCCAACTTGGATTTCTCCTCGACTTGTGGTAGGAAATCTTCTTATGGGGAAGCCTCTTCATATCTCCATTGGTAGGAAGGTTGATCATAGAACCCGGTTCCTTGGCTTCCACCCTCTTGGTTGTCCCATGAAGCACCGGGGTACCCACTCTCGGCTGGTGGTGGATACCGCCATATGTTGTAGAAGCCATTGGGATCCATGATTCAACCTACAGTGACAAAAACACAAATATAAACCACCCTTCAAGTGAAGAGTTGATAAACAAAACTCTAAACAAAACACAAAATGCCTAAAGTAAAGACCTAAGCCTTCTCCAAATAACCTAGAATGGCTCCCCGACAACGGTGACAAAAACTTGACTCGTTCCAACTTCCAACTACAACATCTCGATCGATGGACAAGCATAACCGGCAACCGGGTGTATCATAGGACAAGCAAGAAATCATGATTTATCGTACCACGTGGATATGGGCTTACCCTACTTCAGGTTTAGTGTTTGGTATCTAGGCAACCTAGGATAGCGATTAGGAAAACTAAACTAACTAACCTAGACTAACCACTAATCTAGATATTTACAAGGTGTAGGAGCTCTCTTGGGTTAAATCCTCATATTTCTGTCCTTTGGATCGTTGTTGAGTATCCTCCTAGCTTAATCAACTCAAATACTCTATTGTTAGGAGATGGACTCCCTCGGGAATGACCCAGAACGACGAATCGATGAATGAGGTATGCTTTATTCAACCAAGATCAACCCTATATCGTAGGATATTGATGGAATCGACTCCCTCGGAAATTAACCGGAAGATATAAGGTGAGTAGTGACCCAAAGATGCCAAGAATGGGCTCTAAGGGGATTTTCTCCCTCCTAGGTCAAAAGCTTGATGCATGAAAATGGAAACCAAACTCATGTCATTCATGAAACCTTCCATCAATTAAGTAAAATCATCAATCAAACATGGAATTTGTCACATACATCAACAATGAAACAAAATATAGACCTAGGGTTCTTAAACCCAAGAGAAGAGGGTGAGTTTCTAGAGAGAGAAGAGATCAATTACAAATTGGAGCCCAATATTTCTTCTTCTTCTAGGCTTGATTCCTTGATTCCAAGCTTGATCAATTCCTTCAATTAAGCTCCAAGATCACTCAATAACTCTCTCTCTCTCTCTAGAACTCCCCTTCGGTGTTTTGCGTCGAAACCCTAGAGAAGGAAACTAATTCCTCTCCAAAAACCAGCTCTCATTTATCTCTCCCCGCTGTTGTCATTATATTTGCCCGAAAGTGCCCAATTCACGGTGTGGGGCTTCAGTTCACGGTCATAGCGACCGTGAACTGACTTGAGTCCAGTGAGACGCGAAACAGCTCTAGAAATTGGCCACTTCACGGTCTGGGGCTGATTATCACGGTCTTAGGACCGTGATAAATGAGTCCAGACTGTGAAGTCATGCACTTCACTCCCTAGGGGTGATTTTCACGTTCTAAGGGTGTGACATTTGCCTCCAGCCCGTGAATAGTGCTCAGCCTCCACTTTTTGGCTCGTTTTGACCTCCGAATGACTCGAAACTCGTCTCGGACCTACCCACACGTGCTATGACCTGAAATATAACAAGACAAACTCAACCTAGCGTAAAAGAGGTCAAGGGACGATGAATATGAAGTCAAACAATCAAGAAATGAGGGCTAAAATATGTGTAATGGAGCCTGAATCAACGACCCCATTCTATTTCGGCGTATCAGTACACGAGGTTTGTATCACAATCCCCTCACTCTCGTAGTACTTTTTAAGAACATTAGTTTGAAACTGCATAACATTATCCGCCTATAACGAACAACCGAAGAACTATATTGACGTTTAGCCTGTTGACAAAACATCATCAAACAGCCAGCAACTTCCGACTTGTATCATAGAAGTTATACCCAGACAACACGTGAAAAGTCATCCACTAGAGTAAGAAAATAATGTGCACCACTCAACGACGGGTCCTTAGAGCCACCCCAAATATCAACATGAATCAACTAAAAAGGATGCGAAGTCTTAATAGAGCTGAACGGGAAAGGACTACGTGTATATTTAGCTCGTAAACAAGAGGAGCAACAATCCATAATAGACTGTTTAGAACTCAAAACAAAAGGCAACAATGACAACTTCTCCATGGATGGATGACCCAAGCGAGCATGTCATAGCAAAGCTGATGAACGATACTCTCGAGTGGCGGCATGGACAACAACTTCCCTTACGTCATCAAATTAGCGAAGATAATATAAATCATAACGTTGTTGGCCCATACCAATCATCTTCTTGCAACACAAGTCCTGTAGAATGCAGAAATCATGAAGGAAGATCAGAGCGATGGGAAACTCTTTAGTGAGCCAACTGATCCATAATAGATTACACTTGAACTCCGCAACCAACAAAACACGGGGCAAAATCATCCCGTTACTCATGCACATTGACCCAACTTGAGCAAACATTAACCGAGACTCCAATAGGAATCCCAACCCGCAGATTAGACGGTTGATAAACATAAGAAAGAAGAGACACATCATGAACGATGTGCTCATTACAACCGGAATCCAAAACCCACGAAGAAGAATACGAGAAAATACTGCTAAGCTTGGTTGCTGAAGCTTCCAGCATGAATGAAGACTCGACCAAGAAATCCCTGAGCTGCTCCAGCTGGGACATGCTTAGTCCGGCGACCAGACTCTCACCAACCTCTACAACAGCTTCGTTAGGGGTCGTCTTCAGGTGATCCGACCCTTTCTTCCTCCCCGCGCCGTCCGGTTTAGAAGGCGGACGATCAAGCCACCCAATAAGGTCGAAACATCGATCCTTAAGATGGCAAGTTTTCCCACAATGTGTGCACTTATGACGACCATGACCATCAGAAGTAGACTCCATTAGCCATATCATCACGAACAAGGAAGGCGGCAGCTTCAGGACTAGGACGATTACTAACCGCAAAACGACGTTGATGAGCATCATTCAAAACAAGTTGGTAAGCTTCCGATAATGTGGGCAGTGTCTTCATAGAGAGAACTTAATTCTTGACGGTGGAGAAGGAATCATCAAGCCCCATCAGAAAGTCATAGAGGCGAAACTTTTCCTCACGCTCCTGATTCTTACGTTCAGTGCCACAAGAACACTGACCACACATACAAGAGTGAAGCAGAGCCATGGACTGTACCTCATACCATAGATTACACAGTTGATTATAGAATGCGGGGACAATTAACTTTTCTTGGGGAAGGCGACTAATACGACGATGGAGCTCCTATACCCGCGGAGCACTACTCTGAGCAAAATGCTCCTTCAAATCAACCCAAACTTCTTTGGTGGTGTGAGCATAACGAGTACCACAACAAACTTGCTTATCCATGGCCGAGGCCAGCCACCCCTTAACCATGGCATTGGCACGACGCCAACTTCGCAGTTCAAGTGGATCGATAGTTGTCTAGAAAGAACCATCAACAAACCCTAACTTATTCTTAGCAAGCAAGGCGTTGGTCATATCATGAATCCAATCAATATAATTAACCTCGTTCAACAATTCACCTACCATATTAGGACTATCGGATTGACTGATGAAATACGATGAGGTGAGATCGTTGTCAAGCTTCGAAGAACCACCAGATGACCCGATGGGTGCCTTGTCGGACGCAGTCTCCTTCTTCTCATCGTCGCTCATCATGAACTAACAAATTGACGATCTTGATAGCTCTCATACCATGTAAAATAAATAGAATGCGAAAAACGGAATAACACGATCGATTTACGTGATATCCTCGCTCGATGTGAACGAGACTAATCCACGAAAAGCTCCACAGGAGCTTCTCGACTGAACTTTTATTAATCAACTCACACACTCAACTTACTTGCTACAGCAACATACAAGGAAAATAAATATACCTCAAGCCCTAACCCATACATCAATTACACCTAGGGTTCGGGTTAGGTAAAACTTCAGTTTACTACCACCAACAATAACTAATAACAATTAAGTCCAGCACTAAGTCATCATATAAACCGCAACACTGATGTCCATCGAATAAAACTCTCACAGCAGTGGACTATATGGTTCTCCGTATAGGGGGGCAACAAGATGGATCTAAATTAAAATATCAATTTACCATTGGGTTTGTTGGTTACCGTGGTAACTATATTAACCGGCAGTGTTCGGTTAATTTTGATAATTGGTTTGGTTTGGTTAAACGATTTAGTTTATTTGGTTTAGGTGGTTTGGTTTGGTTTCAACACTGCTAACCAATGAAACCAATTAACCAATTAATGATACACCTAATATACAAAATTATTTATACTTACTTTCGTGATTCCCTATTTTATTTCCATGTGCACAACAAACCAAAGCATTATGGGTAAAAAATTAAATGTGCATCCTATTTACTAAACCAAAACATTTTGGGCAGCTACTAGACTTTATTATTACGTACAATACCGTGAAAGCCACCTCAAACTATGTATAGTTTAAGTGTTTTGTAGGAGAGCTTATATATAATGAATCATGGATGGTTAGCCATATTATTATTGTTTATATATAATGAATAGTTTATGATACTAATAATATATGGTTATATTTTATTCATTAACAAGATAATTATTTTCATGTAAAGTTATGTTATTTGGTTAATCCGATTAACCAAACCAATTAAACTTTGGTTTGGTTAATTTGGTTTTCATGTTAATTTGGACGGTTTGGTTAAGATATTTTATTCCATGGTTAATGAAATTTAGACGTAATTAGTTTGGTTATTATCACGGTAACCATTTGAACACCCCTAAGTTTGTTAATAAATATTCACTTGTCAATAAAAACTTAGCATCGGCTTCAAGCATCAGTTTGTTTCGTACACTCTAATTCAAGCAATACTAGTGTTCAAGTGTGGGATTCATATTCGTCATAGGAATCACATCACAAGCTAATATTGTCAATAATCAATTGATCTCAATTATTAGAGTTGTTGAAAATATTCAATTATGAATCCTATTCCATTTACTAACAAATCTTAGACATACTACATTAACATTAAACCCCCATGGCACTTTTTAAAGACACTTAGATTTCGTCGTTTCGTGCCAATATCAATCTTTTATCGTTGACGTGTAAATAGTCAAAGAAAATTATAGGTGGTTACTAACTTTAATCTTAGGACGCCAACATGTGGACAATAACACCGAAATGTTAAATTAACATCAGTCCTCTAGTATAAATAAAAAAGGCAAAATTCACTTCCATATCCATAACTTTGCACTTTGTGACAAATATAGCCAAATTCGGAGAAATACACAGAAATAGCCATTCCATCCAATAATGTAACAGAAAACATAACGCATGCTGACTAGACAAACGAACCCAAATGGCCGCGTTCAATTTGGTCTACGTGTATGCCAACGTGGAAATGAATTTATTATTTTTCATTAATTAGTTTTTACCCTACTTTACCAAATTTTCATCCTTTCGCAGACCCCCCCCCCCCCTTCGTTCTTTCACCCTACCCAGCAGAACCCTAAATCTCCACCCCCCACTCTCGATTCTCTTCGCCGGTGACTGTGAATTGACCAACACAGTCATCCGGTCATCTCGCCTTGGTCGACGTGTCCTCTCGCCTCATTGATCTGGTCATCGAACTTCCCTCCATACCCATCTCAATTGACGAACACAGAGGTGGTGACTCGCCATCAACCAGCTTAATAGCAAGATCCGGCGTCGCTTCCAGTCGTCGACGGCGAAGAGGATAAGGGGACGAAGCTCGAACTATCGATTCCGGTAAAAAAATCCAGAGACGAAGCTCGAACCCTAATCTGTTATCGGTAAGTAATCCTCGCCTCTTCCTCTGCCCCTCGATTCTGTCGAGGGTTGACACTTCAGAGGGATGTGAGATGCCGAGGGATGGGAGAATCAGAGGGATGGATGGGAGATGCGGGTTCACACTGCGAGTCGAGGAAGATGGAAGCCGATTTCGGAATCACACCCACGGCGTCGAGGGATGGGAGAATCGGAATCACACCCACGGCGTCGAGGGTTTTCGCCGGATTGACACTGCCGCTGCGAGGAAGATGGAAGCCGATTTCGGCTTTTTCTGGGAGGAGGGAAGATGAAATCGAAAATCAGATGGAGGAGAAGTAGCTGGAAGATCGGCTAGGTTTAATTGCCCCAAACGATTCTCTCCTCCGGATGACGTGGCGCTTTGGTGGCAAATTCAGTCCTGTTGGCGCCGACGTGGAGGTTGTAGGTTGGCCACGTCAGCTAAGCGAACATGTAATTAACGGCGTCCCTGACGTCGTCACATTTAAAAACGGAAATGGCTATTATTGTCAACGCATTTTCAAATTTTTGGCTATTTCTGTGTATTTCTCCGAATCTGGCTATATTTGTCACAAAGTGCAAAGTTATGGCTATGTAAGTGAATTTTGCCATAAAAAAAAACGTTGTGAATTAGCCCTAAAAACCAACTCCACCATACCCACACCGACTTATCTCATCTATCATAGTTAGCTGCAAACAAACACAACAATCATTATCTGTTTTTAGAACAATGCCATCAACATTCACAATCACAACACACTTTCATCTCGTTTTTACCCACCCATTTTATACCATTTCCCTTTTCAAACAGCTGGTTCTTGTTAGTGGGCGGAGTTTAGTGAAATTGGGTTGACAGCTACCGGCGATTAATTAACCATTTATCATTGGAATCCCTTTGTTAAGAGGATTGGACAAGGAGAAAGATTTATAAGCTTTGCCTTAAGATGTTATCTCATTTACCCCACCACTATAAAAGGTTTGATTTTTTATTTATTTTTGCTGCTATAACTTCACCTTGACCATGCTTCGTAGGCTTCGGACTGGGCTCAGGCCTCTCCACTCCGGGTCTCGCCCCAACTACCAAGCCCGCGTCTGCGTGATTGGGTCTCCGTTTAATTTATTATTATTTCATTCCGGGTCCGGATCCGAATCCGGCTGCTCCACGCCTTTACTTCCTCCTCCTCTCTCCCAAACCCAATCCCCATTATCCAATCTCGATCACGGCCGTCGTCGTCGTCGTCTCCATTTTCCCTACCACTTCCTCTCCACCCTCCCGGCCAACAGCAACAATCCAGCTATGAACGGCGACGCCTCCCACTCCAAGAAGAAGCCGAAGCTCTCCCCGCCCGAAATTTCCTCCGAATTCTCCCACCACGACCCAGCCGTCGCCCGCATCAACAACGGCAGCTTCGGCTGCTGCCCGCGATCCGTCACCGCCGCCCAGCGCGACTGGCAGCACCAGTTCCTCCGCCAGCCGGACAACTTCTTCCTCAACCTCCTCCAGCCGGCCATCTCCCGCTCCCGCTCCCTCGTCGCGTCCCTCGTCAACGCCCCCCACGTCGACCAGATCTCCCTCGTGGACAACGCCACCACCGCCGCCGCCATCTTCCTCCAGCACTGCGCCTGGTCCTTCGCCGAGGGCCGATTCTCCCCCGGCGACGCCGCCGTCATGCTCCACTACGCCTACGGCGCCGTGAAGAAATCCGTCGAAGCTTACATCACCCGAGCCGGAGGCCACGTCATCGAGGTCGATCTCCCCTTCCCCGTTAAATCCGAGGACGAAATCATCACCGAGTTCCGAAAAGCCTTAGCGAAGGGGAAGAGCGAAGGTAGGAAGGTGAGAATCGCGGTGATCGATCACGTGACCTCGATGCCGGCGGTCGTAATCCCTGTGAAGGAATTGGTCAAAATCTGCAGGGAGGAAGGCGTGGAGCAGGTTTTCGTGGACGCCGCACACGGAATCGGGTGCGTGGACGTCGACGTGCAGGAAATCGGGGCCGATTTCTACACCAGCAACCTCCACAAGTGGTTCTTCTGCCCGCCGTCCGTCGCCTTCCTCTACTGCCGCAACCAATCGAACGCCGGCGGGGACACGCAGTTGCAATTGCATCACCCGGTGGTGTCGCACGAGTACGGGAACGGGCTCCCCGTGGAGAGCGGGTGGATTGGGACGAGGGACTACAGCGCGCAACTGGTGGTGCCGTCAGCGGCGGAGTTCGTGGAGAGGTTCCCCGGCGGGATCGATGGAATCAAGGCGGCGAACCACTCGGCGGTGGTGGAGATGGGAGAAATGCTGGCGAAGGCGTGGGGGACGAACCTGGGATCGCCGCCGGAAATGTGCGGGAGCATGATCATGGTTGGGTTGCCGGCTTGTTTGGGGATTGGGAGTGAGTCGGATTCGTTGAAGCTGAGGACCCATTTGAGGGATTGCTTTGCTGTAGAAGTGCCGATCTACTTCAACAAGCGCCGCCATGATCATCGCGGAGAAGAAGCAGGAGGAGGAGTCATCACTGGGTACGTACGGATTTCCTATCAGGTGTACAACAAGGTTGAAGACTATGAGAGATTGAGGGATGCTGTTCATAAGCTGGTAAACGATGGGTTCACCTGTGGTTCCCTTGTCGAGCCCGAATCGGATTGAGGCTATGAGATCGATCGGAGAACTGCTGGGTGGTTTTGTTCTCCTGGCATTTGTAACCTTCTTGTGTTTTCATAGAGAAGTGATCAAAGTGGTAACTTTAGGGAGGAGAGAGTGGGAATAAGGAAGTGTGGGGATGAATATGAATGAATGTGAGGAATGGAAGCCATCCTCAGTCAAGTCATATTAACGATACACATCCTGTATTGTAATGGCGGTTTCACGATTGTGTGTGTGAAATGTCAATTGAATTGAATTGGTGATGGTTGAAAAGGCTTGGCTGGGATGGTACGAGACAGGGGCAGGGATAAGGTTAGGTGGTTTAGGGTTGATTTTTGATTACCCTACTACTGCTGCCCTACCTTGTCAAATGCCTTTGTTCATAAGAAGGCTAGGGGGACAATCACCTCACTTTTATTTTGGGCAAATCAACTACATACTAGCAGCTCTCGAGATCCAATCCAACTATGGTATTCCCCAACGCTGTCAAAGTCGAGCTGGAGTATGCCCCGGTAACGTGAACGGCTCGATCATTAGTGGTCCAGCCGGCATTAGACCGTTTAAAAACCGTTTAAGAACCGGTACCTAATAAACAATAATAAACATAAGCTAGATTAAGAAAAATGCACTTAAGGGATCCACAATTTGCTAGCACTCAGCAACTGATTGAAGGAAACCCACAAATTACTGTCCACTAATCAAACAATACAGTCACGCCACGCACAATACTAATCAGCCATTAATTCAAGCCCAAAAGTTTGAATCTTTTACCTCGACAGGGGCCAGTAAACTGGAGAGACGAGAAGAGCGGGAAGCCGGATGGGGAATCGGCGGGCACGCGGCTACCGATGGATTTGCGGCGACGATCCGGAAATGCAATCAGCGCCAAGAACACCGATGGACGACCGAAGGCGCTGGAGAAGATGGCGATGGCGACGGGTCACAGGCGACGGGGAAGACGACGATGGAGACGGGGAACGGCGACGAGGAGGAACGACGCTGGGGAAGATGGCGACGGCGATGGCGACGGGTCACAGGCGACGGGTAAGACGACGATGGAGACGGGGAACGGCGACGAGGAGGAAGGATTTGGAGTCGGAAGCGGCGCTTCCTTGTCTCCACGAAGAAGAATGAAAATTAGGGTTCTCCCGAACAGCCCGACCCCGACCCACCTTCCCCTTTAATTTTCGGTCTTTTTGTTTTTTTGTTTTTAATTAAACCAACCGGCCGAATGTAAAAAACCGGACGACCGGCTCGAGCGGTTAACCGCTTCGGCCGCTCGCCGGCCGCCCCAGAGAACCAGTCCGTCTAAATAGCTTATCCGAGCCGGTTTTGTGCCCGGATGGCGGTTTTGGCGGCTCGGCTCGGCTTTCACAGCAATGGTATTCCCGGTATGTTGACAAACGTTTTCATAGGTGTTACACCTACATCTAGGAATGGCAATGGGGAGAGTTTGTGGTGGGTTTCCCGTACTGTCTCCAACGCCTCTGTTTTCGAAGGAATGAAAGTGTTGACACCAAAAATTAATTTGACCGGAATTAAATGCCGCATTAATTAGTCTTGGCATTTAATTCGATACCACGGATAAAAACCGGTGTCGCATAGAGACAAGCGGCATCGCGGAGAGTTAAAACGATACCGCGAAACAGAAAAACGGTACCGCAAGGAAGCTCACCGGTATCGCGGCACTGGAAACGACACTGTTTACCAGAAAACAGGATGTGGTTCGCGCGCGTAGTATTGGTGGAGTTATTATTATTATTATTATTATTATTATTATTATTATTCCTTGTGGGAAGGGGAGAAGCGGTACCGCATGGAGACAAGCGGCACCGCGGAGAGTTAAAACGGTACCGCAAGGAGGCTCAGCGGAACCGCTGCACCAGAAACGTCACCGTTTACCGGGAATTAAGATGTGGGCCGCACGTTTGATATTGGTGTTGAAAAAGATTTTTGATTATTATTATTATTATTATTATTATTATTATTATTATTCCTTGTCGGAAGGGGAGAAGCGGTACCGCATGGAGACAAGCGGCATCGCGGAGAAGTAAAACGGTACCTCGAATTTAAAAACGATGCCGCGAGAGACCTTGATCAGCGGTGCCGATTAATTAAAAACCATATTGGGTAAGTGATTGGCCCAAAAATCCGCCCAGCCCAAACGTGCAAAATCGCGGCAATTTAGTGCGTTGGTGTTTCTTTTTATTATGTTATGCGGTGTGGTTTAATTCAAAACGGTAACGCGGGTAGGCCCAACGGTACCGCTTAACAAACGATAATGTTTAAAATATTTAAACAATGTCGCGAGGAAAAGCAAACAGAGTCGATTTGGCGCTAATGATGTCGTTGGTCAACACACGAGTTTGACTAGTGATGTCCGGATGAATTAATTAATATTTTTTATGATTATTTAGGACGGTGTCGTTTAGTTGAAAACGATGTCGAAAGAGGGAAAAATTGACACCGCGGATTAGAATTCGATACCGCGAGTAAGCCAACGGTACCGATTTATTAGCAAACGACAGTGTTAAATTTAAAACACTGTCACGAAGCTCAAAGCTCAACGACATTGCGGGACTAGAAAACGATGTTGTTTAACTAAGAACCGCGCCGAGGGACTAGAGTTTGACGGCGAGTTAACAATGAGAGTTGGTTTAATTAATTAGTATTTTATAATTATTTTAGACTGTGCCGTTTAGTTGAATACGACGCAGCGGAAGGTAAAAATAACACTGCGGTACTAGGAAAGAAACGACATTGTTTAGTCAAAGACAATGTTGCAAGAGTTTAAAAATGCCTTGAAAGTGAAGTTGTTTTGCCCAAAACAAGGTCGCGAGCTCGACGACATTGATGAGCTTTAGTTCAATGTTGAGAAACTCAACAACACCGTGAATTCAATAAAGTTGGGCATCAATGGTGGGAATTCGACGATGCTAGGATACTAAGAGCTACGTTGTTTAGAGAGCAATGTTGTAAGCCATGAATCACCATCGAAAATGGCATTGATGTTGTGAGTGCATTGATGTTGCAAGGCTGGGAGCTCAGTGTTGCGGTGTTGTTTGTGATACGTCGTCGTTTTATGAATAAGGATGAATGTAGTTTGGCTTGAGGAGTCGGGGATGGGTTATCGAACCCGGGTGGATAACTACAAGGGTGGCTCAATGTCGTTTTGCCAAGGTGCTGCGTAGCAGAGCAGTTTCGCACTCGTGGGAGTTACGCAACAAGGAGGAAGTTACCCGCACGGTTGACAGGATTGAAGAACGTGGGAGACAAAGGCGCGAAGGCAGTTAATACGACTGTGGGGACAAGAGCGAAGTATAAAGATCAGGAAGAGAGAGAAGCTCATGACGGCAAAATCAATTCACAAACTGCACCGTCGCAGAATCTATCTTTTTTCTCTCTAGTTTCGTAGAACCGCTCTGTCAAAGACTTCCTTTGCAGAGTCGTAGATCGTATCTTGTAGTCGTAGTCGCGAAGCTCTCCAGAGGAACCTCCATAGGAGTAGAGGTAACGTAACTTAGAACACTCCCAGTTAGGTTTCTCGTTTCTCGTTGAACACCCTCGTTCGAACGTAGTTTGGTGAGGTGGTGAACCGAGTAACGGTTGTTCTGGTTAGAAGTCAAAGGTGCATCGATCAAATCAACATCGCCGATGACGGCGGTGGATATTTGACGGTCGTCTTGGTTTCTGTTTAATCGATCAAATCAACGGCGCCGACATTCGGCGGTGGATATTTGACGATTGTGATTGACTTTGTGCTTGTGTTTACTTGAAAACAGTGCGCATTGAACACGCGAGTTTCGCCAACGAAACAAATTGGCACACCTGGTGGTACACGTGTATTCGAATGGCTCCGCGACGAAGGAATCAGGAAGGGGATGTTCCGCACTGATTCGTGGAGGAACATGTGGCCAACATTGAAGGAGGCCAGGGAATCGGTGCTGAAGACATCGCCGGGTCCGAGAATCCCCCGTCCACAGTTGGGCCGACTAAGGATTTGCCAATCCGCCATTTCATGGAGGAGAACCGTCGCATGTTTGCAAGCCTCAACAATGAGTTCGCATGCTTCAAAGGCGAGTTTGCAAGCTTCAAAGGCGAGGTAAATCAGCGTTTTGACGCTTTAACTGCACGACATGATTCTCTTGAGTCTCGTGTTGATAGGCGTTTAAGCCAACTCTTTGAAGTTGTGACTAAAAACAGGCATGATTTTGATATTTTTATGGATAAAAATCTACGTGATATGAATGAAATCAGGGAGCTTTTGGGTAGACCAGTAATGCAACCTAGGGATTTGTCATTAAACGGTGAAAACAATCTTAACAGCAAAACTGGTTTTCCAAACAACAGTGCTCGAATTAGTCCGCCAAGACAAGGAGTTACGCCGACACCGGTGGTGAACCCACCAACTTCGCGAGTTAATCTTGGCGAGACTAGCACTGCCGCTAACACTCGGGTTGAACCACCACCGTTTCACGGTGGGGGTCCACAAAATATCCTGGAGGCCAGACCCTACGTGGCTCCGATGAGCGGTACTGTTGGTGGAGGAACGATCAACAATGATCATGTTCCGCCACGCGGCGACCCGCAAAACGTGCCTCCTCTTCCAAACGGGCTTGGCATGGATCCTGGTGGATTCATACCACAAGGGGGGCAACTCGGGGGGCAAGACGTTAATGTGATTCGAGATCAGGTAGCACAGATGCTGGCAGATCAGTTTGGTTTAGGGATTAGACCAGCGATGCCGGCGGTATACCGAAAACCATATCCGTATTGGGTAGATAGATACTACCCCTTTCCACGTGGTTTTCGCGTGCCTGATTTCATCACCTTCAGCGGGACTGGAGATCAGTCCATCGTCGAGCACGTTGGACGATTCACGGTTCAGTGTGGTGATGTGAGTGATTTCTTGAAGTTGCGTTTGTTTGGCAACTCGTTGACCGGTCCCGTATTCGCGCATTCGCGTGGTACGTCAACTTGCCATCGAACTCGGTTTAAACTTGGCAGCAAATGGAACAAATGTTCCATGCCCAATTCTACCATTCTGAGCCAGAAGTAACAATGGCCGACTTGGCACGAATGCGCCAACATCCAGGAGAAACAGTGGAACACTTTTTAACAAACTTTAAGAATGCAAGAAATCGGTGTCTTGTGAACTTGACAGAACGTGAGTTTGTTAAACTTGCCTAGGGTGGATTGAATTTTGAACTTCGTAAAAAGTTTCAAGATAGGGAGTTTTCTGATATGTTTCAATTGATGTCCGGCACTGTTAGATACGAATCTCTTCTCCATGAAGAAGAACATAAGAGAAGTGGCTCTCGTAGACAATATTATGGTGTGAATAACGTCGGCAGTGATGTTGACGAGGTTGAAGTTGATTTGGCCGAGATTGTGCAGGGGAAGCCATATGTGTGTGCTTCTCTAGCCAAGGCCGAAGGGGAACCACAAGGTGGAAAGCCCAATCGTGCTCCAATTCAAACTAGAAAATATTCCTTTGATGTTTCAAAATCAGAATTGATTTTCGACCAGCTTTACAAAGATGGTCAAATTAAGTTAACCGGGGGGCATACAATCCCGCCAGTCAAAAAATTAAAAGGGAAACGATATTGTAAATGGCACAACAGTGCATCTCATTCAACTAACCTGTGTGTTGTGTTTTGCAACGTTGTGCAGGATGCAATTGAGAAAGGTCGGTTCAAGTTCCCAGAGCCGAGGAAGGAGGCCATGATTGTTGACACATACCCTTTGCCAAACGTGGTCGGCGTCAACATGGTCAATCCCGATTTCTCTAAGATCAACCTGCCACGCTTCAAGCTGGTGGTGGATATAACGCCACCGCCGAGTGGTAGTTCTGATGTAGCCCAGGGTGCTTCATCATCCCAAGTGCAGGAGGGGCCACGCTTGGAACCAGCTGAGGAAGAGAAGTTGTGTGCCCAGTGTCGCGGAAAGCTAAACATTGGGGGAGCAAGACCGAGCCAGTCGGTCCACCAGAGATTGGGACCACGATAGTTCAAACCGAGGTACCCCTCATATGAACGCAATGTCGAAGGAGTACGTGCACCTGAATGGGGAAGAGGGCAACGTAGACAATGGGTTTCTCAAAGTGCCCCACCTTTCAAAAGCCTACCTTTTGGACTTGCCCAACCGGTGAGAGGTTCCCCACCTGTCAGGAGAACTTTCAGGATGCCAAATGTCCCACAGGGTGGTTGGCACACCTACGACGTCCGTCGTCAGCAGCCCATCGCAGTTGACGGGATGACAAGGACGCAGTATCGAAGGTACCTCCGCAAGAATGCTCAAGGAAGGAGGATTGCAAACTTGCAAGCGAATGTGAACTTGGACAACTCTACTGTGGGTCTAAAAGTGATTATGGCCGGTGCTGGAAAAGTTGTCGAGGACAAGCTGGACGGGAACGATCAAGGAGTCCCGGGAGAGGCTGAGTACGATGCTGAGTTGGATGACTCCTTTATCGAAGAGGAGATGCTGGAATTGGAGGAGCCGAAGTCGAAATTTGATAAAAAAAACAAGGATGACGATGATGACAACCAAGGTGCACCCATGACGATCCAGTTTGAAAGTCTACCACCGGTGGTGGTGAACAACTACATCTTGCCTTTGATTTTTCACATTGATTTGGAAAATCAGGGAGAGGATGGCGAGGTCGTGATGGAGGTTGAAGAGCTTGACGAGGCTGCTCAAGAGGTCAACGTCGCTGAACTGGTGATCGGTTTTGCTCAACTGACTTTAGAGGAGGAGAATGAGGAGCCACCAGCGGCAGAGCTGGTTGGCGAGGCCACGGATTTTCCAATCGAGGCCGAGCCGTGGAGTGCAATGATGGCTCGCACGAATGGTCGAATTGATTTAGTAGTAGAGTCAGCCACGTAGAACAAGAGTTCGCAGCGGATCCTGAAAGAACTGTACGAAGCAGGCCACAAGGTTGTTGGGCTACTAGGCGAAGATGGGGGAAGATATCCTTTAAACGTGTTATACCAAGGCCCGAAAGAGTCAGCAAGTGTGCCAGTGGAGAACATCACATGGGGATCAGACTTCGACGAGGTGGATAAATCTATCCGGGCTGCAGAAGCGAAGGGGAAAGCCGTGGACGAAGGAACCACGAGTGAAGAATCGAACAAGGTCGTTGTTTTCAATGAGACGGAGCCGAAGATGTTGCGTCATTTGATGCCTCTCTACATCAAGGCCACGCTTGATGACGTACCAATGTCGAGAGTCTTAGTTGACAATGGCGCCGCAGTAAATGTGATGCCAACAAGGATGTTGAAGAAGTTGGGCAAGAGCACTAATGACTTGATCCCAACGGAAGTGTTCGTGACGAGTTTCAACGGCGGGTCCACTTCTGCCAGGGGAATCCTCCCAGTTGTCGTGGGAGTTGGATCACAGAAGCGGATGAGTGCTTTCTTCGTGGTGTATGGAATGATAAGTTACAACGCACTACTTGGCCGGGATTGGATCCACGCCAACAAGTGCGTTCCTTCATCGCTGCATCAGTGTTTGATGCTCTGGAATGAAAAAGGTGTCATTGAGGTGGTACAGGCTGACACAAAGCCGTTTGCCGTTGGGGCCAACGTGGCTGAAGCTTATTTATACCACGAAGATTTTGGACCACTCGAAATCAGGAGCGGGGATGGAGGAACGTCCAACGTCATAGTGTCAAGTGCACAGTTATTGAGTAAGGCGTGCTTGGACCCATTGTCCGAAATTGTGAGACCATCGATGATCACATTAGATGGTCCACTGAAGTCTGATGAACAAGTCAATGATGAGTGAACCACCTCGAGAGAAGGTGGTGGAGGTCGAAATCACGGCCTTGCGGGAGAAGTTGGCCGTCTATCAGTGTGAACAGAGGCTTGTCTCTATAGAGCCCATCTTAATGGCCGACTGTGTTCCCGACGATGATGACTTGCCAAACAACGGCGAGGGTGTGAGTGACGAAGTGGAGAAGAAAAGCAACCTAGCTGCATGTGACATTTTAGAGGAGATCAACCTTGGCACGGAGGAGGATCCACGCCCAACCTTCATCGGTACCGGTTTGCCAGAGTCTGACAGGTACGAATTAATTGAATTCCTTAAAGAGTTTAAAGACTGCTTTGCATGGGATTATCATGAAATTTCTGGTCTCGATAGGAAGTTAGTTGAACATAGACTTCCAATTAAAGAAGGGTATAAGCCACATAGACAACCACCTAGGCGTTTTTCGCATGATATCTTGCCGGAAGTGAAAAAGGAAATTAACGTTTAATGAAGGCTAATTTTATCAGGACTACTAGATATGTGTTGTGGTTGTCGAACATTGTGCCTGTTAGAGAGAAAAATGGCAAAATACGTGTTTGTGTGGATTTTAAAAATTTGAACAATGCTACACCGAAAGATCTGTATCCCATGCCGGTGGCTGACATGTTAATCGATACCGTAACCAGGCATGTCAGGTTTTCTTTCATGGACTGTTACTCGGGCTATAACCAGATATACATAGCCGAGGAGGATGTACACAAAATGGTGTTTCGGTGTCCAGGATACATTGGCTGTTTCGAGTGGATCATGATGCCATTTGGATTGGCCAATGCTGGGGCAACTTACCAACGGGCCATGAATGCGATATTTCATGACTTGATTGGCGAGCTTGTCGAAGTGTACGTGGACGACATCGTCGTCAAATCAAAGGTGACAAACCACCACCTTGCTTATTTGCGCAAAGCATTTATGCGTATGCGTGTTCATAAGTTGAAATTAAATCCGCTCAAATGTGCGTTTGGTCTGAGTGCAGGAAATTTTCTTGGTTTTCTAGTAAACCAACGTGGAATTGAAGTAGATGGCAATAAAACAAAAGCCATCATCAATGCTGCACCACCATCTAGTAAAAAAGAGTTTCAACGTTTCCTCGGCCAGGTAAATTACATTCGAAGATTTATCTCGAATTGTGCTGGCCAGACTCAAGTGTTTTCCTCATTGCTGAAGTTGAAGAAGGAAGAAAAGTTTGTATGGAGGGAAGAACATCAACGTGCGTTTGATGATATCAAGAGATACCTGGCGACTCCGCCGGTGATAAACTCTCCCAAAGCAGGGGTGCCGCTGAAGTTGTACTTGTCGGCCACAAATATTTCTGTGGCGTGTTTGTTGGCTCAAGATAATGAAGCAGGCAATGAAGATGCCATTTATTATCTAAGTAGGCTTCTGAACGAGGGAGAGAGAAAATATTCCCCCATAGAGAAGTTGTGTTTAGCGCTGTACTTTTCCTGTACAAAGCTACGCTACTACCTGGTCCCGGTCCAGGTACAACTCATTTGCCAAACAGACTTGATCAAATACATGCTATCTCGACCAATTATTCAAGGCCGAATTGGCAAATGGACCTTGGCTCTATCTGAATTTAATTTTGAGTTGCTCTCTAAACAACGTAGCTCTTAGTATCCCGGCATCGTCGAATTCCCACCATTGATGCCCAACTTTATTGAATTCGCGGTGTTGTTGAGTTTCTCAACACTGAACTAAAGCTCATCAATGTCGTCGAGCTCGCGACCTTGTTTTCGGAAAAACAACATCACTTTCACGGCATTGTTAAACTCTTGCAACATTGTCTTTGACTAAACAATGATGTTTCTTTCCTAGTACCGCAGTGTTGTTTTTACCTTCCGCGGCGTCGTTTTCAACTAAACGACACCGTCTAAAATAATTATAAAATACTAATTAATTAAACCAGCCCTCATTGTTAACTCGCCGTCAAACTCTCGTCCCTCGGCACCGTTCTTAGTTAAACAACATCGTTTTCTAGTCCCGCAATGTCGTTGAGATTTGAGCTTCGCGACACTGTTTTAAATTTAACACTGTCGTTTGCTAATACAACGATACCGTTGGGCTTACTCGCGGTATCGAATTCTAATCCGCGGTGTCGTTTTTTTCCTCTTGCGGCATCGTTTTCAACTAAACGACACCGTCCTAAATAATCATTAAAAATATTAATTAATTCATCCGGACATCAAGTCAAACTCGTGTGTTGACCAACGACATCATTAGCGCCAAAACGGCTCTGTTTGCTTTTCCTCGCGACATTGTTTAAATATTTTAAACACTGTCGTTTGCTAGCACAGCGGTACCGTTGGGCCTACCCACTGTACCGTTTTGAATTAAACCACACCGCCTAACATAATAAAAAGAAACACCAACGTACTAAATTGCCGCGATTTTGCACGTTTGGGCTGGGCGGATTTTTGGGCCAATCACTTACCCGATATGGTTTTTAATTAATCGTTACCGCTAATAAAGGTCTCTCGCTGCATCGTTTTTAAATTCGCGGTACTGTTTTACTTCTCCGCGATGCCGCTTGTCTCCATGCGGTACCGCTTCTCCCCTTCTGACAAGGAATAATAATAATAGTAATAATAATAATAATAATAAAAACTCCTTTTCCAACACAAATACCAAACGCGCGGCCCACATCTTGCTTCTCGGTAAACGGTGTTGTTTCCAGTATCGCGGTTCCGCTGTGCCTCCTTGTGGTACCGCTTTAATTCTCTGCGGTGCCGCTTGTCTCCATGCGGTACCGCTTCTCCCACTACGTGCGCGGCCCACATCCTGTTTTCTGGTAAACAGTGTCGTTTCGAGTGCAACGATACCGGTGAGCTTCCTTGCGGTACCGTTTTTCTGTTTCGAGGTATCGTTTTAACTCTCCGCGATGTCGCTTGTCTCCATGCGACACCGTTTTTTACCCGCGGTATCGAATTAAATGGCGAGACTAATTAATGCGACATTTAATTCCGGTCAAATTAATTTTAGGTGTCAACAAATGCCCCCCACAATTTGGTTTATAAGAATTATGAACCAAATTGTTGACACAATACAATCACCTAAAATAATTTGAAGTTAACTACAATTTTACCAAAACTTGGTAGAATTTTCGTGGCCAACTCGGATCCATCCAACCTTGGCCCAAACTAATTCCTAGACAGCGTAGTTGTTGTTCTCGCATCCCATTTTTCATCACCAACCAGTACTGTTTTTTATTTTTATTTTACCCATGGCCGATTTTTATATTATTATTCTTCTCTATTGCGTCCGGTTGTGTGGCCTCGCACTCGCATCACTGTTTCACGTCCAAACAGTCCAGATTTTGATTTTTTTTAATCAGTGCTCTTTTGGCCGCACTCTCTCTCCCTTTTTTATATTTTTTTTATTCTAACAATGCTGCTCTTCTCAAAACAGACCTGGCGGCACTCTTCCCGCAAAGCTGCAGATAAGTGGCCTGAGTTTTTTTCTTTTCTCAAATAAAAACTAAGAGCCGCGGCATAGTCGTTTTAGGCCAATAAACAACACTGTTTTCCCCCTTCAACACTGTCCTTGTATGAACGAAATCACTTCCTCTTGGTTCGCCACCTTCAACGGTTTGGCCTCCACCCACTTAGTGAAGTAGTCAGTGGCCAAAATTATGAAAACATGTTTCTTTGACGATGGAGGGTAAATCATACCAATCAAATCCATGGCCCAACCATAAAACGGCCTCGGTTTGATTATGGATTTCAGATCGACCGCCGGCGCTCTTTGAACAGGACTGTGACGTTGACAAGCTTCGTAGCCCTTGGCATACGCGACACAATCTGGCCCGATGGTGGGCCAGTAGAATCCGTAGCGATGTAGAATCCATCGCATGGAAGGACTAGCTTGTTGGGCTCCGCATATTCCTTCATGCACCTCTGCCATAGCTTGCAATGCTTCCTTGCCCCCCAAGCATTTTAATAATAACCCATCAGGTCTGCGTTTATACAAGGTCCCATCCAAAACTACGTAGCTCCTTGCTCTAAACTTGACGACATGGTCAACAGTCTTGTTTGGATCTTGCAAGTAAGACAACAGTGGTGCACGCCAGTCATCACCGTCTTTCTCTATTACGCAAACTTTCTCAACTCTCAGCTACTCCCGTAAGGGCTTAAGTATTTGCACCACTATCTTTTCTATTGCATTGCTTTTCGCAAACTCTTTAAATCCCGAAGCCATTTGTGCAAGATAGTTGACTTCGTTATTGTCCATTCGAGGAACAAAGTTAATCGACATACTGTCGAAGTGGGTAGTCAATGACAATACATGGTCTATATATGTTTCTAGAACGCTATTGATAAAGCGAAAATCCCCGCGGACCTGATGAACCACCAACTGTGAATCTCCCTTAACATCCACGTTGCGGATTCCCAGCTCGATGAGCATTTCCAGCCCGACCACCAAAGCTTCGTATTCGGCTTGGTTGTTGGTGCAAGGAAAATCCAACGAAAATGCAAAATGCATGGCACGGCCCGATGGTGCTTTCAATATCACGCCAGCTCCAGCACCGCCACGAGTTTTGGATCCATTAAAATACAAGATCCATGCTCAATGTCGTTTTGCCAAGGTGCTGCGTAGCAGAGCAGTTTCACACTCGTGGGAGTTACGTAACAAGGAGGAAGTTACCCGCACGGTTGACAGGAACGAAGAACGTGGAAGACAAAGGCGGGAAGGCAGTTAATACGACTGCGGGTACAAGAGCGAAGTATAAAGATAAGGAAGAGAGAGAAGCTCATGACGGCAAAATCAAATCATAAACCGCACCGTCGTAGAATCTATCTTTTTCTCTCTAGTTTCGTAGAACCGCTCTGTCAAAGACTTCCTTTGCAGAGTCGTAGATCGTATCTTGTAGTCGTAGTCGCGGAGCTCTCCAGAGGAACCTCCATAGGAGTAGAGGTAACGTAACTTAGAACACTCCCGGTTTGGTTTCTCGTTTCTGGTTGAACACCCTCGTTCGAACGTAGTTTGGAGGTGGTGAACCGAGTAACAGTTGTTCTGGTTAGAAGTCAAAGGTGCATCGATCAAATCAACATCGCCGATGTCGGCGGTGGATATTTGACGGTCGTCTTGGTTTCTGTTTAATCGATCAAATCAACGGCGCTGACATTCGGCGACGGATATTTGACGATTGTGATTGACTTTGTGCTTGTATTTACTTGAAAACAGTGCGCATTGAATACGCGAGTTTCGCCAACGAAACAAAAAGAAAATGGAGAGAAAGGAAAATATGGAGGGGAGGGAAAAGTAGGGGAGAGAAAATTTAAAAGGGAAAGAAAATGTTGTTTTGTGGAGGAAAGTGGGAGGGAAAATGTATATTGAGAAGTGTGATAAATATGTCATGTTATTGGTTATGTAATAGTATAATAATTTAATTATGTGTTGATATTATTTTCATCATTCATTATATAAAAATTTCACACTCTAGTGTCGTTTTTATTAGGGGCATAACACAATTTTACATTTCATTTAACAGTTTTATGTATCGTGTAAACAAACGTCATACGTAACGTAAATTTCCCATTTGGTCCGGTTTTGGTCTGGTCCAAATTATAAACTCTAACGTTTTACTTGGAACGTAAAAGACTTTTACGTCATACATAAAAGTTTTACGTCTCACGTAAATTAACGTCATGCTTAATGTAAATCACATTAAATGACATAGTGTTTGTTGAATAGTAATTTGCAATGAACTCTATTATTACTAAACATCACACATGGTAGGTCTCAATTATCTTATCAACAATGGATTAATTATCCATATCAACTCATGAAAAATATGGTGTGACAATGGAACATGAAGTGTTCCTCATCATATCTGCCATCAATGTACGAGAAGGAGTGGCCCAATAATTAGCCACGTTAAAGAGAAGATGAAGGCAATTAAATTATTACATGGGCCAATGGTGGATGATCTTTCTATTCCATTTAAATTCACAGCTAGCATGTTATGTGTTCTGTATTAATAATAAGAAAGAGAGTTGTCATGCATTTAGTGTAGGTGGGTCTTTGCATTACTTTGTATTTGTCCAACTTCCCATTGCATTGTTATATATATGCATGGGCATGATATGGAAGCAGTTAGGGAGAGTCAGAAGTATAAAAAAAAAAAAGCAAAGAAAGCTTCTGCGTGTATGTTTGTAAAAAGCAAGTGCCAACAATAAGGCCTTGTTTGGTTAAGTCCATCTTCTAAATGAGTGATTAAACACCATATGTTTCCTTTGTGTTGATCCTAATTTCTACTACAATTCTGCTAATACCCAACAAATTTGGTATCGGAGCTTAATACCCTTCTATCCTCTTAAATCCCCATTTTTCCAGCCTACCCAAATCTACTAAAAAACTCATGGAAACAACTTCATCACATACCATGTTTGCTACCTCTTCAAATCAAATTTCCATTTTCGATGGTGTATTGTACGAGTACTGGAGTTCCCAATTGGAGCCAATTTTCATCTCTTAAGATCTGTGGGATATAGTCCAAGATGGCTATGAAAGTCCACAAAAAGATGATGAAGACTCGAAAAAACGACCAGGCAAGCAGACAAAGGAGTACAAGGAGAATGCCAAGCAAAATGCCAGCGCCTTGAGAATCATTCAGCAAGCAGTGAGCAAATCAATTTACCCGAGAATCTATGGCATCAAAAAGGCCAAAGAAGCTTGAGATGTCTTGCGTGAACAATTTCAAGGTTCTGAAAAGGCAATCTCTATCAGGCGCCAAAGTTTATGGCGACAGTTCGACAACTTGATGATGAAGGAAACCGACACCATCAAAGAATTCCATTCGCGTGTGGCGGAGACAGTCAACCAGATCAAAGCCACCGGTGATATCATGGAAGAAAGAAAAATTGTGGAGATAATTCTACGCAGTTTGTCATCAAAGTTCGAGCATATTGTTGCTGTCATTGAAGAAACCAAAGATCTGGCAAATCTACCAATGAGCGAGTTGATGGGCTCACTTTTAGCACATGAGCAAAGAATGAGCCGCTTCACCAAACCGCCATTGGAGCAAGCTTTCTCGTCAAAAGTCAACATGACGGAAAATAAATATGCCAAATCGGAGTAAGGCCGGAGAGGGGGAAACTCACAAGGAAGAGGAAGAGCAAGATCCAATTTCAGAGGAAACAATAGACAAAATTATCAACAACAAAGATTGGGCTACACCGGCTCGAGTTGCATAATTTGGAAAAAGCCGGGTCATGCAACAAAAGACTGCAGATTCAAGTGCACCAAGTTAAAAAATCCAAAACACTCCCAGAGAGATTGCTGGTTCCAGAACAAGCAAGAAGAAGGCGAGTCAAGCAGCACCAAAAATGAAGAAAGCAATATGGTGGCCTTATCATGCTTGAATGGTGAGCAAAAGTTACAGCTTCCCTGGATGGTGGATAGTGGTTGCAGTAACCAAATGATTGGAGATCTGGAGTCCTTCACCGACATCGATGAGAAATACCGCTCTCAAGTCAAATTCGGAGACGGGAAGAAGCTAAAAGTGGAAGGAAAAGGCAAAGTTGTTGTATGCACAGAAGAAGGCAACAAAACTCTCATTCGAGATGTTTTGCATGTTCCGGAGCTAACTCTCAATCTACTTAGCGTGGGACAACTGATGCTGAAAAATTACAAGCTATTGTTTGATAATGGCGTATGTGAGATTATCAACAAAGCAGACAATTTCATGGTGGCCAAAGTACCGATGACTTCCAACTGAATTTTCTCTCTTGCTATGTCACAAAATGGTGAAGTAGCATTCAAGAGTGAAAATCTGGATCAATCCTTCCTATGGCATCTCAGATATGGTCATCTCAACTTCAAAGGTCTCAAATTGTTGAGACATAAAAATATGGTGGTGGGACTTCCCCAGATCAACAGAGAAGACAAGATCTGTGAAGGATGCATTTATGGCAAAATGCATCGTTTACCATTTCCAAAAACATCTTGGAGAGCAAAAGCGCCACTTGAGTTGGTACATGCAAACATATGCGGTCCAACCCGAACACAATCACTCAGCGGCAAAAGATACTTTCTACTATTTGTAGATGACTTCACCAGAATGATGTGGGTATTCTTTCTGGAGCAAAAGTCAGAAGCTTTTCCCAAGTTCCTTCAATTCCAAGCAGTAGCTGAGAAGGAAAGCGGTCATCAAATCAAAACTCTCCAAACAGACCGTGGAGTAGAATTTATTTATACTCCGTTCATGGAGTATTGCCGCAACAACGGAATCAAAAGGCAACTGACGGTTCGTTACACACAACAACAAAATGGCGTGACAGAACGGAAAAACCACACAATTGTGGAGATGGCGAGAAGTATGCTCAAAGCCAAAAAGCTTCCCAACAATTTGTGGGCAGAAGCAGTCAATTTACATCCTCAACATATCACAACCAAAGCAGTTCGGAACAAGACACCGATACATGTGTGGCACCACCGGAGGCCACACGTGGATCACCTCAAAGTCTTTGGGTGCATAGCTTATGCACATATCTCTACCCCAAACTGAGATAAGTTTGACCAGAAGGGAGAAAAGCTGATCTTCACCGGCTACAGTGATGAGTCCAAAGGCTATCGTCTTTATAACCCAGTAAAGAACGAAGTGGTGGTTTCCAGAGATGTGATCTTTGATGAGATGGCAAAGTGGAATTAGGAAAATCCAATTTTTCAATCTCCACCAAGTTATGAAATTCTGGAGGACTCAGCAACTCCAAAAGACCACAGCAACGAACTAGACCCAGTTGCAAGTCCAGAAAGAAATTATGCACCTAGCCCAGAAGGAGACAACTTCAGAGACATCATAACATACTCGGATTCACCTCCGTTGAGAACAAGGTCTTTGCGAGAAATTTATTAAACAAGTCATGTTGCATATTTTTCTTGTGAGCTTCAAGTCTTTGAAGAATCAGCCAAAGAAGAAGTTTGGAACGAGACAATGGATGCAGAAATTTCCATGATCGAGAAAAACAAGACATGGGAGCTTGTTGATCGACCGGAGGACAAGCCGGTTATAGGTCTCAAATGGATCTATAAGATCAAATTCAATGAAGATGGTTCTAACCAGAAGTACAAAGCTTGACTGGTGGCAAAAGGCTATCCACAATAGCCCGGTCTTGGTTTTCATGAGACATATGCACCAATAGCGAGGATGGAGACCATAAGAACAGTTCTCGCTCTAGCTGCTCAACTAGAGTTACCAGTATACCAGCTAGATGTCAAATCAACATTTCTGAATGGAGAACTAGAAGAAGAAGTCTATGTGGAACAACCACGAGGCTATGAGAAAAAAAGGAGAAGAAGACAAAGTCTATCCTCTCCGAAAGGCTTTATACGGGCTAAAGCAAGCACCGAGAGCCTGGAATAGCAGGATTGATCGATATTTTCAGCAAAACGGATTTCAAAGAAGTCCGAGTGAATCATCTCTCTACATCAAAAAGGGAGAAGGAAAAGATTTTCTAATGGTTTGTTTATATGTTGATGACTTGATTTACACAGGTACAAGTCAGCATATGATCAAAGAATTCAAAAGTACCATGATGAAAGAATTCGAGATGACGAACTTGGGACTCATGAAGGATTTTCTTGGGATTCAAGTGAAGCAGTCACCTAGAGAAATATTTATTTCACAGGAGAAGTACACCGAAGATATGGTGAAAAGATTTCACATGGCAACATGCAAACCAATCTCAACACCGATGGCGTTAATCGAGAAATTACAGCGCAATGATGGAGCTAAAAAATTAGATGGAAAGTTGTACAGAAGTCTTGTCGGGTCACTCATTTACCTGACACATACCAGGCCGGATATATATCATTCAGTAACTCTTATATCAAGATTTATGAATGAACCTAGCAAACTACATTTTGCAGCAGCCAAAAGAATTTTGCGGTATCTTCTAGGTACAAAGTAATTGGGCCTGATGTACAAGAAAGAAGCAGAAAGCAAGCTGACCGGATATACTGATAATGACTGGGCAGGATCACTAGATGATCGAAAAAGCACATCGGGGTACATATTCTGTCTGGGTTCAAAACCCATTTCCTAGAGTTCAAAGAAGCAGAAGACTGTGGCATTATCCTCCGCAGAAGCAGAATATATCGCAGCTACTGATGCAGCATGCGAAGCGGTATGGCTAAAAAGATTAATTTCTGATTTACAGCAAAATGAAAATGGTCCAACCATTATTCATTGTGACAACATGTCAGCAATAGCCATGACAAAAATCCAGTATTTCACGCAAGATCGAAGCATATCGAGTTGCGTCATCATTTCATCCGAGACCTCATCAGCGAAGGACTAATCGTGATAGAATTTATCAAAACCGACGACCAGCCAGCAGATATGATGACAGAGGTAGTAACCCATGAGAAAATCGAGAAGTTCAAGGAGCTTCTCCGAATTGCAAATTAAGAGGGGTTGTTGAATGGTAATTTGCAATCAACTCTATTATTACTAAACATCACACATGGTAGGTCTCAATTATCTTATCAACAATGGATTAATTATCCATATCAACTCATGATAAATATGGCGTGACAATGGAACATGAAGTGTTCCTCATCATATCTGCCATCAATGCACAAGAAGGAGTGGCCAAATAATTAGCCACGTTAAAGAGAAGATAAAGGCAACTAAATTATTACATGGACCAATGGTGGATGATCTTTCTATTCCATTAAATTCACAGCTAGCATGTTATGTGTTCTGTATTAATAATAAGAAAGAGAGTTGTCATGCATTTAGTGTAGGTGGGTCTTTGCATTACTTTGTATTTGTCCCACTGCCCATTGCATTGTAATATATATATATATATTGATATGGAAGCAGTCAGGGAGAGTTAGAAGCATAAAAAAAAAGCAAAGAAAGCTTCTGCGTGTATGTTTGTAAAAAGCAAGTGCCAACAATAAGGCCTTGTTTGGTTAAGTCCATTTTCTAAATGAGTGATTAAACACCATATGTTTCCTCGGGTCCGGATCAGGTCAGTAACCCTATCCTCAGTGACTGTGCATAACCCCTTCCTCCATCCTCCACGTGTCTACATCTGAGCCATCCCCTTTTATTTAAATGGAACACGGAGGGGCAGTAGGGTAATTTGCATCCACCCCCTCATTTAATGCTGACGACCTGACACCTACTTTTGACCGAACTTGAACCCCCCTTTGTGTCCCGCACACGTTTCCCTCTGTCACTCTTTTATCTATTATTAAAAGAAAAATTAAATTATTTCTTCTCTCTCCCATCTACAACTAAAAAAGAGGGGGAAAAAATACATGCTCTCTGCACACTAACTCTATCTCAAAAACAAATATGAATTCAACAATCTCAGCTCTCTCTACTCCAACTCCAACTCAAATTGAATGATGATTTTTTCATTTAATAATTCTCTACCAAGAAGGGTAATTACAAGTATGAATATGACTATCACTTTCTACTACTATGGTAAAACATGACAAAATATGCTAAAGAAAATTACAAATCTAATTACCATACAATACCATATGGTATAAATGCTAAAATAAAATTAAAAATCTAACTACCATACAATACCACATGGTATAACGTTGTAAAACATGTTACAAAAAATTATAAATCTAACTATCATTTATCATACAATACCACCATAGTAGAACATGGGCTTCTACAAAAAAAAATAGTAGAACATGGTAAATCGAATGACCATAAAATAATAATAATTACCATACAGTACCACATGGTAAGAGAACGTAAAACCATTTAAAAACAAATATAAATATAATTACCATCATCTACGACCATAGTAAAACATGGTATGCATAAAAATACATTTAGTTACCACACATTACCATATGGTATAGTGTGGTAATCTCTCTCTATATATATATCTAATCACGAATTTATTTACTTTCTTGTCCTCTTCATTGTCTTCTCACTCTTCTTTCGCGGAACTGGGGTCGATGACCACCTTCTTACCACCATGGTAAAACATGGTAACCATAAAAATACGTTCAGTTACCACACATTACCATATGGTATAGTGTGGTAACCACAATAAACATCTAGTTACCACATAATACCACCATGGTAAAACATGGTAACCTTAAAAATACGTTTAATTACCACACATTACCATATGGTATAGTGTGGTAACCACAACTGGGGTCGATGACTACCTTCTTACCACCATGGTAAAACATGGTAACCATAAAAATACGTTCAGTTACCACACATTACCATATGGTATAGTGTGGTAACCACAATAAACATCTAGTTACCACATAATACCACCATGGTAAAACATGGTAACCTTAAAAATACGTTTAATTACCACACATTACCATATGGTATAGTGTGGTAACTAGGGGTGGCATTTCGGTTATAACCGATAACCGATCGACTGGTTATCGGTTAACCGAAATAACCACTCCCCTACCAAAACCGCCTGAAATAGGCTTCGGTTTCTTGGTTATCTTGGTTATCGGTTAACCGACCCACTTTTAAGACCAAAAACCATTTCGTCTAGCCTCCGATAACCGACTGAAGTTCGGTTACTTCGGTTACCAGTTAGTGGATAATCGGCCGGTTATCGGTTTAACCGACCGGTTAACCGGTAACCGGTAACCGAACTGCCACCTCTAGTGGTAACCACAATAAACATCTAGTTACCACATAATACCACTATGGTATAGTATGATGACCACAATATACATCTAAGACATACTTCACATGCTCGTCTTCTGCCTCCTCTCATTTTCTCCTCTGCGTTTGAGAACACAAAAATACAAATGAGGAAGATTGGAATTGAAAATCCACAAAAAAATACTAAAGCATAAAATATGCAAACTCGACTCACCTAAATCTTTCCCCTCTTGATCGATATGGAGCTGCACCAAATTTGAGGTCGAGGACTTGACAAAGAGAAGAAACATAATGAAAGAAGGAGAATTCACTTTTCCCTCGTCCATTTCGGTGGGGGGAAAAAGAAGAGAAAGAGGGAGCAACTCGAGAGAAGAAGGATCTCGAAGAGAAGAAACGCAATGAAAGAAGGAGGCTGCACTTTTCTTTCTTCGATTGCTGAAGAAAAAAATGAAGAGCTGAAGAAGAGATCAGATCCGGAGAAGAAGAAGATTGGGAGAGAGAAAGAAAGAGAAAAGATGAAAGAGGAAATGAGAGTTTCAGAAAAAGAGGAAAAGTTGCATTCTCTCTCCTACATTCAAACCAGCTAATAAATGTTGGACAAAATAAAATAAAGGAAAGAATACAAAATTAAAGCAACGGACAAAAATACCCACGACCATCTCCGCATCCATCTCGACCGCACAATGAATCCGTCCAAATCAACGGTTTCTAGATGGTTACTAATGGGTGAGTAGCCAACGGTTACTCACCCTATCCTCAGCCTGTTTCCTTCCTAATTTATACTACAATTCCGCTAATACCCAACAGTGTTCATACGTAACTAATTAACAGTTTATGATAATTAAACTAATTAAATCACTTATTAAAAGAAGGAAAAAATTTATGGATATTAGTTAATGTGTTGGCCGTTGGGACTTACCTACAAAAAAGGAAAGAATAGAGAAAAGAGAAAATTATGGAGACAGATTATAACGTGGCTAGAATTAAGGATGTAATAAATAAATAAAAAGTAAATAATTGGGAATGAAAAGGGAGCGGCTGCTTTCTCTTCGAATTGGAGGGTAGGCTCATACAATATATTTTCCCTTCCTTTTCCTTTCCTTTTGTACGGTTGCAACACTTAAAAAACGGGGGAAAGTATTTAGGGAAACGCGATTCCCTCCCTTTTCCACCCTTCCTGAACATAGTGTAAATCATACTCATCCCCATTTTTAAATAGGCAAATCCATAACCGACTCATTATCCATGTGGGCTAAGGATTCGCAACCCCATCTCATTCTCACGGCTTTCAGGTACCACTAGGGTTGTTAATTTGGTTTGGTTTGGTTAACCAAACCATTAAGTATGAAAAATCAAAAACAAAAAACCAAATCCCAAAAACCAAAATCAAAACCATTAAGGTTTTGGTTTGGATAACCAAAAAACCAACATGTACTCATACACTCATATTTATTCCTATTTCCCTCCTTTTTATTGAATAAACGTCATAATAATGGTAAATGACCATTACAAATTATTGGTTAGCATGCATGTCAAAAGAAACAAAGAAAATATATTTGTTGATAAATAATTTTATTCTTATTGGTTTCTTAATGGTTTCCATTGGTTTTTCGGTTTTAACCAAACCAAAATCATTAAGTTGCTTATTGGTTTAAAACCAAAAAACTGAAACCATTAGCTTTCCAATTGGTTTGGTTTTGGTTAAAACCAAAAAACAAAAACCAAATGGACAGCCCTAGGTACCACTAGGTAATACCCGCTCTGTATACCCAACATAACTACCTAAAATTCAACATGTATACCTTAACTTATAACAATAAACGGATATAATAAGTCATGAAATCGACAAAGCCACAATAATTACCCTTTTTTCATCAAGAGTTGATCTTGTATACCAAGAAATAATCCGGATGAGACGAGTATAGGGCGAGGGAGTCTAAAACCATACCCGTCTCATCCTCGTCAATTTTTTGCTGGTTTTATCAATACCCGCCTCATACATAGTCAATGCGGGAATGCCTGCACTAACTAAGTCAAGGGCAGTCAGTTATCCGCGGCGGTTGATTTGCTTGTCATCCTTACGTTCATCGATGCTAGTTAACTCAAATCCTCTCTCCCTCGCATTCTATGACATGTGATGTGGACCAAAACCCTAGAGCAATGGGTGGAGGTTGTACGTATGTATAAACCCCAATTCTCAGTTGTTGGAAGCAATGATTGTGTAATCGTACTAGAAGTTATGAAAAAGTTAGAAATAAAGTAATTTATACAAAAATCGTGATTAAATTGTGGTTAGTTCGTTTCATACAATTTGGATCCAACAGCAAGTATTTATGATCCGACCTGCACGGTACTGTAGGTTTCGAATACAATGGTAGGAACTTGAAAGGAGAGATCCGAGCTTTACCGAAAAGTGGAAATGGTATGCATCCTAGCCCAAGCTCAAGCAAGGTTCATCCCAACCCAACCCATCACAAAAGGTGCTCTCAACTCCACTCGGGCCTTCTCTCTTGGGAGAGAATATGGTGACAACACCATATTTGTTGTTATTGTAACAACAACATACGGGGACCAATAGGAACCCACCATTGTGCATACTTTTCAATTCCATGCGTTGACTAGGCTAAAAAACAAAGGAAGGGTAATTTTTTCCTACCGAAAAATTGCAGCTCGTTTTGTCCGAAAAATAGGACCTCATTTCTCTATCCCCGCTTTATTCTCTCTCCAATCGCGCAGCGCCGACGCTGAACGAAAACACCAATCGCAGCTAACGCGACGGCGGAACGAGCTTCTGATCCCATCTACCGCAAAAGCGGCGACGGCGGAGCAAGCACAACAGCAACTACAGCGGATAAATCAGGCCGCAGCAGCTCATAACACCATGACGACGCAACGATTTATTCCAATGCCCTTTATAAATAAAATAGTCAAATCTTAAATTACATCGAGAAAAATTTTCGTAAATAAAATACTAGAAACACACACTTGTAGTTCGAAGCAACGCCCTAACACATGGGCAAACTCAATACTTAAAATCTCAAAGTGATCTCCGGTATGTACTCATAATCATAAATGTAAGGCAAAATACAGTTTCATAGCCATAACTATTCCCGTTGTGACAAATATAGCCAAATTTTGAAAAATACACTAATATAGCCAAAAATTTAAAGTTTGTAAAACTTTATTGTCAACTATAGCCATTTCCGTTACTATCGTTAATTTCATCACGAACGCCGTCAACACCAAGTGATGTGGCTTCCACCTGGACGATATGTCATCGCCAACTAGATTCAGTTTGCCCACGTCATCGCTGACTTGGATTCCACCAACAGATTAAAAAAATCACCATTCTCATCTACCCAGAGATTCTACATCTCTATTCTCTATCACCGCCTGCAAAAAAATCCATCTCTTCCTCTTGAACCGCCGCTACCGCCGACAAATCCAAAACCTCGCAAGCAATCAACTTTATCAAGTTTCTCATAAGGCTAACTAATTGCTCCCCAAGTTAAATGGAGCTTTGAATCTAACACCTATCATTACATTAGTTGCAGCTTCATTGAAATCAAGATTCAGAGAGTTCATAAATGGCGAATCTATTCAAAAATCGGAAGGTGAAATTGGAGCAAACCTTGGCGGCATTAACTACAGGCTGGGTGTCAATGTCGGTGCTCTGAATGGCCTATTGGGCCTTCCATAAGATCTCGGAAATAACCGGTGAGGGATGAGGCGATATGGTCTTTGGAAACGAAGACTGCTCGAGCTTCTGAGGAAGTCGAGAAGAGACCCAGGAGTGAGATGGTGGTGGAAGTTGGGAGGGAATCGGAGATGGGTCGTCGCGACTGTGCAGCGGGCCTCAGAAATGAGAGCTTAGAAGGATTTTATGGTGCCAAGGGAGTGGAGCTTGGTCAAAGGATGGATTGTGGTTGTCGCAAGTCACCTCTGTTACAACAGTCCCCCGCCGCAGAACCCTTCCTGTGATGTCGCTTCATTTCTCTGCCGGCCGAGTTAGGGATTTCAAAATTTAGGGTTTCCTGTTTGCAGAGTTATTTCCGATTGAATTTGGGGTTAGAGATTTCGAAATTAGTCGGGATATGAGGAAGAAGATGAAGATGGATGGGTGGATGATCGATGGCGGGGAAGATGAAGATGGATGGGTGGACGATCAATGGCGGAGAAGAAGAGGAAGAAGATGAAGATGGATGGGTGGGTGAAAAGGATAAAGTAGGTTTTTGTTTTTTTAATTAATAAAAATTAAAATATATTCCACATCACATTGCCACGTCGACAAAAAATCACCATGTCATCAACAATCGTTTGTCCAGTCACCAGTCGTGATAGTGTCGTTAAACTTTTGGACGGAATGGCGATATGAGTGTATTTTTCAAAATTTGGCTATATTTGTCACAATGTGAATAATTATGGCTATATGAGTGTAAATAACTAATAGTCTCTAATGTTGTTGCTACTTGCTACTGAAACCTTGACTAAACATCCTCTGTGACGCTTATACTGCCCTTCTCTAGCTGGCTGCCCTCGAATTCGCTGCTCACTAACTGCTCCTCTAGCTCCTCCTTTAGCTCTTCAAACTGGTGAGTGAGATGGGGTCAGTCTATGCCCTTACGTTTAACATCTTATTAATACTTGATCACTTTACTTAACTGAGTGGAAGTTGTTTTGTACTTCCACTATTAAAAAGCTTAACTCTTAAAACTGTATTCTTAAAGCTCAAATCGCCACTTAAATTCTTGACTGACACGGGGATCCCTCACTAGCTAGTCCGGTTGCCAACTCATACGTATGAGAAGCCATCCAAGCTTTCCTTAAACTTAAACTTATCGTGGAAGGCTCTTCTTCCACGATTCTCAAGAGCATAAATGCTGCTCATCTTAAAAATCTCATGAGCATAACTGCTGCTCAACTTAAATATCTCAAGAGCATAACTGCTGCTCTGCCTCAAAGATCTCAAATGGCAACGTACTAGCGCTAGTGACTAAAACCACTTAAAACGACTTCATCTTCTTGCAGGTGAGTTACTTCTTATAAAGAACTTGTTCTTAAACTTTAACAATAACTTATACTCGTAAAATTTCAAAGTAAATAATAAACATTCACTTCAATTCATAATTCAAACAATTCACATATCATCAACCAAACGCATAAACAACCATATCAACCACTTCACAAATTACTTAAAATGCGTAAGGTAATTGCTTGAAAATACGTAAGGCGTAGAATTTACCCCCTTTACACTCACCTTATCAATCAGTTGGTCTGTGTTATCAACCATCGAATAGCTCACCCGATGTTCAAACTTTTTGCTCGGGATGAACCCATCATTTGGCCATGTCCTTGGATTGCATCAACTCCCTCTCCACGTTGTGCCAAATCCACGTCATCACATGCGCCCCAATCCAAGTCATCACCGCTCGTGATCGTCCCTTCCACTACTCCCCATTGGCTATACCTTTCTCCAATCCTTAGTACCACCTTGAGAAGCATAAATCTACTCGAACTCTCTAGCAAAGAGCGCCAGTTATGTACAGATCCCTCCATTCTCTCTTTCTCCCTTATAACGAGCTCAACCCCATGTAACCATATGCAACAAGAAGTTGCAATCTTACGATTGGAATCCTGTCCACTTTCTAAAATTACTAATATCGCTTCCTCTCGAGACCGCCATTACAATCCCGCACCTTCCTCCATTCCCAACTCCTCTGTAATAAAACCTCCATTCACCATCAACATCCCCACCTTCCATTTGCACCAAACAAGGACATCCAACTCCCTGATTATCCCAGCCATCTTCCTCTTCTCCACGTCTCAAAACCGCATCACCTTCGTCCGCCCTTCTCCACTCTCTCAGTCCATCGCTGAAAACTGCAATGCCAATGCTCCTCTTTCCATCACCATCAACGCATTCATATGCCATCACGTAGTTCCCATCTTTCTTGTTCTTGATAATGCTAGCATTCACCGCATCGAGCTCATCAAACCCGCCAGCTTTTCCTCCTCCTAATACCTCCCCAGCTTCACCCATTTGATCCCATCTCTTGATCTCGCCATCCCAATACAGAATTGCTTGCTCTTTACATCAAATGAGTGGTAATACATTCTAAGATCTCCACTCCCATGGAAGACAACTTGCGTCCCAGCAATGAACAGAGAATCCCATTCCCCATCAGAACCAACATCGAAAAGAGCTCCACTGTGATGCTCACCTTCAATTCTAGCCCAATACCTTCCATCCTGACTTATTGCCAAACCTGGCAAAGACCTAATAAAAACCTCTCCTTTATCACCATTTTCCCTCGCTTTCTGTCTAGCGTGCATGATCTGCCCATCTCCGCTTGTAAATTTGGGAAGGCCATTAGCTAGCCAGGAACCCCTTTTTTCTAGCAATGAGGAGTCGGCTGCTGCAGCTTCGGATTAGCTTTAGGTTTTCTTATAGGTGGTATTTAAAAGGTCCACATGGAGCCGAGTGAGAGGTAGGGTTAGGGTTTAATTACGCCAGGTTAATTTGGAAATTTCATAATTACATGTGAGTTTAATCCGAAACTCAGTTAACGTCTATAATTTTCTCACTTCGTGTTGAAACTTGACACCGTTTGAACTATTAGTTCACACTTTTAATCCTCATCGATAATACGGTGGAACTTGACCAAAGGGTATAATAGTCATTTTTATTTTTTGGAAGAGCGGGGTGTAACAAATCAGGCCACAACATCTCATAACACCACGACGACGCCACGATTTACTCCAACTCGCATCATTCAAAGAGAAAACAACAGTCACGATAGAGTAAGCTACAGATCTAAGACATTACAACACCAACAAAAAATCAGGAACCAAGTCATTGAAGATGGACGAGAATCCTGTAGATGAAGTTTCTGTTGGTTCTGTAGATGCTCAACAACTCCTGCAAATTGCAACATCTTCTGACAATGCAACAAAAAGCAGACAGCAGCTGGAAACCTCTATTTCCACCAACAGTGCCAACAATGAACAAGAAGAAGGTACGCTTAAATCAATCCTTCCTGTTTTCTTACGATGAACACCACATTCACGCTTATACAAGCCATTTTCCATATCATAAGCAGTACAAATCAAACCGCCCATCAAAACAAACAAAAATCCCACAAGCGGTACCAAAACCATCGGCAAACACACCACATTCTTCCCAAAACAATCCACAGGAAAAAAAAGACAATCAACCAAAATACTTGAAAAGCAAACCACAAAACTTCTTAAGCACACCAAAACACCTCCAATGCACACCATTAAAACCTAAATCGTTACATTCCACAATCTGTTTGTAAAAAAAATCACACACTGTAATGCAAACCATAAATGTCATAAAAGCATCACGAATAACTACAATGCAAACCACTTTTCACTTTTCCAGTAAATATCATCGCAAAATGGAATGATCAAGTGCTCATTTCTTTCATCATTACTTACAGGTGTGACATCAAACAGATCCAAGTCAGACTACACTAGTTTGGGGTTGGCATTCAAAATCATTGAGGAAACAAAACAATTCTACAAGAACTATGCTCACGATCTTGGCTTCAGCATGAGGGACATGGGAACTGTCAAACGTTCTACAAAATGTCAGCCAACCAAAACAACACGATATGCTAGGTATTGTTGCAGCAAAGAAGGGTACAAGACAACAAACAAGTCAAATCCCAAGAATAAAGGATCAATCGATGTCAAGGCTTATCCACGTGTTGTACCAGACACTAGAGTCGGCTGCCCAGCTATAATCAAATTCAGATATGATATCAAGAAGGATGAATGGCTGCTGGACAAGTGGATAACAAAACACAACCATGATCTCCTCCCTCCAAAATTCAAGCATGTGTTAAGGTCAAACAAGGGGATCTCAGAAATGCATGCAATGGTCGCAAAAGTGCATGCAGATCGTGGAGTTTCACTACGACAATCATACGAGTTGTTCACCACAACTTCAGGGGCGAGGTTGAATGTACCTTTTACCCCTCATGATCTGAAGAACTATATCACAGGGACGAGGTAGAAATCAATGAAACCAGGCAAAGCAACTATACTTCTTCAACATTTTAGTCGGGAAGCTTATAAGAATCCATCATTCTTCTATGAAATTGAGGTGGACAATAACGAAGATATGGCAAGTATATTCTGGGTTGATGCAAGAATGTGGTTCGACTACAGTTTCTTTGGAGATACGATCAGTTTCGACACCACATACCGGACAAACCAGAATTATCGTCCACTAGATCAGTGTTCCTTGCACTAGTTAATTTTCATGAGATTTCAAAGTTGAATGCACACCAAACATTACGCAATGCATACCATAAGTAACATAAAACCACGCCAAAAACTCTTAAAACAAACGGGAAAAAAAAAACATGAAACATTCTTTTTCAGAATCCTCACCACAAACCTCCTAACCCACACAAAACACGTCCTGAAACACACCATGTATATCATAAAAGACAGTCTGTTTGTTTCAATACTTAATTCTATGTTGTTCTTTTTTTAACAAAATTACAGCTTTGTTTGTTGACTTCAACCACCATCGCGCACTCTGCATCTTCGGGACTGCTCTCCTATATGATGAAACAACCGCTACATTCAAGTGGTTGTTCGATGCATTCTTGAAATGTATGTCAGGCACCCGACCAACATCAATATTCACCGACCAGGCCTGGGATTAGATTCGTCATTCCTGAAGCATTCCATGAATTGTGTACTTTTCATATCAAGCAGAATGCAGTGAAGCATCTCGACACCATAAACACAGACATTCTAGAATATCTGAAATATGTCACTTTTGTAATAGAAAATGAAGAAGAATTTGAGTACAATTGGTCAAAGTTGCTACACACATATTATCCAGAAGAAGGCACCAATCCAAGAAACTGGTTGGATTCAATTTACAAGGTGAGGAAACAGTGGTCTTCAGCATGGTTTAAGGACCACTTCACAACTGGTATGCGAAGCTCACAACTGAGTGAGTTTTGTAACAGCAACCTCAGAAACTACCTTCAATCAGATGACAACCTAGTTGAGTTCTTCACATACTTCAACAAGTTGCTCGAACGGAAAAGATCAGACGAAATGGACATGGATTATCAAATGGCAAACACAGTCCCAAACAACATATATGTATTACTTCCTTTATTTTAACTTTTTATAATGTAGAATGCATCCACAAGTCTCCTTGTGCAAACAAAAAACAGTAGCAAACACCCCCACAATCGATATAAAACCCTACCAGAACAGTAGAATACAAACCAGACACCACCCTAAACGACCCATAAACCCTACAATCCACACCATACATCACCTAATACAACTCATAAACTCCACAATGCACACTGCACCACCTTAAACAACCCATGAACTCCACAATCCACACCACGCACGACTTAAAATAACGGCTAAATTACACATTTGGTCACTCAGATTATACAAACCTTTCACGTTTGCCACCCGAATTACTTTTCTTTCTTATTCGCCACTAACTTTGAGAATCGTTTCACCGTTAGTCACCGGCCGTTACATTCCGTTAACTTTGTCCTACGTGGCAGTCAACTATAAAATTTGACTGTTAACTGGATGACGTGGAAATTAAAAAATAATAAATAAATTTATTTATTTTTCCACCTCATCACTCCACTTACTTTATGATCTATTATATTAATTATTTAATAAAAATCAATTAAATCAGTAAGACAAACTAGTCTAGCAGTAAATTGCAACTCATTCAGTTGTCTAAATCTTGAAACCTTAGTCTGCCAAAGTCGCTTCAACAAGAAGAGTAATCCCCCTCGCCGTGAATGCTCCAATCATCCACCAGCTCGTTCTCGACAACCGATTCAACATCGTCCTGATCGGAGTTGTCGTCGGAGATAACGATCGGGTTGTAAAAGTAGGTTGGGGGCCAGGCTTGATTAACGGAAACGGACTCACCGCCGTCTTCATAAACGCTGCTAAGGAAATCAGACATTTTACCCAGTGACAGAGCCCAAGCCGGCAGTTGGACGACTCCGGTCGGTTTCTTGTACTCTGCGAAACCATGGGTTGGGAGATAATTGGAGCGCTTAATCAAAATCTTCAGTCTAATTGACTTTCTGATCTCTCCGACGTAGCGCAGCGCTAGCACTCATCATCCTCTATGTCTACAAGATCAAAAAGAAGAAGGTTGCCACAGCTGCCGCCGCTTCGGCGAAAGCTAGTGAAGGAAAGCCCCCTAGTAAACAGAGTAAGAATACACGAATCCCATTCGGAAACCATCATCGTCAGCACATCCCTTGATGAAGAGCCCAAACCATCGGAGCCTATGATTGTGTGTCCAATTAGATCAGCCTGGAATGGGTTGTGGCGGCAGGAAACAAATGAAATGGTTGGGGAATCGACAGGGGAGAGGGGGTGAAACAGAACTCAACTAATCAATTATTGTTTCTTTACGAGAATAGAGTTTGGTTAGTTTTTGCGCACTGATAAATTGATTTGCTTCTAGGGGGAAAATGTGAAAAGGAAATAAGGTAGGTCATTTTCGTTCTGGAAAGTTTTTGGGCCAAACAAAACCCTGGGCGTCGTGCCTGAAGGGCAATATCGGCGGAGGGGAAACATCGGAATCAACAAATTCCTCTTCCGACAGCGACCGGGAAGATCGAAATAGCGCCGACGGCGGAGGGGATAATTTGGTGATGGTAGACGGGGAGGCGAAGAAGGAGACGATGCTGAAGGCGTCTGCGTAATTTCTGGGTTCGAGTGGCAGAGGGAGCATCGCGTACAAGGTTGTGCTCGCAGACGGGATGGTGTTCGTCGTGAGAAGGATCGGGGAGACTAGCGGTGGAGCGGTTGGGAAGGGAATGAAGGAATTCGGAGGGAAACTGGGCAAGTGAAGACGATTGCAAAGTTCCGACGAAGCGAAGATGAAAAAAGGGAAAAGGAATAGGATAAATCAACTACGACCTCTGCAATTCCTTTCCTCCTCGCTCATAACTAATTTTTATTAAATAATTAATATGATAAATCATAAGTGGAATGTTGAGGTGGAAAAATAAATTATTTTTTTAATTTTTTAAAATTTCCACGTCATCTAGTTAACGGTCAAACTTTATAGTTGACTGCCACGTAGGATAAAGTTAACGGAGTGTAACGGCCGGTGACTAACGATGAAATGATTCATAAAGTTAGTGGTGAATAAGAAAGAAAAGTAATTCGAGTGGAAAACATGAAAGATTTGTAAAATTTGAGTGACCAAAAGTGTAATTTTGCCTTAAAATAACCCATAAACCCCACAAATCCGCACCACAAACAGTACAATACATACCATAAAGTCACTAATGTAGACAAGATGCTTATGAATAATTGTATGTTGTATGTCATCTTCCAACAGGTATGACAGAAGCCCACTTGTTCAGCAAGTCGCAAAATTATACACAACTAAGATCTACAGTTCTTTCCTTGAGGAGTATTCAGAAAGCCTTGCTTTTTTTGTGTTCTGGAATGAATCTATGGACAAAGATGGAATGAAAACTTATGAAGTGAAGAAACTGGGAGGATTAGGCAAAAGAGTCGTGTTAGTGAACAAAGAGGAGAAGAAATACAAGTGCTCGTGTCGTTTGTTTGAAAGTTCAGGCTGGTTGTGCAGACATATAATCAAGCAGATAGAGATGGTTGGATTCAATGGTGATGATATTGAGCAATTGAATATCCCTAAGGAATACATTCTGCCACGATGGACGAGAGCTGTCAAATCTGGAGAGAAGTTCACAATAAATACAACAGAATATGCTGCAGCAGATACTTATGCAGGGAGGTATCAAGAACTGTGTGCTAGCATAGTTATCCTAGCAACAAAAGTCTCAATGCATGACAATGTCTTCTCAATGATTAAGGAAAAGATAGCAGAGCTCACTAAACTAGTTTTTCAAGGCCTTCAGACTCAAGGAACAAAACTTGGTAATTTCACACATCTTGTTAGCAACCCTACTTATGTTCCAGTAATTGTTTAATCCAACCCACTAATGATCTAATCCAAACCAACAACATCTAAATCAATCAAATGGAACACACCTCTTACCTTGCATGTTATTTGTTCAACAGTTGGAACCACCAGTACATCACCCTCACTAAGCGTTGCTGCTTCAGCTACGAATGACAAGTATGCCAATGTGAAGGTATTCAAGGCTCGACAAGAACAATGGAAATCAAATAAGAGGTCAATAGGTGGACTTGAGATAGTGCTAGAGAGGGCTAGAAATCAAATAATTGATGAACAGGCTGCCAACAAGCGTTACAAAAGCAACAATGAGTGATTAGTCTCCTAGTTGTTATCCATGTTTTTTTAACTGTCATAAACTTTTAGATTTGAATGACAACTGTGAGACAAATATGAACAGTTCCAGGTTTTGATAATATTTGAACAAACAATAACACCGATGCAGCAGAACAAACTACATATGTACTAACACACACCATACATTGTAAAACCCTGAGGAAAAGAAACAAACTAAAAAACTTATGAACCATACTACAATACCCGTTAAACAATCCAAATGTCTTATAATACACACCATACCCGAAGAATAAAACTACAAAACCTACTTCACAAAACCAACCCACAAACATATGGAAACTTTTCAGAACACTCATTAAGCAAACCACATATGTACTAACACACACCATAGATTGTAAAAACCATGGGAAAAAGAAACAAACTATAAACCTTATGGACCACACTACAATACCCGTTAAACAATCCACTTGTCTTATAATACACACCATAAACGAAGAAAACAAACTACAAAACCTACTTAACAAAACCAACCCACAAACATATGGAAACTTTCCAGAACACTCATTAAGCAAACCACATATGTACTAACACACACCATACATTGTAAAAACCCAGGGAAAAAGAAACAAACTATAAACCTTATGAACCACACTATAATACCCGTTAAACAATCCACAATTCTTCTTAATCAAACCACAACACTTAAGATACAGAACACAAAAGCCTTAATCAACACCATTACCAACTGTTAATACAATTGTCACTATTCAGGCATAGAAATACATATTAACACACTAATTCTGAAACGGTTGCTTATCATACAAATCCCATAGCAACTACATCCTAAAACCAACTAGTCCTCCTTGCGATCAAACTCCAAACTCTTCTTCTTTACCTCTTCAAGTAAACTGTTCTTCTTGTTCAGCATCAATGTTAATGTGATCTCATCCCGCCTCTGCTTGACTTCTTTTTGCCACTTCTTCATAACTGACACTAGTTTGCCTTCCCAAAACTCAACAAAACATAATAAAAACACCACAGTCAACCCCACCACGTTGTCTCAACCCTCGCATTTTAACCCACTTAAATTCTTCAAATTTGTAGCCTTCTCGTCGACAGGCAGGGATGTATTCTGTGGCATAGCAGACCACCATATCTGCAACCGCACAAAACTTGGAATCAAGTTCTTCAGGGTAAAGGCTGTCAAGATAATCGTACCGTTTGTTCTTCAGATTCACTACATACATCCTGTAGTGTCCATCATAACAGTGTGGGAACATCCACTGCACAGTACAGAACAAAAACAAGTCAGTACTTCAAATGCACAATGAAGAAAAAACAACAGATAAAAACAATGTACCAAATATGACTAAAAAAATACATACAAAATCACATTATGAGAAGTCCAAATCACCTGGTATCCACTTGCAATTTGTCATAATTTCATCAGTCTCTTCAAAAGAATTAGGCACCGGTCCAGACTCTAGCAGTATCATTTGCACTTTTTGCTACAAAGTAGAACACACCAAAAACACAGTAAAACAAACCAGACGTATTATAATGCACACCACAAAAACCCTAAAACAAACCAGAACTAGCAGAAAATGTAACTCACCACCAACCCTGTATAGAACACCCATCTTTTCAGTTTCCCTCTTCTCACTTGCTCCCGATTCAGATAAGCAGAATAACGGTCCACAACATCTACACTCACCCATTGCCCATGTGTCAAAGTCTTTGTGTCCTTTCTGTACAAGCAATTGTATCCATCAACACGATTGAAAAGGAGTTCCTTCCTATTTTTCATAATTCCATAACAAACAAAATATTCAGCATTAGAAAAGTATTAATAAGCACTATATATAAAAATATATACAAACAACCACATATGTATGAAATATATACACATTAACTTACAAGTTACTCGAATCCCTTGCATATCGCAACACAACACACTTCAACACATCATCATCGACACCTGATGACCCTCCAGCATTCTTCACCTTTAATGTTTTCTGATTTTTAAAGCAACCCACAAATTAGATAAAGCAGCACAAAAAACAACTAAAACTAACTACAAATGCGATAAACCACACTACAAAAACAAACCAAAAATGGAACACTGTACAATAAATTACATTTCCCTTACTAAGTCTCTCAATTAGCCAATTTAGTCAAAAGCATGATTCTACCTAGAAGTGGTTGGGTGACCTAGAAGCGTAAAATCGCAAGCTTTTAAGTTTTAAAGCATAGATTTTGACTACATTTGTAAGGGAAAATCATGATTCTACGTAAAAGCGTTTTGGTGACCTACAAGGGTAAAAGCGTAAGTTTTTAAGTTTTAAAGCGCGATTTTGACAACATTGCAATTAGCTGACTCAATGGTAAAAATCAGAAAACATTTTCCTTTTGGCAATAAATTACCACCCTCAAGCACCTCACCAGCATTAGTTTCTTTCCTTTTGGCATCAACCACCACATTTTCACGAACACCCCCCATAGCAGACTACAGAAATCACACCACAAAAGTTTTTAACAAAACCAGATATATGTAAGCCACACTACTAACAAATACAAAACAACCTACTACAAAAGACACAACAAACAAACCAAAAACAGTAATAATCCACACAACAAATATTGAAACACAAAACACTAAAATACCTTTATGACCTTGTTAACCAAGTTATCCAACTTAGCAGCGTCAACACCATCAACATTGTCATCTCCATCATCATCTTGTCCCTTTTCCTCACAGCTATACATTTGAGAAACACTGCCAGGAGCACAAACCTTCTTAGCATTCTCAGAATCAACATTTTTTTGTCATCTCCATTGTCAGCTCATCAAGCCCCTTCGGATCTGATACTCTCTTAGCAACAGTATCATCATTAGCAGAGCCAACAGGATCATTGTGACCAACATCTGGAGACACGTCCTTGCTTTCCTAACCACCAGCATCAACAGTACAAACACCATCCTTATCCATCTCCATTTTCAAATCATCAAGGCCTGGGGCCTTTGGATCTGATACTCTGTTAGCACCAGTCTCATTATCAGCATTGGCAGCAGATGCATTGCGACCGACATCATTGGTTCCCTTACCAACAACAACATCCTCAACAGTATAAGTGAAATCAACATTATCTTCGGGACTGTCCTCTGTTTGCTGCCCCTCCAGCATCTTTATATGGTCATCAACTTGTTCAATATTGGCACTGTAATGACTAGCCATCCTCAACAAAGCCCTCATAACTTTCCATGTCATTCTTCAACTGATATGCAAACCACTATTCTTTTAACAGAAACCACAAGTACACTAAAGCAACCCATAGAACAAACAATAGAAAACACAACTAACCAGCACAAGAATAAAATAAAGTATTTCTTAAACAAACTAATGCAAACCACTATCCTTTTAAAGCACACCAAAAGTACGCTAAAGCAAGCCATAAAACGAATAACACAACAAAATCACTCACATCTTCAACCGAATGCATACCATCCAAGTTGATGTCAAGATGAGGCAGCTTCGGAAGATCCCCTTCCCTCTCCATATCAAGATCATCCACCACCCTTTTCCTTTTTGTACCCTTCACACGTCCTTGTCCCATTGGTTGACTGGAGGTTGCTTGTTCTTCCTCCACTACACATCAATGACCAACAGAGAGATGGCCTTCGTCCATCAATACTTGAAAAGCATCACTTGCGACTTAGTACGACTTGTGCCTACAGGTCGGTATGGGCTACTAGAGGGGTTCTTCAAACGGTCAAGAATAGAAATATGCCACACATACAAACAAACAGAAGTCAAACAACCACAAACAAACTGTGCCAGAAAGATTATAATACACACCACACAAATGATAAACTATACCAGAAACATTATAACAGGGGGAACCAAACCATAAATATTTTTAAACAAACCATAAACATCGTCAACCACACCACATTCGTCAATTAACAAACCATAAATGAAACTATACTAGAAACATTATAACAGAGGGGAGGAAAACCAAACCATAAATATTTTGAAACAAACCATAAACATCTTCAACCACACCACATTCGTAAATAAACAAACCATAAATGAAACTATACCAGAAACATTATAACAGAAGGGGAAAACCAAACCATAAGTTTTTGAAATAAACCATAAACATCTTCAACCACACCACATTCGTCAATAAACAAACCATAAATGAAATTATACCAGAAACAGTATAACAAAGGGGGAAAAACCAAACCATAAATATTTTTAAACAAACCATAAACATCTTCAACCACACCACATTCGTCAATAAACAAACCATAAATGAAACAGTAAACCAAAATTCAAAAAGAGGTATATTTGTCTACTTACAAAAAGAAGATGAACGTCACCAGGGAACTTTGTTTTTTATTGAACCACTTCAACCATACTTTCATTGAAATGGTCAGCCACATGCTTGCACCAATTATACTGGTTGAAGTCCGCTACCATTTCATCTTGCAAAAACCCAACATAGGAGAGGTTAACCTTCAAATTTCCACTGGAACACAGAACTGCCTCCATTGCATACAGCACAAAAAGATCCCTCCACTTCTTGTTGTCCTTCTCCTCTTCCAATGCTAGTTTAACGTTCGCCAATGTCGCCTTTCCTTTCCTAGAGTTGGGAAGCCTTAAGTGAATTCCCCACTTGTGCCTCTGGTTTGAACTGAACATATCCAGCTTAACAACATACGGTCCACGCGGCAAACCATAGACTCTCTCCACATCTGCCTCTCCAATTCTGAACTTCCCTGACCGAAGCAGCGGGAAAGACCTTGAACTGACATCAAAACTTTTGCAAAGCCATTCAGTAAAATTATCCGGGAGTCTCGTAAGCTTAACCCTCGACACACCCCTAAAACCCAGAGGATCAAGCATCCACAGTTTTTCTTCATTTTTACTTTCAGCATTCATGATAGCAAGATTCTGATTATTATTACTGCGATGCCTCTTATTCGGCTTTTCAGGCACAGGAGAAACACCAACTTTCTCTCGCTTAGGTGTTGGGGCTTTTTCCTTTTGTTTCCCCTTTACTACACGTTTCTTAGCAGGTGCCATGGCTACAAAGCAACCAAAACACAAACCAACATAAGTAATCTAATACCAGAACATCTGAAATGCAAACCACCAAGGGCCAAATGCAACTGTACAACCGTGAAAACAATTCAACAATCGAATGTAAAGGACACAAACAAAACTGCAAATGCACACCAGTAAATCTCCTAAACCAAACTATGAAATCCGAGACACAAACCACAAAACTTTTTAAAAGAACCACCAAAAGCAACCTGGAAATATAAGATAGTTTTATTAAAAACCTCCAGAAAGGCCCCAAGCGAACCCACAAACACCCTAAATTTCTGCAAATACAAAGCGCACCACCAAAATAAAAAACAAAACAATAGAACTACCAAACACCACCACAAACGACTCATGAGAAACCAGAAACCCTAAAATGAACACAACAATAAGGAAATATGGAAAGAACACCACAAAAATGAAGAAACATTCAATAAAACCTAACCAGAACGCATATGTATGAAATTTACTCGTCTCCTACAAAAAATTAACACTGGAAGCATGAAAACATCGCAGAAAAGTGGAAAACGAAAGTAACAAAGTGCAAACATAAAAACAACGGTTATAAATTCAATAGCAGTAGCAAGCAACGATAGTGTAGGTAAACTAACACCACACAAGTGGAACTTCGGCGACGCCAAACGACGACGACGACTGCGAAGGCCAAAACTGACGACAGAGGAGAAGATAGTTTAGCGGAGGAATCACCAAAGGACGGCATACCTCAAAATTCACGTCGACGACGGAGGAGACGGAATCGTGCGAAGGAAATCCACAAGCCACAGTAGAAGCGTGCTGTGGACGCTCGATGCGCGAAGGAAATCCTCGAGCACAGGGAGAGAGCAACCGACGCAGAGCAGTCGTGAGCAGGGGGAAAGCGGAAAACTGAAATAACAGGTATTGCGCGCTTCAATGCATCTATTATTAATTTTGAATTTCGAATTTTAATACAGAGTAAAATGACACTACTGTCCTTGTTGTTTGTTATTCTATCCGAGCCCTTTTCACTTCCTAATCCGCGTATCGTTGGGCCAAATTCTCAGGCCCACAAGTCCCTGTCCTTGTCACGTGTAAGAGTGGACACGTGGAAGAAGCTGACGTCTCGCCTGCCAACGCAACAGAATGGTAGACCCCAACAAACATTTGGCAATTGGCGGGCGCCCAAAGTCTGAAAAAACTCAAAACTTCAAACTGTGATGCGGCCCCCGGCCCAAGGTTCGGCTTTTGTCCTATCCACCATTCAAACGAGGGAATTGGTAGGCTCGGGAACCAACCTAACCACGAACCGAAAATTTTAAAAGGTTAGCGAACCGACACGGCTCTCTGCATTCCCGAGTCAAGACAGAGACCCGATTCCTCTCTAAAATCCAACCACGCCATCTCTCTCTGGCTGTCTGTTTGTGATTTATTCCCTAAATTAACTCTCTAATTACATTTAAATCTTGTGGCTGAAAATAGGAAACAGTATCTCGACGTCACATTATCACAATCTCCAAATTAATATAATTTTTATTTAATTACAACCCGTAAATTAGATCCAATCCGAAATCTCTCTTCTTCTTAATTCCCTCATCTCTCCGACTCTCCCATGCTGCGTAGTAGTAAATGCGGGCGGTGTTGGTCTACTCTAGTTGACTGTTCGATATAATACTTAATTAAAATGAAAATAAAAAACCAGAGCAGTAAAACACGGAAAAAACAAAAATTAAATACGGTAGAGAAAGAAAAAAAAAAAAAAAAAGGAAGAACCCTAAGAATATGCAGATGCAGTTGACAGACTGTTTGTCTTCTTCTCTCCCTCTTTCCCCCCAACCAGCTGAGTGACGAGAGAGCGAGCCAAATAGCTCTCCAGTGTCCCGCCGACTCCTCCCACCTCCGTTTTGCTTCAATCGATCATTCCCGTCGGAAGGAAGGTTGGTGAACAGAGTTCGACTCTGATGTCTGAAGCTCACCTTGCTCCTTAGTCTCTGAATCGGAAGATCAAGAAAACCAAAAGGCCGCCATTTCCAGAGCGACTCCAAGCTTTACCTTCTTCTTCTGCTTCTGATCAGAGAAGCAGTGTAAGCAGGTCCGTCTCTTTCCCCGCGTCTCTGCTTTCTAATTTTTGTTTCGCTTCTGGTAATTTGACAAAAACCGACCCCTGGATTCCCGCCTTTTTACCATTTCCCTTTGCAATGTTTCAAGATTTGTCTCCATGACAGGTTTTCTGGATCCCCCTCTCCCCTGCTTTTCTTCCTTTCAGCTGTCCGTTTCTCTTCTTTCTTCCCTAGAAAAGGGCCATCTTTCACGTTCTTATGCTGACTACCGTGTAAATCATTTCAAGGGTTTTTGCTCTTTAAATGTGTGGGAAATTATTGACTGGTAATGTTATTATATTTGTAGATTGGGTGATTATACCTGTTGGGGTTTGGCTAAATTAAATGAACGGCAACTACTCTCATCACATGCAACAACAACAACAACAACAGCAGCAGCAGCCTCAGATTTCGTCTTCAAGCAAATAGCTCCCACTCCCGCAAATCATACCCACAAGTTAAGAAGGAAAGAAAAGAAGGTCAGCTTCCTTCCGATCCACATCCTCTGTGTATCGGCCAAGAGGGAAGGAGAGTTCATCCTCATTGCAGTTTGCCTTTGTTTTCTGATGTCGGTTCTTGAAAGAAGTCTGTCGTCCTCTTCATCGTCGTCTTCCTCGACGATCTCGGTGAGTTCGGGCGATCGGGAGGTTGACCCGTTGCTGAACGATTTAGATGAGAAGAAGCAGAAATTTAGGCGCAACGTGGTTTCTCTGGCTTCTGAGCTCAAGGAAGCTCGCGCCCGCCTCTCTTCTCAACGTGAGTCGTTTGCTAAAGAATCGTTAAGCAGACAGGAAGCGGAAAACAGAGCCAAGACCATGGAGCAGCAGATTTGTAGACTCCACCGCACTTTGGAGGAGAGGAATTCCGAGCTCCAGGCCTCTGCTTCTACTGCCGAGCAGGTCCCCCCTAATCTCCCACCACCCAATTCTTTTTATCATTTTTACCTTTCCATTTGGCTTTTGGCTGCTTTGATTATTGTTCTTTTGTGGGTTCGATCTTTGCCTGGAATCTGCTTTCTCCCTTTTGCATGAATTTGGAAATCTTAATCATGATCCCTCAATAATGGATTTGTCTTGCTTATAGTTATTCTTCGATCCGTATATTCCCCCATCCGCCTCCATCATCATGAATAGTAATTTTTTTGCCACAACCTTTTTGCCCTCTTTTGCTTGTAATTTTCCCCTTACTTGTATTGCTTCTTCCCTTTTGTAGAGGAGCCCACCAGTGTGGTAAGCTACCTCCTTGGTACAATAGTGTGATTGATCTATAGGAACTGTCTCCATAGTTGGAAATGTTGAGGGTTTCTCTTCCCTTTCAGTGGGTTCGTTTAATCCTATGGTTTAGCATATAAATGATTATGCACTGATTGAGAAAGATTGGTAGAAGTGGTCCTCTATCTTCTTCGGTGTAAATCATAGTTAAGAATTCCCTAAAGAGAACCAACATTTGGTTTGGATGATTAGCTGTACCATGTTAGTTAGATCTACCACTAATACATACCCTGCTTCATTGGTTACCAACTCTTGCCTGGTTCCATTTAATAGGGGTGCCATTTTGAGAAGTCAACTAGATTGTGCCTAAGCCAAATGCCGGTTTGTTCATGTTCTTGCAGAAATGCTGTTTTTTTTTTTTTTGCTGTCTGTTGCCATTTATTGTATATGCTTAGTTATCTGGTCTTCGGTTTGTGAACAAACTATATGAATTAACCTGATGGAAAAGTGATGTTTCCCATTTGGGTGCAGTACCTCAAAGATTTGGGTAGTTTGAGATTGCAGCTCGCAGCCACTCAAACAACTGCAGATGCAAGTGCAGCATCAGCACAGTCTACACAGTTACTATGCTTGGCATTAGTGAAGGAGCTTGAATCCAAGGCCAGTTCATTAAAAGAGCACGAAGATCGTGTCAGTAGACTAGGAGAGCAGTTAGACAGCTTGCGTAAGGATCTCGAAGAAAGGGAATCTTCTCAAAAGCAGCTCAAAGATGAAGTCTCAATAATTGAGCATGACATTATGCAAGCAGTTGCTGCTGCTGGGGATAGCAAAGACTGCGAGCTGAGGAAGATTCTAGATGAGGTGTCACCTAAGAATTTGGAGAAGATCAATAAGCTTCTAAGCAATAAGGATGAAGAGATAGTGATGTTGAGAGATGAGATAAGGGTCATGTCTGCTCACTGGAACCTTAAGACCAAGGACTTGGAATCTCAGGTAGGGTTTTATCTTTTTCTTCTAGTACTGTCATTTCCAAGTTCTTGCTAATCTTGGGTTTTGCTGATGAGTTCCGATCTTTTCATTACAGTTAGAGAAGCAGAAACGAGCTGATCAAGAACTGAAGAAGAGAGTTTTGAAGCTGGAATTCTGTCTTCAAGAAGCCCGTTCCCAGACCAGAAAGCTCATAAGGGTAACTTGTTTCTTCAGCGCCTAACTTCTCTATTAACTCTGTAACATGCACTTTGCATTTCATTCTTATACATTTGGAATTTTGCTGGAACAGATGGGGGAGAGAAGGGACAAAGCTATTAAGGAGCTTCAGAACCAGTTAGCAGCAAAGCAGGCAGTTGGTGGGGGATTCAGCAGCAACGAAAAACACAACTTTTGGGAGACTTCCAGCTTCAAAATTGTAGCATCCATGTCTATGTTTGTCCTGGTTATATTCTCAAAGCGATGAAGACTGTTTCGATTTAGCGAGAGATTAGAGGTACAGTATATAGGTGTTCCTCTTCCCCTGTAGGTTAATTCTAGTGGGGGATCAGAAGATAGGCTAAGTGTAGTTTGTAGAAAAGGCACGTTGTAGTAATGGCCATATGTGTAAGTCTGGTTTTGTGTAATGTGCAAGACGAATGTGTAGAATATGTGGTTCTGGCAGGTGCAATGCCCACCACAGTAGAGAATTGAAAAACCTTGAACTTCATAGAAGCATCTTTCTTTAATGTCAAACAAAATGTCCGTTATGTAGATTTCATAGTGACAAAAACTAGAATCCAATGTGATCTTTTGTTGGTAGATTTGATGATGAGTGGGTTTTGACTTTTGTTACCCTCATAGGTAGGCAATGCTATTCAATTGACTTATGTGGTAAAGGTCTATTGAATTAGCCGTTAGAGCAAATGATTGATTGGAGCACGCTAAAATCCTAACCAATTCTTGTAATTGGAGTGCTAGTAAGCAATGCAGTCAAAAGTGTGATTCTACCTAGAAGCGGTTGGGTGATCTAGAAGCGTAAAATCGTAAGATTTTAAGTTTTAAAACGTAGATTTTGACTACATTTTTAAGGGAATATCACGATTCTACATATAAGCGTTTTGGTTACCCAAAATGGTAAAAGCGTAAGCTTTTAAGTTTTAAAGCGCGATTTTGACTGCATTGCTAGTAAGTAGTAATCAATAGTCCACCAGCTAAAGTAGATCAAAGCATAATTGCAGGAGATTGCATATGATATTGTTCGATTTAGCATTTTGTTATTCAATGATTCAAGTATATGCAAGAGCATTTTTCGAAGGTCGTGAAATGTGCTTAGGAGTTCAATGTGTGATTCCCTCTCTTGTCCTGCTTCGTGGCTATGGAGATGCTCGGCGAGCCTCGCATCTGTGTGTCAAATCCTTTAATCTCTTCTAAGTAGAAGCAATCCCTCTCCATCATAATAGCAAATTTGACTAATTAGGTCTTTACAAGCAGCTTCATCGGCACATCGGGCACGGTGTGTAGAATCAAACACCACTTCTGCCATGTGATTCACATAAGAGGGATATACATAGACTAACATACAAGCTCGATTATTTCACTCCGCTAACCTAACGATCCAGCAACATTGATGATGACAATAATAATCATAATATTAATTACTAGCTAGCCATTAAAACATGTATGTGATCGTAACATATGATATGAATGGAAATGCAGCATCAACAATGAAAATCTTTCTACATCCCCTAACTTTGTTCCAACAGCCCTCCTCTCTTAAACAAGAGCAAGCTAGCTAGCTAGCAACGGCCAATAGCATCCTGTAGTAAGCATAGCCCTCGTGGGTACAACTCCATCCGCCATCGTCCATGCAAACTACAACTTCGATCTGTACACTACGAGGGAACTTGTTCGAGTTCATCCACTGAATGAAGCTAGTGTGGATCAACTCTACATGTCAAAAACGACTACTCCTGCGATGAAGGATGCAGCCAGTACCACGAATCCAAGGAACGGTTTCGACACAAACGAATGGGAGCCGTCCATTGGACTCGGGTTCACTCCAGGTGGGATGTCGGTCCCGAAAATGCTTGGCGTGGCACCACCAGGGCTGCTCGAGTTCAACACCGACGGTGGAGTGACAGTAGTGCTGTGGAGTAAAAAGTAAGAGAATAGAGTTCTATGAGTTTGTGGCCTACAGAAACCACTCGTTTTTCACCACAATGAACAAATGAATGAGTGCCTTACCCTGTTGTCCCCATCCCTGCAGGAGGAGATGAATTAGTTGTGGCAGGATTCGTGACTGGAATTCCACTTGATGTTGGTGACATTGGAACTGAAGGTGTTAATGGAGGGGTTCCTGATGTCGTGGCTGGAGGAGACGACGAGGATGGTGGTGTCGACGATGACGAAGAGGACGACGGATAGACGCAGGTGCCAGAACCTATTTACAAATGCCATAACCCAATCAGAACCATCACATGTAGTTTTCCTAACATAATGGTCACTAACTAAGCTTGCCTAATCCGTAGCAAAACAATCACTTTGCCTGGCAGCAGTAAGATATTGTCAAATAGTCCAGATTAACACCAAAGTTAGCAAATACACAGATCCTAGATCCAACTCATTCTTGAATAGGAAACGGTTTGGCTAAATAGGGTAATATTTGCAACAATGCGACTGTTCTGTAACAAAATGGCTTTGCCAGTTGAGTTGCTAAGCTTTAAAGTCATGCTTCACTACTAAAAGTGGAGCAAGAATCTTACTTGGGTTGCTACTAACGACAGCAGCGGCGCCTCCAAAATCACAGCTGGTGGCCGTAGGGCTCTTTTGGTAATAGCTATTGAACGCAAAAGAAGCATGGTTCTGAAGCGTGTTGGGGTTATAGCAGCCCGAACCCTGCTGGATTTGTGAGCAATCAGCACCACCCATTCCGCAAGCATAATCCAGAGCAGCCTGCAGAGCCGCCTCCGAAACCCCCGACTTCGCCACACACCAGCTCTGCCCTTGAACCGCCGGCACATTCCCGCCACCACCAGCAGGCGGCGCAACAGGATTTGTCATAGCAGGTGGAGGAGTAACACCACCACCAACGGCGCCGCCGCCGGCAGCAGGAGGAGTGTATGAGGTGGCAGGATTGGTCACCGGCGGTTGCCCCCCTGCCCCAGCCCCTGGAATTGTAGCAGCTGGTGGAGTGGGAGTTGTTGTCGGGTTAGTGATCGGCACGGGAGAAACCCCTCCTCCGCCGGTAGGGTTAGCGGGAGGGACGGTGATGGGTGGTGTGACAGAGGGGATGGGGAGAGTGGTAGTGGGATTTGTGGGGGTTAGGGTAGCAGGGTTTGTAGCTGGGACAGTGATTATGGTCGGCATAGGAAGAGTAACTCCTTCCTTCACCGAATTAGCTGTCCCAGTTTCAGCCAGCTCCCTTCGGGAAGAAAAGGAAGGAATCAGAAGGTTGATTTGAGCGTAGATCCGAGCTAATCGTCCTGCAATGGCGGAGGGAGGAGACACGGCGGTGTGATCTGAGAGGAAAACTCGAACTGCTGCTGCAGAGTTTGCTCCGCCATTGTTGTACGGCAAACCCAGAACGTTAACTGCCCCTGTAAACACACACAAGGGAAGGAGAAACAGAGAAGCATTATAAAGTTGAGTCTTTCTTTGTTTTTCTGACTACCCATTTTGAGAAACTAAGCAAAGCTGAAACTACTACTCACCGGAGGATGGAAGGAAGAGGAGGAAGGAGCAGAGGAAGAAGGATATGAAGCAGAGGGAAGGCGGCGATGCGACCATTGTTGAGGTTGGGAGAGGGCTTGTGAGGGAGTGGGAGTAAGAGTTTTTCCACAGAGCTGAAATGGGGAGTTCTTATTGAGTTGGGTTTGTGGCTTTAGGTGTGCTTAACCAGCTCCATCACAGTAAAGGGAGAGAAGGTGGGGAAAGTGGAGAAGGGTTTTGCTGCCCTGCTTTTGCTTTCTCTCTCTCTCTGTTGATTTTTCTTCTCCTTGAGGATGATATGATAAGGACACATCAGATAGGGTTAAAGTGGGGAAGATGGTTACTTTCTGACGAAGGATTTGGGGGGGAAATGGGAAATGGGGGGATCATGGTATGTTCCCATTACCCACCCCCTGCCTCCTTTCCTTTGCTCTCTGTATCTTTTTATCTTCTTCTCACTACTTTTGCAGTGCTTTTTAGAACTTCTGCTTTCCTGCCAAATAAAAAAGGGACAATTGGGCGGGAGATCAACACGAAATGGAAAAGCTAAGTTAAGCAGCCTGGAAAAACTCCAATGGATAAATTTTGAGAAAAGGGAGATGGCAGATTGAAGCCAACCAGGTGGTAAGGGGAAGGGTTAAAGAAATGAAAACAGAGGGATTACGAAGCTCAGTCAATAGTTAAAATTACTCTGGAGAAGAATAAGTGACGAGGGAGTCGAGGTCAGGGGCATGTCTGCTGCTGTCCTTTCTTGTCTGGCCATGCATTCGCCAGATATTTGTTAATGCAGCACTTATTAATTATTAGACTTAATCAAAGGTAGGGACCGTAAGAAGTAAACCGGCTGTGCTGCTGGATAGTAGTAGGATTCACATGGCAGGAAGGGTTTTTCCACCAAATGGGAATCTGTATTGCACTCTTTAATGATGAGAGGGATAAGTAGGAAAAAAATCCAAAGTTACACATGTTTTTAAAAAAAAATTTCAATCTACACATGTTTGGGCCTTCATCGCGGCAGAGTAAGGCGATAATTGCATCACCGCACGAGAGGAGAGCGGTGAATTGCATCACCGCTGTAAAGAAATGCGGTGATTGCAACATCCCCGTAGAGAAAGGCGGTGAAGCATTCACCGCGTTACAAGGCCGTGATGAAGCCTGACCTGCGTCGAAACTTTAAACTAACGTAATTTTGTGCTCGGTTATCCGTTCGTAGCGAAATTTTTTTATTCCGCATAATTTTTCGAGGTCTTGCAAAAAAACGTCGTTTGCTACCCCGAACGAGCCTTTTTTCGATTTCGTCAAACTTTGAACGACCATAACTTTGTGCTCCACAATCCGAAAATCATGAATGTTTTTTTTATTTCACATAACTATTTAAGGACTACAATTTTTAGAAGGAGAGAATTTTCAAAAAACGAATTATTTTTGGATATACGGAATTTTGGGAATAACTTTACCTTCCCATTTCAGGAATCCAAGTACATTCCGAAATTATGTCTATGATAAAAATTGTAGTCCTTAAAAAAGTTATGTGAACTAAAAAATAATTCATGATTTTCGGATTGTGGAGCACAAAGTTATGGTCGTTCAAAGTTTGACGAAATTGAAAAAAGGCTCGTTCGGGGTAGCAAACGACGTTTTTTCGGGACGAATGGGGGACCAAATGGCGGTTTGCGGTCTGCAAGATCTCAAAAAATTATGCGGAATCAAAAACAATTTGGCTACTATCGGATAACTAAGCACAAAGTTACGTTTGTTTAAAGTTTGGACGCAGGTCAAGCCTTCACCGCGGCCTTGTAATGCGGTGAAGCATTCACCGCCTTTCTCTATAGCGGTGATGCAATCACGGCTTCCTCTACAATGGTGATGCAATCAGTGCCCACTCACCTCCTTCCTCTCATGCGGTGATGCAATCACCACCCTCCTCTCACGCGGTGAATACTCAAACAGGCGTAGATTGGAATTTTTTTCATAACGTGTGTATTTTGAGAATTTATTTAAAAATATGTGTAACTTGGGAAATTTTCCGGGATAAGCAACCATATTGGTTTCATAATAAGAGTTAAGCGTTTTGGGATAAATGGCTAAAAACAAATCATGTTTGAGAGTCGTGAGATACAATTAAGAAAAGTGAAAGCAACCATAAAAGGAGTTGAATTCTTAATTGAAACACAATACACACAGAGTCTCTCTGGCTTCTCAACCACAAAGAGGAAATGGGGATTGTTAGAAACACGTTCTAACGGGTTTTCGGATCGTGAGGAAATGGGGAAAACTCGTCCGATCACATTAAAATCCATGACGATTGTTAGAAACACATTCTACGGGTTTTCGGATCATGAGGAAATGGAGGAAAACTAGCTAGATCAATTAGGGATTGATCAATCTAGGGATTAGAGAAAATATGGGATTTGGGAAATTGAGAAATAAGAAGGGGAAGGAAGAAGTGAAGCAGCAACGGCGGGGGGGGGGGGGGGGGGGGGGGGGGGGGGGGATATGCAAGAACAAACTATTTTTATTGGAAACATTCCTCTAATGAATTCCCTTATTTCTTTGATTTGTTTGATCGGTATTGCTTCGAAAAGATATCCGATTTATAATCCATTGATGCGAGGGGTTCGTTTTCTTTCTCTTTTTTCTTTGTGTTGATAGGGGGGGGGGGGGGCGATGACAAAGAGAGATTAGGGTTGGTAATTTTATGTTATGTAATTGCTTAATGAGTAATCCCACTAGTTATAAAGTATATATCCCGATTAATTCCCATTCCATACCCAACTAACATGACTTAACGAAGTATTCCCTAATTATCCTCAAAAACTCCAAATAATCTCTAAATGTCTCAAATCATAAATAACAACAAATAAGTCCAAATGATAAAATATCAAATATTTGGATTTCTAATAGCCATTAAGCAGAACAATGTCATATGACACCTCCTGGGAATTGCTAAAAGACATCCAACACAATGAATCTTATAACTGGGATTGCATGACAACGGACAAAATTCCGAAACAAATTTCTCAAAGTTGAAAAAGGTAGGGAAATTATTCATTCACAACCTCTAATAAATGAACCCAAACAAACTAAAGAAAAAGTGAACTTCAATCACTAATTCTCTACCGTTAGCCTTTGCTCACGCCCAACACAGTGAATTTTATAGCTGGGATTGCATGACAACGGACAAAATTCCGAAACAAAATTTTCAAAGTTGAAAAAAACAAAAAAATTATTCATTCACAACTCTAATGAATAAACCCAAACAGACTAAAGAAAAAGTGAACTTCAATCACTAATTCTCTACCGCTAGCCTTTGCCCACGCATACTTTGATCGTTGTCATTTCTAGTAAGAGCCGAAGCTATGATCGCACAACCCCAAAAGAGCAAAATATCTAATTGAACCGGAGCCACGTCGCCCCGCCCAATAATGATTTAGGTTTCAGCAATGATAATGATAGTATTTTTGTTTTTTTCTTTAGCCGCAATGCATGCAAGAATGTCTGTATTGCAAATTTACAATGAGAGCTGACTGTTCTAATCACTTCCTCAATCACCAAAAGTTGAAGGAATTTATCATCATCTTCATCTCCTTTCTTGCCCTATTACTTATCGTATTCTTTCCCCCCCCCCCCCCCCCCCCCCCCCCCCCCCTTCAGAAAAGATGGCTTTAATTAGGGCTGGTAATGGGTAATCGATATTATAGGTTAACGGTTTAACTGATAGGCAATTAGTGGTCGTTTGGAAGTTGCGATTGTTTTGTTGAGATTGTCATTATACATGTATTGTTTACAATGCATCATTTTTTTGTTTTTTTAGCAGAAACAATACATGGATTGTTTCTGTGATGTGACAGACACTATCACTCATTTTGAGTGATTGTTATATCTCAACTTTTAGTTGTGAGTGTTGAGATAGTTGAGTTGAGATTGTTTTGTCTCAGCTTTTAGCTTATGCGACATACACAATCACACATACCAAACGTTGTATTTTACAATGCATCAAATTCGACAATACATGTATAATATTATACATGCATTCTCAACAATACATCTATTTAATAATTGCAACTTCCAAACGACCCATAAGTCCACTATCCGGTCCTTGATAAATTGCGGTGATCACCAAACAATCTAAGATATCAAAATATTTTATAAGATAAATCATGGACTGGACCAAATCATTTTTAACAATCTATGAATTGTACTAATCTGTATGATCCAGTTTGATCCATGATTACGTTGTTCACACAGTGCGGTCTACTTTCCATCCTACTAAGAGTGATCTTGGCAATATATGGATGTGGTCAAGAATTCAATAACCATCGTCCATCGATACTAGTTTTTTACTCGGTCAGTTGGCCGGAGAAGTTCATTTTATTATTTATATTAGTTAACTTATCTACATGTTTGAATTTTTTGGATCTTGTATACATTTTCTGCTCTCGCTTCATAAGTGGATATATGGTATGCCTATATCGAAAATTCTTAATATTTAATAGTTAGCACATTCGCTTGTGATGTTTTTATTCTCTGATCATAAATCATGTCGTAAAGATTTACCACGTCCCATTTAGGATCATATATAAAAAACTTTCCACCAAGACGCTCAAATTTATTATCTTATACAACAAATATCAATTCATGATTCTCGAGTTTGTACGAACTCTCAGCCAATTAATCAGAGTTCAAAATATTGAAAAAGATACTTGATTACTGAATAAATTATGTTCATCCCAATTGAAATTTGACACACATCGTATCCCTTATAATGATTAAATTCTCTAACCCTCACTCATTTTTATTGTTGATGTTCATGAAGTTTTTGTATAACAACTTATGACATTTTTTCTATCAAGATACAAATTATTATTATCTTACAATATATCAATTGCTAATATTTTAAGTTTGGACTAACCCTCAACACATGCATTTTGTCTAGATGTTCGTTTAGAATCTGAATCCAAGGCATTCATATATTCATACACACTATCGAAGGTTCTTATCTTAACATGTCCCTTCAATGTATAATTTTCAACTATTTGAATGTCCATTTGCTAAAATTTCTTTATATTTGATGTTTGTTGTAGAACAAAAATTTCGTTACTTATATTAATAATTGGTAAAGTGTGTATACGACAGACAAATATTTCATATGCATTCAAAATTATGTATTCCTTGAATAATTAACTTATAATTTTGTTTAAAAATATTTTGTAGCAAAATTTAAAAGTTCATACAAACATTGTGGCTTTTCACATGTATTTAAATTATTGGATGTATTATAGACACATCTATTGTTAATATCTAAACATATATATACAGAGAGTTTATTTTACTTTCAACATTAATTAATACCTTTGAACTCAACTCCTTGGGTGGAATATCATATCAATTTTTTTTGTTATTGCCAAATTTTGGTACGAAATCTCAGGCTCATAACTATATAGGCTTGTTACAATTTTCTTACTAAACTCATATTTATTAAATATTCTTCTTTTGACCCAATAGCTCGGTTTACACTATTGTAACTATATATTTTTTTTGTTATATATATGTGAAGTAAAACATTAATGTTTATTTATTATCTCAATCGTCGAATTTAAATTTTTCTTAACATGAAATGTGATGTTTAACGTACATCCTTAAGAAAGATTTCTCTAAATTTCACACATTTTATTTTTCAAGGGATCTCGTGTCTCATCCTAGAATATGACATCAAAGTTCATCAACTATTATACTCAAGTCATTTTGAAAACTCCAATTTATAATCTTTAACAATAAATAAGTTCAATAGAGCTTGCTCAATCAACATGACCTAGAGAAAATATTAGGAATGTGAACTTAGGATACATTATAAATACTGCACATGTGATTCATATGTTTTCACTTGATCGGAATGAATAAGAACCTTTTTTAATAAATAACTGTTATTTCTTGGTCAAGTTTCTTTCAGACCTTATCGACATAATATTATTATTTTTGTGTGTTTGTTTACATTATTCATTAAAATGTAAATTATTATTAAGTTTTAGTAAAAATGAGCACAAATTTACATAGTAATCTTTAATCATATATTTTTTTTGTTTAAAAAGTGTGATATATATGTCACTCTACATACATTAGTATACTATTGCGTACATCGATATAATGCAAAAACAAAATGTGATATATGTCACTCTCCATCATGATTGTCACGTCGATCGGCATGCCACCGGTTGAACAATTCAACCGGTACCGGTCATGAAATCGACATGACACCATCGGTATGATCGTTTTACGAATTTCTCTCCATATATTATTTATAAATATAATGCAAAAACAAAAGCAAAATAATTATTGGATAAAAGAGAATTAAATATTAAATGAAGAGAGAGGGACAATTCCATAAATAGGTCAATAACTATTTTTTTGGTAAAAAAATTGTCCACCTTAGCCACTTGAGATCTCTCAAGTGCTTATGTGGCAAAAATTTAATTTTGAATTGCCATAATATTACGTATAGAAGCTAGACATGCAAGGGGTAGCTTGCCAGCACCAAGGCTAAGGCTCCACCTTCAACCTCATAGGGTTTGCTGGAGTGTTTCCCTCATCATTCAAAACAAAAGGGGTAAATAAAATTGTGTCATGTTTAGTCACTAGAAAAATTTAATATCAGTTTTGGTCACACGAATTACTAGAAAAATTTAGTACCACATTTGGTCACTGAGTTTACTAAATGTGACATGTTTCAGTAATTCGAGTGATCAAAATTGATATTAAAATTTTCTTGTAAGTAAACATGACACGATTTGATAATCTCAATGACCAAATGTGACATTTACACAAAATAGAAGGCAAAACGACCCTGTGGGCTGTGAGAACTTATATAATAAGCTAGAGATGCAAAAGTAGACCAAGGCTGCAACAAACCTTCCAAATATTTTACAACAGCATCCTCAAATGAGGAAGTCGTAGATGTTACAACTCATAAGAGGTAAAGTTGGCAAAATATTAGGAATACATAGCTCCATGGAAAGCAAAATGCATCTTATCGGGAAATCGCTGTTACAAAAATGGAGTCATGTCAACTAACAAGTCATGTCGTCTATGACCTCTTAGCTGACTGCCTGACTCATTCTTTACCACCGTTCTGCAGAACAACTACCACCTTCGCATGTGTTTCGTCTTCTTGTTTGTTACAAAACCCTAGACATGAGAGTCTTAGGATGTCGAACCATATGCAACTAGACACGTAGCCCTAGCTTCTCAGAAACCCTGCCCAACTTCTACCCAAGCTGCTGGAGCTGTAAGAGTTTCAAAAAACTTCAGTAGAAGTCCCTTTACATCCCGAGCTCCGAGCTACATACCTGAGTCAAATATTCTCACTACACCCGCTGTTGTAAAATAGGTGGTGGCGGTTTTGTTCGGTTGCCGAACCAAAACCATTAGAAACCGAAATCATAATTAGCCAATTGCTGAAAACCAAAACTGATAAGCCCTTAACGGATCCGGTGTCAGGCAGAGCAAACTAAAAACAAGCATTTGATTACGTTAAGACTTATCTATGTTTATCGGTTTATTAATGGTTTTCGATTTTAATCAAAATCAAAACCGTTATACGCTTATCGGCTTTTATCCGTTAAGGAAACCCGACAAGTATATTAAACCTATTCGATTTTGGTTAAATCCAAAATCAAACAGCGACGCCTACCCTAAAACCTTAATTCCCAAATACTATCTTATTAATTTCGCCGCATGTTCAAAACAACTTACTAAAAGTGCTTTAACTGGGGATAAGATATACTGCTAATTCTCATTAGACCAATGGGGGAGAAGATAGAAAGAGTGGAAGTTGCTTGCTATTTTATTATGAAGATGCATGAAGGAAGCAAGAAAAAGGGCAGAGAGACAAGACTCATCACTCAAGAGAACAAATCGCCCAACATGGATTGATATCCGACTTTGTACAAGGCAAAAAAATAAAAGAGAGAGAGATGAATCAAAAGCAGCTTCTGTTGACTAGGCCTGATCTGCAGAAAGCACACACATCACCTCCTTTACAGAACACTACCGGCGACCACTAACCTTACTGCCACTTTTCCGACGTATGCATGATTACAGCTCTAGGGGGAAAGGAAAAGCATAGGAGCAATATTCTGCCTACCAGAATTCTCAACCCCCCTAACCTTCACGATGTGGAATCAGACTACTACAAAGTTTACAAACCAAAGTTAAGAAGAAACTAAAGCGAACAAACAGGCAATTGGGTTGTGGTTGGGGCATGTTGTTTCATACCCGCCGCCGAACTTTACAGTTCGACGAAACGTCCCTACTGCCTCCCTCCGGAGTGCGGGATGATCACACAAGATCCATTCCTATACTACTAGTCTTTTCAAAAAGGAAAAGACACAAGAAGAAAAGGATGATCAGCATCATCATAGTATAACAGGGACAGGAAAAGTAACAGCACTCACACAGAAGTCTTAAATCAAATGTCCCCAACTTCAGGCACCAACCAATGTCAGCTATGCAATAGGTTTAGAGCTTGTTAGTTATAGTTAAAAGGGTTTATAAAGCAGGGAAACCCACATTACTCAGCACCATCTCATTCTCATCCCGCAATGGCAACCCATTCCCAGTACAAGCAACACCATCCCCATCCAATTCTAGCGCTAAAGTCGGGAGTTCTGAATCACATTCCTAGTACTCTATCCATTCACCCTGCCTCAACCCTCTTTTTCTTTCCTTTATCGAGTTCCACAATTCCCATTATCTCCAGCATCAGATTAAAGATCAAGCAGAATAGTCTAGCATGATGATAGGATAGGGTTAAATTTAGTTTTTGAGTAAAAGGAAAAACTGTGATTAGGAGTGGCCAACTCTATCTATCTCTACCGTCATGGAGATATATAGAAATCAGCATCATTCGTTGGTGCAATCCTAACTACACTTAATTAACTCCCTGACCAACTTAACACTTTCACAACCTCAATCTATAAATACCCTGCTCATCGAGCTTTCCCTAGCACCTCATGTGTGTTCATGTATAAGTAAACAAGCAGCGGGAACTGAAAGAAGCACCTCTAGTGTCGTGGCTGTTTCCGCTTGTGACTTGACTTTATGTGTTAACCTCCTCCAACAAGTCGCTGAAGAAAGGATCAAAGAGTGCTTCTTTGGCTGAGTTGTACTGGTCCAACCGCTTCTTCAGTGAGCGCATCTCTCTTTCATGTTTAGAAGAACGTTCCTGACACAATCATGTACGTAACCCTTCAGTGGCATATCGTTTCAGCAGATTAAGTACACAGCATGAAAAGTATTTTGATAATTCAAAGAAAGATAAACACAAACAAGATAAGTAACGACTTACAAATGATTTCTTCAGAAGCAAGATGTCAACCAAGTACAGCAACCATAAGACATTTGTCCTTGGGTGGCTGAAGACAATTAAAAAAATAATCAGCGGAGTATAACATACACAATTATATACGAAGTGAATCAATGAACTGTTAAGTGCATCATATATGGGGGGATGTGAATTGTCCTTTGCCGTCTCATTAAAGTCCCCCAGAAGGGGAATCCTACAGATAAGTTGAGAAATGATGGAAGAGTTTCCCCTTCCCGTGCGTGCATCCATTTAAACCTTACATTCTTGCTACATGGATTTACTAATGGATCTGATTTGGTCTATTTGTGGACTATGATCTTACCATTTACATCAAAGGAGCTCCTAAGATGAAGCACAACCGGAGAACTATTACTTTCATGTCCTAGATCAGGTTTCAGAACAAGAAATATATTTCTTAACAGAGTAGGTAGCAAGTCAGACAGAAAATGAAGCAACAATGTCCTGCAGATTTCGACTAATGATATAGATGAATTGGCTTCAAATCACATTACCTTCCTTCCCAAATATCCTGTGTTACCTCCTTCATCTTTCTATATGTTTCTGCCTGCAAATAGTAGAAAGAGATTAAAAAACCATGCAGCTGGGATTCTAAATTCACTGACCCGACATTATCAATTGATTTAGCTTTACCTGTTTGTCCCCCTTTGGTCCCTTGAACAAATAAGGATCAGATGACATATCAAAGCAGAGTATATCTTGACCTGAGTGAATAAGAAATTGTTAGTTCTGTTGAGTTGAGCAGAAATCTAATCCCAGCGAGATAGAGTAAACTAGAACTCACCAGTACAAATTCGGGACAGAGTGAAATCAATTATGGATATCGACAATCCAAATGTTCTGAGAATCATTTTCTTTCCTTCGAGGGTAAACTGCACTTTGGTGCAATCATTTCGACTTAAGAGAACATTTCCCCTGGAAAAGCAAAAGCATCCTTAATCAGCATTCCGTGAACCAGATGATAATATATAATTGAGGACATAACTGAGCGTACCAATGAAGATCCCGATGTTCAAATTCAAATGCTGCTTCTGCAACTGCCAAACCAGACACTACCTGAAATGCACACAGTTCATCGATTCAAACACAGAAGATTCCACATTCCAGCTGAAGAAAAGAAAGGAGCAGCTTTTAGTTACCTGGACGAGTAAACTACGTGTTTCATCAAAGTTCTTAAGCACAAAGCTTTCAAGGTCTTTGCCACCATGTTCCAATATAAATACCACATACCGCTGTAGAAATAATTAACTACATTAGAGCATATCCAGTAAAGATAAATCCTGTTGAAATGTGTTGTATCTGGGAAAACAAACTATCACCCTTAGCAAGATTTCAGTTTCCCTGCATGCACAGCAGACTATTGTCCGGACTAGAAGCTAAAATAATTTTGAGTAAACCAACATGTCCAAAGACTACATTAGATATAGACTTCGCACCTGTTTCTCAGGGAACCCCTTAGGATGATCATTTTCTGAATCATTCTGCTCGTCCCAATCTTCCCATGCTCTAATCAATACAGGGTCATAAGGACCTTGGCACACCCTTAACCTGTCATGCATTTTAAGGACCATCATCCATTGGCCAAAACACCTTGTCGTCAGCTCATTTAGTCATGACTCATGATTCATGCCATGTCCAAGTCACATATCGAAATGAGGAAGCAAGAAATATTGTACCAGAAACAGACAATAATTGCTGAAAGGAAAAGAAAGGGAAACAGAGGGAGGGCTTCAGGACGTAAGAGTTAAGACACGTACTCCAGAGTTTCTATGAATGTTGTGCATGCATTTTGAGCTGCAGCATCCCCTCTTAGAGCATTAAGAGTTTTTGAAAGTCTGACCTCCTCAAGGAGTTCTTCTGATCTCTGGAGAACATCAAATGATTCAGTGATAACTAGAGGGTAAAAAAGTCGTAATAATCATGAAGAGTTACGTTTAGATTCACTGTTGACAAGACATCTTTGCTGATTCTGGATAACAAACGCCTCACTGAGAAGCAAATAATCCCTCAAGTTCAACCATGTAATGCCTAAGTTTAAGTTCGAACCAAAGATCAATACCAGAACGAATACCTTTTGTATTTCTCCATTAACACGCGAGTCTCCATCAATTGGTACTAGTTTACAGACAGTATTGCCCACTTTAAAGACTTCCCCATAAGTACCTTCACCCAGTTTGACAATATCTTTTGGGTCGCTGTAAAAAAGAAATTTTGTAAGTCTCATGATTTCAACTATGCAGAAGCTTTGCATGCAAAAGACACTAGGAATCATTAATGTAGGGTAAATCCAGAAGATTGATTGTGAAACAGAATTACAAAAGATAGCATGGAGAAAGTAGTCATAAATAACAAACCAGTATTTGGAGAGCACATCTAGTAATGTTGATGGGGCTGATTGGCCACAGTAAGCCAACAGAGCAGGGAAAGGATCCGTAAAGTCAAGATCCAACGAAGATGTCGAAGCAAGAGACAACTTCTTAACAGCTGCCTCAATGTCTCGGCATCCCTCATCAGACATAGTTTCCTCGCCGCTGTCTGTCTGGGCAACAAACTGATCTTCCAAGTAAGCGTGGATTCTTGCCAGGGTGGAATGCTTATAAGAACGGATATTGGAGGCAGACTTTTCTGGGGTCTTCAACTTAAACCCTCCAACGCCATTAGCGGAACGCACGGCCGGAGTTTCAAGTATCTTAGACAATGTGGTGGATAGATTGGAGTCGGAGTTGAAGTTGTGTGAGATTAACCAATTGGGTAATCTGGAAGAGACAGGCTGGACGGCAGCAGCAGCATCCGCTTCATTGGTTGCGACCCAAGTGGAAATGTGTTTGGGAGAAGGACTCTCTTCCAGCAGATCGAAAGCATCCACCTCTTTGAAGTATTCCCGTTCTTTCTCAAAGTTTGGAGGCTGTGGCTGCACGCCGTTCAACAAGACGTTAAGATCGAGCGAGAGAAAAAGTGCTAGCTTGGTTACAGTCAGTCAGAATGTAACTAGTTACACTAGACCTAAAATGCTAAAAAAATCCATAATTCTAGAGGGTGAAGAGAGTGCGTACTCTATGAACAGGCGGCTTTCCCTTTCCCTTCCCCTTTGCGTTCCCGTTTCCCCTGGGCGGCGGCTTCTGCTTACCCTCCCTCTTTTGAGGCCGATCGTCAACAGAAGCGAAAACGGCGATGCTTACCCTCCCTCTGTATGGAAACAAATTTAAAAAATGGCGCACTTTCACGAATTCAACAGAACGCTAATAGTAACATCCAGGGAAGGATAGAGAGAGGAACCTGGTAGAAAGGGAACGATTCCAGCTGACTCGCTTGACGGGAGGTGGAAGAGCGAAACTCGGACGATTCAGATGGCTGGAATTGGACCAGGAAAAAAGAAAAGAAGCATCCATGAGCGTAAAGCGCAGGCAGCCGGAGATGATTTCGCAAAGGAGGAAGAGAGGGCTGACTTACAGTGAAGCGGGAGGCGGCTCCGGACGGGATTGGGGGAGCCGACGCCGGTAAATCGCTTGGGGCTGCTGATTATGATGGCGGCCCCCTTCGCCTTCCTCTTCGGCGACCAGTTCCGACCACAAATCTCGATTGCTACTACGACTCATGATCGTGAATCCGGATCGCGGTTTCCGATGAGAGCTTGTAATTGAGAGACAAGAATGTGATTTTGATTTGAATTCAAAAAAATAGCATTTGGGAGGGAAGATAAGAATTTAGAGTCGACAGTGACTCTGGCAGTAAGAGCACGCTGTGAATCAGCGTCCCCGCAGCCGCAGTACTTAGACGCCCGTAGGGGTGGGCATACGGTTCGGTAAAACCGAACCGAACCGAATATAAACCGAACCGAAACTGAATTAATGTTATTCGGTTCGGAATTCGGAAGGGAAAATGGCATATCTCGGAAATCAGGATCCTTTCTACCGAATCGAACCGAATATAAACCGAACCGAAACCGAATTAATGTTATTCGGTTCGGAATTCGGAAGGGAAAATGACATATCTCGGAAATCAGGCTCCTTTCTACCGAACCGAATTTCCGAATTCCGAACCGAATAACCGAATTACTATAATTGCAAGCTTTAAATGATGGATTTTTATGTTTGTACTTATTATAGGACTTGAATATTTGAATTATGTTAGTGTTTTATGACTTATGTGTTGAAATGTTTGATTTTATGCATATAATGGCGTATTTATTGTTCACTTTAAGGTGAAAAGTAATTTAAAAGAGAGCAAATACAAGATAACCTCACAAATTCGGTTTTGCATGAAAAACCGAACCGAATTATAATTCGGTTTGAACCAACCGAACCGAATTATAATTCGGTTCGAATTCGGTTTGGGGTTTGATGAAATTCGGGGACCCGATATGCATTATTTCGGTTCGGTTCGGTTTGAACCGAACCGACCGAATGCCCACCCCTACTTGACGGAAACCACCACCCTGTAATCTATGTGGGCCATCGAAGATCCATGTGGAATTAGACGACCTAACATAGGATCAATTGATGGGCCAGCGAGTAAATCTCATGGGGTTATGCTCAGCCCTTAGTTGTCAAAAGACTGCCTTGCCTACATAGCTTATTATATATTATTTTTTTTTAACTTTTTTTTAACGCTAGATTGCAAGTTTGGTAACTTGAATTGCTAGTAAAGTTCACCGCTTGTCACTAGCATTACTTTATTTCATCTGTAGTCAATTAAATTAGTTCAACGATTCAAGTTTGGTCACTCTTCGTTAATCTCCGTTAAATTTTGTTGACGTGACAATCAAATCTGATAGTTGACCGTTAAATAAGTGACGTGACAAATAAAAAATAATTAAATAAATAAAAATAAATCTTTACCAAACATTTCTCTAAAAAAAAAGCGTCATGGCCACGTTAGGCTGGAAAACGACCGTGGATCTAACACTCCCTTTATTTAGTTAATCTCCCTTTCTATCTCCGCCTTCCACTTCCACAACAGAGAAATCTCGAGTTTGTCTCTTGAGACGCAGTGCCGCATTTCCCCGGTCTTCTGAGCTTCGGAGGACAATTTAGTATGGTTGCCACTAATCGGAGCGTGGCGGCATTCTTGCGGCTGATGATGCTTTGTGAGTTTGGAGGCGGTGGTTCGCGGCGACGATTCGGAGCTGACGATGGTGGTGAAGAAGGTTAAGGGGGAAGAAGAAGTATTGTACGAAAGGTTGGGAAGACGATCTCTGAAATCGAGGATCTCGCTTGCGTGACTGGCCACCTGCGTCGGCGTCCTGGTCTTGACGAAGGTCCTGAAAATTCTCCTCCAATCGCCTTTCCCTATTCTCTGCAGCCCCACCAGAAACAACTGGTGTTCCTCCTATGTCCATGGCACCCCTGCCAACCAATTTCAATTAAAATTAAAACTCCCCTAAAGTTGAATCTTTTATACTGATTTGAAGTAAAATTATGAAAACCCAATTACCTCGCGGCTCCTTCCAGAGGCGTGAACGACGTCGTCCAACTGGTACCCTAACGCCACGGTGTCGGCTACGAAGGGGTCCTGATTCTCCTGATCCTACTAAGACAGGTTGTTCATACTCACGCTCTTCCTAAACGAGTTCGTCCCCCTCGTGACTCGAACCCCGAAAAGCATAATCCCACCTCCGTCGCCGGAATTGACAGTCGTAGCGGCTGTGTCGCCGTGGCTGTTGTTTCTGCAGTTAGAACAGCTGCGAGACATCTCTCTATGCCTCTACTCCTCCGTGGCTGCTTCTCCAAGAGGAACACCCCCGTCGCTCACGCTGTCGGGTTAGGGATTACCGGTCCTTCATCCTGGCTTCCTCGCTCTTCCAGCCGCTCGGGTTCTGCACCACCGGCGGGAAGCTCATGCAGATGAAGGAGCTCGTCACATTTCTTGCCCATGTCGGCAGCAAAACCACCTGTGAGTCAAGCTAACCACCCTCCTTCTATCTCGAACTCGTTTTGGGTCCCCAAATCTTCTATTTTGCGATAGATGGTTCGAATTCATGATCTTTTTTTTTTGTTCAATTGAGGGTTGAAATCGGGGATTAAGGGGATCAATTTCTGTAGTTGGAATTGAAATCATGAATGTTAATCTTGTTATCGTGGGAGTTATGAGAATTGGCCATGAATGTGATGGAGTGGAATTCTATCAATGATAGTGAGGGAAACTCAACAAAATAATTAGTAAAAATGCAATTGACTGGCCACCCAAATCAAAATCTAATTCCTTTTCCTCAACTCTCCCTTCATTCTTTCACTTTTTCCTCGTGTTAGCAAGATTATGTTAGTTAGTTATTGCTTAGTATATGTATTAGAGTCGGAGAATAATGATTTGGATTACATTGTACTCTATTTTATTGATTAAGGAATGTTTTAGGATAAGATTCTTTGAACAATATTAAGAATGATTGTCACTTTATCGACTTTATGATATAGTAGGTGCGTTTGATGTTATAATTGAAAATTTACATGTATAATTTTAGGTATTATAATGTTGGATGTACGGGGCGGGTATCACCCATGGGTGCCCGAAACCCACGGATATGGGGATGGGTTTGCAAAATCTTCCCCCGCATATGGAACGGGTATGGGTAAAGATATTTGAAAGCGGGGATGGGGATGGTTTAGACAAACCCGCCTCATTGTCATCCCTAGTCAGACGTAGGGGTGTTCAAACGGATTGGTATCGTGGTAACCATATTAACCGGTAGCATTCGGTTAATTTGGTTTGGTTAATTTGGATAATTGGTGTAGTTTTGTTAAACAATTTAGATTATTTGGTTTAGGTGGTTTGATTTGGTTTCAACACTGGTAACCAATTAACCAATTAATGATACACCTAATATACAAAATTATTTATACTTCCATGCAACCAACCAAACCAAACATTCGTGATTACCTATTTTATTTCCATGTGCACAACAAACCAAAGCATTATGGGTCAAAAATCAAATGGGTCTGCTTATTTACTAAACCAAAATATTTTGGACAATTACTAGACTTTAGGATTACGTACAATACCATGACACCCACCTCAAACTATGTATAGTTTAAGTGTTTTGTAGGAGAGCTTTAACTTCATGATGAGTGGTATTGGTATGCATTTAATATTTATGTTAAGGGTTTGTTGTAAGCTACCTATATTAGGTGCAGAGATGATTAATGATGTATTAACTCGAATGATGATGATAATCATGGATGATTAGTCTTATTATTATTGCTTATATATAATGATAGTTTATGATAGTAATAGCATATAGTTATGTTTTATTTATTAACATGATAATTGTTTTCATGTAATGATATGCTATTTGGTTAATTCGAGTATCCGATTAACCAAACCAATTAAACTTTGGTTTGGTTAATTTGGTTTTCATGTTAATCTGGATAGTTTGGTTAATGAAATTTAGGATTAATTGGTTTGGTTATTACCACGACAACCATTTGAACCCCCTTAGACTCAGACGGGCTAACATAGGAACAATTATAGACACAACATGGAAGTCAAACGAGAAAGAGTGCCCTCGACTAACCAAGCAATCTGCACACTTATTACTCAGTAGATATGAGATAGTACAACCTCCCAATTCATGTCAAGCAGTTTCTAGAACCGTTGAATGACTACATGATATTGTTGATTGTTCCTATTTGTGCTATGCGCCAGTTGAGTGCACGGGGTGAGTCCAGATGCACTTTTACTCGTCTATAGCCAGCATCCCAAGCTAATTGATGAGTGGGTTATACAAGCATGCATCTCACAATAGACTATAAGTGTTTATGTAACAATTTGAACCTTCCGACAAGATATTGTTCGATTAGTGAGAAAGAAAAAATCTCAGACAAAAAATGGTAATGGAGATAGTTAGATAACAAGAGACAAATGTAGGGCTAAAAAAGAAAGGATATTTTGGGATTAAAAAAAGAATGATGACATAATTGGAACAAAAAATATGATAACTTGTTTTTGGAGAATATCAACTCCAGTGGTAGAGCCAGGAACTGAAACTATCCTTGTTCTCTTCCGAAAATATAAACATAATAAGTATGTAATTAATAAATATTTAACAAATATAATTAAATTTAATAATATCTAAATAATCCTAAAGAAATAACGACTACTACACTCATTGTTTTCATAAACAACCACGACATGTTTTCATATTCTGAAAGAAATATAAAATATATTGGTTGTGTACACTCTTAAGTAAGTCTCTTTAAATGTATTTCACTAAACAATCATTACCGTACTGATCTCCAATTCAATTTCGAAACTTTGTTCTTGGTGGCCACTAGACAGAGGAAAATTTTCGAATGAATCCTCTTTACCCAGGTCGTTGTACGCCTGAACTGTGCGGTGAAAAATCGAAGAGGGCCAAGGAGTAAAAAGGTTGGATTATATTTTTATTCAATTAGGATTTTGTTTATCGTAGTAAATTGGCTTTCCGTCAACATATAAACAAATTATATGATGTGGTGTGTAGTTCTAAAACTTGCTTGTGTCAACTGTTGGTGTTGGGTTCAATATACACACAGAACAGATCAAGCGTAAGTTGGGTGTTTTTTGTTTCCAACCCAAAAAATGACCCCTGTCTTGCGACAAGGGCAATCGTAGGGCTCTGCATATGATCAACCCATCTCCTTGTATTTGTCATAAGAGAAAAAAAAGGTTTGTAGTACATGAAGAATACCAATTACCAAAGGTTGCATCTTCTTTTTTTCCTAGCACATGTTATTTGAAACAAAATACCAAAGACGACACCCAAATATCACATTCAAATGACTCAAAGGACTTTTAGATTTTATTTATAACGATTACACATAATTTTGTTATCTGGAAATCAAAGACAATGATTACGATGCAACAAAAAACCCATTACCATGCTACATTGAAACAAACCACAAAGAACATAAAACAACATAGAGTTTTACGAAACCACAAAGCATTGCAATGATAAATAAAATAAAATAAAAAGACAAGCCCTTGAGTTCAGCATTTGTTTTGATAATGTATCCTTCTTTGCTTCTCGTCACTCATTTGGTTCGCTTGAAGTAGCTTCCACCATGGCCATGCTCTGGATATTTCTCCACTCTTTACCCGTTACGGTAGATATCACTGGTGGAAGATGAGGATGCTCAGTTTTCACCTCGTATCGTCCAACAGGCCACATAGTTGTCGATCCACCCGACGACGAGCCTCCAGACGACAAGCCCACAAAGCGGAACCTTCTCTTGTTGAACCTAGCAGCCAATCTTTCGTTCCTCTCTTTTTTGCTTTCAGACCTGTAATGATTACGCATGTGAGCTGCAAAAGTTTGAGAAATTTGGTGCACCTCCTTACACTTTGGACACTTATACGGCCCGTTTTTCGGATGAGGGAGGCTATGAGTTCTTCCACTTCTCGATCTCTCTTCCTGGCGTATTGCCTTGCGAATAGAGCGCTTCTGATCTCTCGCAAAATCTGTGACGGCCTTGTCGTCGTGATTTATATTGGGAGTGAGATTAACGTCACCTGGAACCGTAGGCACGACATCTTCTTCGACAACAACATCCTTCCCGTGTGGTTTGGGCTGGTTTGGGTTGGGTTGATTTTGGTGGGTTGTAGAGCGGGATGAGTATTTAGATAAGACAGGATGGTTCATTAGATAGGACATGGTCAATGTACCTTTGGGGTAGCTAAGTTGATGGGCTTGGGTATGATGACGAGCATTGTAATCATCGATTGATGAGGGTTGAGGGTGATGCGATGCATGGTCCGAAATCACATGCCAACGGCATAAAATTGAGGAGGTTGGGAAGAAGGACCGAGCAGTTTTTTCAGTTTTTTTACCAAAAACAAAGTTTTCTGAAAGAGAATTTTCTTTATTGACACTTGGCACACTTACGTGACTGCGTGCTCCAAATTTCGTTGGGGTGGCATACTTTTTCTTTAGTTTTGTGACTTGTTTGTTGGCGTCAAACTGACCTTGTATGGACATCTTTGAATGCTCTTTTTCGACAACTGGAATCGGTTTAGGAGTAGTTGAAAGAGTAATTTCGAGGCTGAGTTTGGTATTGCTATCAAAACTGGTCGAGTCTTGGTTTAAGACTTTGTCGGGAGATGAATTTATTGGAATCGAGTTAGAACTAGAAGCACCGGAGTAAGCCATATCAAAGGATTTTAAATTTTCTTTAGAAGGATTCAAAAAAGGAGGTGCATTACTGATGAAAGAAATGAATGGAGAAAATACTTAATTTCGTAATGCTTTATAAAGGAAAATCGTCAAACATTTTAAGGCAACAAAATAATTACTTATGTAGGGGATGGATTCGTCAATTGCACAAGATAACGATTAATAAATGAGAATGAAGAAATGTAACGCCTCGAGATAATCTACCCATATTTATTGTCTTACATATGGAAATACATTCAACAAAAAAATGATTTAGATAAAATAATTTAGGTGTCATTTATTGGAAAGTTGGAATCATATATCCACCCTAAAATGAAAAATTTTAAATTTGATACCATATTAGCATAAAAAATAACTGATACCATATTGAGTATGGCCTGTAGATTTTCTATGATTGTATTACCAAGTTTAGATTTTTTGCTGACCACTAGGTAGAACGTATATCGCATTTTGTCGTTTGAAAAATACAAAATCGTACTACATATCGATCAAACCGTACATATATTAGAACAATAAATAGACATGCGACCGATTAAAAGTCATGACTTTCCCACAACGGGGAGGGGATGAGTGCATTAAGAGGTGGACACAAGCATTAATTAGACACACGTTTCGTCCGTAAAATAATATAAATTCGGAATCTCCAACGTAGCTCCGACAATTGTAACCGACATGTGTTTGGTATATGAAAAATATGTTGTCATAAAGTTACTAAATTACATAAATATATATGATTTATTTTAATTAACTCGAACAAATTAAATTATTTTCTTATTTTATTAAAAGAATTCACAAGTCACCCACCGTTAGATGTCATTTTAATCCAAGGGTTACAATTTAGTAAAGGTCAATTATCTCAAATTTATGTCACACTCCACAAACCCTAATATATATTTGTTTTTTTGGCCGCCTACTTTTGAAACAAATTAAGTTTTCCACCGTTAGATGTCATTTTAATCCTAGTGTTACAATTTAGTATAGGTCAATTATGTCAAATTTATTTCACATCCCACAAACCTTAATATATATTTGCTTTTTTTGGCTGCCTACTTCTGAAACCGTTCCTCCCCACTCATCTTTCAAAAACCCTCCCAAGTTCCCAACTAAATTCTCTCTTTCTCCTCCAACGGCGCATGTTCACAGGTTGTCGATGGCGATGGAGGAGGCAGACGGCAAGGACGTCGATGACGATTGAGGAGGTAGGCAGCGAGGGAGTCAATGGCGATGGAGTCGGCATAGGAAGGGTCAGATCTGGAGACTCGCTTTTTTCTCCAGTGGCAACATGGTCTTGTCAGGCCAACGACGATGGAGGAGGCGAGCGACGGCGACAAAGAGAACTTGTGATATGAGGGTGGCTGTCAGATTCACCGTATTGGAAGTCGGCCACCGTCTCACCGTTATCGCCAATGACGATCTAGAGTGTTGACGAGTAGCTCTCGGTCCAGATCTATATACCGGTAACATAGATTTGTCGTTTCCTCCTGCAATGGTGAGGGAAAATAGTGGTGTAAGCCATATTTGTTGCACTCCACGACATCATCGGAGTGGGACTTCTAATTGCATGATATATGGAGGGCCTGTAGTCTTTCTTATTGTAGGAGGAGTGTATTGATTTGATTTGTAGTGATTGTAGCAGTGTTTCATGTTTTGTAGTAGTGATTTTATGTATTAGTAGTGATTCTTATTGTAATAAACATTTGATTTTTTATTAGCAGTAGTAGCGTTTGTGTAGTTATAGTAGGGTTTTTTCATTTGCGATTATTTTTTCATTGTTTTTAGTAGTGATTCTTACAAAAAAGTATAAATCACTACTAATTTATAGTAGCTAAATTACTATTAATGACCATAAAATCACTACAGAAGATCATCAAGTTACTACGATAAACCACTAAATCACTACTAATTTTAATAGTAATTGTTGTACATAATTTGGGGTAGTAATTTTGCTTCTTAAGATATTTTTAACGGAGAGAAGGTAGTTATTTAAGAATATTAATTTTTTAAATACCAAAAAAGCCCCTTGATATTTTCCACCATAAGATTCATTTAAAAAAAAAAAATAAACGGTGATTAAAACAGTTAGTATGGTGCTAAGTGCTGACTACTATGAAGTTAGCATCCTAACTTCTCCCGTCACCCACTCACTCTTAATAAAGCGTAGCGTTCCTTTACCCCTCTTAATTTCATTTTTTTTATAGGACAAAATTGAACAATTCATCCCCCACTAACACTAAGAACCCTCTAAATCTCATATAACATATAACTAGGGTTTTTCTGGCTCCGCGATTTCCGGAGCGGCGATTCCTCATAGCGGGTACCCCCTGCTCACAACAATGGTTCCCCCGCCATCGGGGGGCGCTCCGCCTGGCCGGAACGATGTCGAGATGTCCACCGGCGTTCGGCGCCCGCCATCGGCTACTTCATCACCGAACAGGTCAACGGAAAAAGAAACGCAACAACTGCGGAAGCGTGCCAAATCTGTGCATACTCCATCGCTCTTTGAATCGTAGGCCATGGCTGAGGATTTCCTGATGCTGCCAACGGGTTAGGGAAACGTGCACTCTCATCAACGAGAAGGGTATGGTAGCTCGCCTCCATCGGCTTGGGGTGGAAAGAAGAGTCTGAGTGAACTCATCTATGACAACGCGTGGTATGTTGCGGAGTCGGATACGGAAGATGTTCATGAAGCCATGAGGGAGGAGGACATGGACGATGAGGTCCCCGAAGAGGATGACCCCCGGTGTCCCACTATCTCGTTCAAGGTAATGGAAAAGGCTTGGTATTGCCATAAAAGGCGATCTGCCCTAATTGTTATGGTCCCGGGATGCTTGTTCCCCTTTTCGGTGTTATAAAAAAGGCTCGAGGCGCCATGGGAAAACCATGGTAGTCTTCAGATCTCGAGCATGTCGTTTGGTTTTTACGTAGTCCGGTTCACTAGTCAAACGGACTATGAACAAACTGTTGCTGGGGGTCCTTGGATGATCTGGGATCACTATTTGATAGTCAGGCCGTGGAGGAAAAGTTTTGATGCCAAGTTCACTGAAGTGGCTTCGACAATGGTGTGGGCACGCCTCCCACAACTTCTGCTCGAATTTTTCGATCGTGAGGCCGTTGAAAGAATCGCTCAGAGAATAGGGCGACCCATTCGTGTAGACAGGGCCACTCTCACAGGAGAAAGAACGCAGTATGCTCGAGTTTGTGTGGAGGTTGATATGATGAAACCCGTTTTGGGAAGCTACAAGATAGAAAGGAAGAAGTATTGTATCGAGTATGAGGGCCTACATAATATCTGCATGGAGTGTGGGAAGTATGGACATGCGAAAGTCACATGTCCAACGCTATTTGTGCTACCATCGTCACCGCCTCCCATGGAGCACCTCAAAAGGAGGAATCCTCGGTTCCATCATCAGCGGCCTCGGAACCTGTCTATGGAGATTGGATGGTTTCTAAGCCAAAGGGAAAGCACTCTAAAAAACCAAATAACGAAGCTAGCAAAGAGAAGACGACAGCCAATGCTTCTATTGGGGCTGCAGGGTCATGCTTTGCTTCATTGGATACAACAGATGAGGTTATGAATATTGAGGTTGAAGAAGAGGAACTGCAAAGTGATTCGGACTTGGTGGTTATGGAAGGTGTAGATATCATGCCGAAGTCAGCCCATGTGGTTGAGGAGCAAATGGTGGATCGCAAGGTTTTTCAAGGTAGCGGGGGGAGGAAATATGACACTGGGGAAAGAGCTTGCCCCAGCCCCAAAACTTGAAGGTCTCGGTAATGTTCTGGTGTTCACTAGTACTAAACCCATTGCGTCTATTAAGGAGATATCAGTGGAAAAGAAAACCACGGTTAGCTCCATGCAGAAATTATAGAATGTGGTGGCGGGAAAGGCTCCCAAGTCAGCAGATAAAGGAACTAAACTCATGCAAACCATGAGTAAAGGAGTTGCCTTGCCCATTCCTCCTACGGTCACAGGGGTGCGAACCCTTCCCCCTTTATTGGGAGTGTGTACATCTCTAGGGAAGCAGCTGCATGCTTCTCCTTCACCCACGTGATCTCAGCGTCTTGACGCGTGTGCCGGGGAAGTTTTCGCCCTTTTCATGTTTTTTTGCTATGTTAGACATCCTTTCATGGAACTACCAAGGGGCAGGAAATGATCAGTTTATTGCTTTCTTGTTGAATTTTTGTAGGTTGGCCAAACCTGATCTAGTCTTTATTTTAGAACCCAAAATAAGTGGTGACATCGCTGGTCGTGTAATTTCACGTACAGGATTTGATGGTCATATGGTGGTTGATGTTGTTGGCTTCTCCCGGGGAACTCAGGTGTTATGGCAGAAGAACAATATGGTGGTGACGTCGGTTTACGACTGGGAGCAGATGATTCATGTGAGGTGCTCTAAGGTGCATAGTCCAAACTTGGAAGTTTATGTTTTGGCAATCTACGATAGCCCCAATGCTTCTCGGCGCGAGGATCTTTGGAGGAGATTCGGTGGCTCTCTTATTCCATCTCCTCCCCATGGATTCTCGCGGGCGACTTTAACAGCATTCTTGGCCCCTCAAATAGAATGGGTGGTGTGGGGTTCCAAAAGGCGCGGGTTTGCTCTTTCCCGAGTTGTGTTAATGACTGTGGTTTGATTGACATCAGTTTTCAGGTACTCGCTTTACCTGCAGATGAGGAAACTTATACCAACACTTAGACCGGGCTTTGTGCAATAAAGCTTGGTTTGAGAAGTTTCCTACCTCGGCTACCCGACATTTAGAAAGAATTGGCTCGAATCATCGGCCAATCTGGATGAAGGGCTCCCAAAAAGATAGACGGGATGGTGAGAGACCTTTCAGATTCCTCGAAGCTTGGCTGGGTTATGAGACGCTCTCTGACGTCCTCTCTAACTTCTGGAATGCGGCTGATTTCTTCCCCTTTGAGATCGGTCAACTCTCGTTGGCTTTACCGAAATGGAATAAAGAGGTTTTCGGTAATATTCTCCACATGAAGAGAAAGCTCTATAAGAAACTACGACAGCTTGAACTGAGAAATGAGGATCGCCCATCCCCAGATTCTTTGCGAGCAGAGGATGAGACTAGAAAACAGCTAGAGGAGATGCTTTGACAGGAAAATCTTCTTTGGATCCAGAAATCTCAAGCTTCATGGGTTGTGGATGGGGATAGAAATACTAAGTTTTTCCATCGGTCGACATTAAAATGAAGAAGATTTAACAAGGTGTTGGGTCTTCGTACAGGGGCAGGAACTTGGGTTTTTGACGAGATGGAACTTCAAGTTTTGGCCCGGGACTACTTCTCCTCCCTCTTCACGGCGGAAGCAAGTGCGGCTCCTGTGTTGCCTGCCAACTTTGAGCGAATTACCAGCAGAGAAGGGACGACCTTGACCCTCCCAATTTTGGAAGTTGAAGTCTTGCAAGCGCTTAAAGGTATGGGCAGGTTTAAAGCCCCCGGCAAAGACGGATTTCGTCCAGCTTTCTTTCAAAAATGTTGGAACAAGGTGGCCGCTTCTTTTTTCAGTTTTATTTTAGGCTGTCTGGAGAACCCTTATCGCACTGCTTTGGTGAACTCTACTTTGCTGTGTCTGATCCCCAAGAAAGAGAGTTCAGAATCCATCACGCACTTCCAGGCGATTGGTTTGTGTAACGTGATCTAAAAAACTTTTTGCTAAAGTTCTCGTTAACCGCATTAAGACCCTGATGCGTAATCTAGTCCATCCAACTCAAACAAGCTTTGTCCAGGGTCGTCATATCACAGATAACATCATAGTTTTGCAAGAGGTCATCCATTCCATTGGTCTCAAGAAGGGGAAGAAGGGTCAGATGGTGTTGAAAATTGATTTGGCCAAGGCTTACGATTGCATAAGTTGGAGCTTTCTGCGAGAGACTTTGGAAGGAGTGGGCTTACCCTTAAAGATCATTGACGCCATCATGCAGTGTGCCAGCTCTGCCTCGATGCAGGTTTTGTGGAATTGGGAACTTGATTGAGGAGTTTGTTCCCTCTCGTGGCCTGCGTCAAGGATGCCATCTCTCACCTTATCTTTTCACTCTCTGCATGGAGCGGCTTAGCCATACCATTGAGCAGGCGACTAGGGAGAAGAAGTGGAAACCTATTCGGACATCCCCAGGTGGACCCTATCTCTCTCATCTGTTTTTTGCCGACGATTTGATTATGTTTTCAGAAGCTTCCAAGGATCAAGGGGCAGTGGTGGCAGATTGTTTGGATCGATTTTGCCTGGCTTTAGGCCAACTGGTCAGAAAGGAGAAATTAGTTATTTTCTTCTCAAATAACACCCCCAGACAGATTAGTGCATCAATTTCCCGAGACCTAGAGATGAAAATGACCCAGGACCTCGGTCGGTACCTTGGTGTACCAGTCCTCCATGGATGGGTAAATAAGGAAACATATCGGTATATCCTGGATCGTCTGGACAAGAGACTCTCAGGATGGAAAGCGCGCAACCTCAGTTTTGCTGGCCGTGTCACCCTCGCGGTTTCAGTTATGAATTCGCTTCCAGCCTACGCGATGCAAACTATGCTACTGCCTCAATCCATCTGTGACTCTATTGATCGCAAAATCCAGAGTTTCATTTGGGGAGTTGCGAAAGGAAGGAGAAAGTTTCATCTGGTGAATTGGGAGGCGGTGTGTTGACCGAAGAAAGATGGAGGATTGGGTCTCCGTAGTGCCCACGAGCTCAACCTGACGTTCCTTGTTAAGGTAGCCTGATCTTTTGTAAAAAATGTCGATTAATTATGGATTCGTGTGCAGGGTAAATATTTCAGGAAAGTGGAGGGTGTTCTTGTGGCGAAAACCTCAACACGGATGTCTAATCTTTGGCGGGGGGTCAAGAAAGCTTGGCCGATCATGAAGATAAGAATGCACATGAGCATCAAAGACGGTCATACTACCTCTTTTTGGATTGACAGGTGGCTAGATAGTGGGGAGCTGCTCCTTGATTTAATCAATGAGGATGCTCCGGAAGTCGACCCGGCTCAACCGGTCGCCGCCTTCGTTAATCCAAAAGGTGAGTGGGACCTCCCTCGGCTCCAAGATTTACTTCCTGCGGAAGCTGTGTTGCAGGTTTTAGGTGTACAACCACCGCATCATCGGGAAGGAGACGACAAGATGACGTGGGGTCCGGAACGGGATGGTTGGTTCCAGGTGCGGACTGCTTACGACCTCGCCAAGGGAGAGGTGGACAGTTAGCGGGACCTTGACTAGAGATCAATCTGGCGGTGGCGAGGACCAGCACGGGTCAATCACTTCTTTTGGTTGGTAGTCCGAAACTGCCTACTCACAAACCAGGAACGCACACGACGTCACATTGCAACCTCCCCGCTCTGTACGCAATGCAAGCAACATCTAGAGACAGTCCTGCATGTGTTGCGGGGCTGTTCCTTTTCCAGGTTAACTTGGTTGCATCTCACTCAGCTCTCTGATCACCAAGATTTCTTTGACATTCATCTACAGGATTGGATTCTGCACAACATACACCATGAACATTTGGGCCTTGATTTTGGCATCATCTGTTGGTCTTTTTGGAGGACCAGGAACGATAGAGTCTTTGAAGGCAAATTCGTCTCCACTGAAACCTTTCTACACCGCGTCATGGCTTGGATAACTGTCGTGAGGCACACCATGGACAAAAATAGGCTTGTCCACACGCCTAGTCTGCCCGCCAGAACGGAGGTTGAGATCTCATGGAAGCCGCCATCTCCGGAGTGGGTTACTCTTAATTCAGACAGCTCCGTCATTCCTGAATTGGGTCACGCTGCAGCAGGTGGCCTTATTAGAGATCACACAGGATGCTGCCTTGCAGCATTCACTTATAACTTGGGGATTTGTTCTATCACCCGAGCGGAATTGATAGGCGCCGTAGAAGATCTTCAGTTGGCCTAGAACGGGGGCATCTCCAGGTTCGTGTGGACCTCGATTCAAAGTGCGCAGTACAGCTGCTACACAGCCCGAGCATGGATCAATGACATGCTGCCATCATTGATTGTTTCCAGGAGCTTTGTGCACGAGACTGGGAGGTCTCGTGTTACCACATTTACAGGAAAGTAAATAAATGTGCAGATTATCTGGCTAGTCGAGGGAATTCCCTGCCCTTGGGGTTTCATAATATTCCGGTGTCCGATCCTGCTTTGTGTGACTTTATCTTGTATGACTGTCAAGGCCTTTTTGTGCCTCGTTTTGTTGTGAATAAAAGCTGAGATGCATCCCATCCATTTAAATTTTGACTAGCATCATTTATCAAACAACATCACATGGTGGTATAGCTAGCGCCCTTTTATGCTTTTGGGTTGAACCAGCTCGACCGTATGGTCGAACCATGGTTAACAACCTTGGATATAATATAAAAGGTGTGTCCTTGGATCTTTGAATGTGGTATTAGTTTATGCATTAAGTTTTGGTTAATCCCACCCTATATAATACTAATCTCACAGCTATGCATTCTATATGTATTTTTTAGTGCAATTTAATGGGTTAGACAATTATACTTCCAAAGTATATGATGCTTAAGTTACTGATAGTGAGCTATGTGTATCTAGATTATGAATTACAAGGAGTTTATGGTATGATATTATATCCTAACTTTTAATGGATAAAATACACGTCTCGATGCTTCAGTTACTGCTAGTGAGCTATATCTATCTAGACTATGAATTAAAAGAAGTTTGTGGTATGGCAAGAGAAACTCTTAAAGTACCACTTTGGTAAGATGTGGAAAGACGTGGTCTCAAATTCGGTCGATTTGATGTAATATATCAATAATCTATTAAATTGGTATGTGTAACTGATAACACTTGAATTATACATATATTCACCTACACTTTTACATCCTAAAATGATCTAAATTGTACCAAGTTCATTTGAATTCCTGATTTTACACTTGGTTTTGTGTTTGAGTGATGTTTCAGGGTATTCTATCCAATAAAAATGAAAGAATGAGCCAATTCAACAAAAAGATGGTTAGGGTTCGAAATTAGGCGTCGGTGGAACTCGAGCCCGCAACGTCCCAAGCGAGGGCAAAGAGCCGTACCACTCAGGCTGTGTCCCCTTTTGGTGTCAATATACGAAATCCACCATGTATTATGGTGATGAATCGCGGAGAGAGAGGTAGTTAACAATGTAGAGTCAAACTGCAAACTGCAGAGTCAAATCGCCTCTTGCTAAACATAAGGAAAAGCTGTCAAAAGGGCCAGTGACACGCTAAAACATAACACCGAACTGCGACCAAGTGTAATCGCATTCCGGAAATGCAGTAAATGGAAAGCTCTATTTGTCAACTTGGGGCCTAGATCTACTGAATACTCCGTGATTATTTATTATCTAGCAAACTAAGTCGAGTGATTGTGGTTTTAAGTAAAAGAAGTAAGAAAGTAGGAAATGATTCGGTTTACTAAAGCAAGGGAAGAGTCACTCGGGAATGAGTCCCCCTAGATCCTTAGTTAGGTCACAGTTGTAATTACTTCTGGATGCTTTACTGTTGATTATACTGCGGAAGATCCGACAGTAGCTTGGAATCTCTTAAGCTGACCAAGCCCTCTCAGTCAAACTACCCGGCATACGACTAGTCTTCACCCGGATAGAGAGCTGAGGCTATGAACACATAACTCCACTACTGGAACTGAATTCCAGTACAACGCAGTGAATTGAATAACTCTCGTATAATCGATTCACTACTACCGATTGAAGAAGCTCTAATAACCTAATCAGATTCTATCTATCTCAGGTTGCAGCAGAAATCAATAAAAGATGAACAGGCTTCAATTGACTCAATCAACACACTTCAATCGATTAAAATCCAACAATATCACTATCCAAACGTCGTTACAACAATGATCCCTAACACATAGAACTAGGGTTCTTCATACCCAAGTGAGAGAGGGTTCTACTCCATAGAGAGAGAGGAAAACAGCAAACAAAACAGTCATACTCATCAAGATGGGAAGAATCTGCTCTAGGATGATGATCTTCACTCCAAGGATGATTTCCAAGCTTGATTGATGAAACCCAGCTCCAAAACCACTATTAGGGAGTGTTCTTCGCACTTTCTGTCTTTAGGCTCTGTTTATGCTCCAGAAAATCGATTCCCTCTCCTTCGGCTCGAAATTGGGTTAAAACCCAGAATTTCCCGACCACACGGCCGTGTGACCTTCCAGTATGCCCATGTGAGTGTCAAAACGCCACGTTTCACTTAGTACTCTTCAGGCACGCTGCACGACCAGAAGCACACGGTCGTGTGGATTTCCAGTCTGGCCGTGTGAGCTCCCTAGACTTTCCACACGGCCACAAAGGGTCTCATACACGGCCAGTGTGGCTTGGCCGCGTAATGGGATTCCACACGGCCGTGTGGCTGTTAGGTCTGGCCGTGTGGATTCCTCAGCTCCTCGCCAGACGTCCAACTTTAGTCCAATCGACTCGAAACTCGCTCCCAAACCTCCAATCACGTACTAGGACCTGAAATAAGACAAACGAGAACAACCTAACGTGAAATCGGCCTAAGATACGCGAAATGAGGCTCAAACGACATAATAATGGTGGATAAAACATGTGTATATATCAAGTCATCAGCCAGCGTGGGCATCAACATGGCCATCTTCACATACCATGTTCAGGGCAACACACCCTGGAACGTGGCCACGTTGAAGACCACGTCAATAAAAGTCAAGGAGCTTTCAAAGGGTCAACTTGGGCATCAACATGGCCATGTCCGAGACCATGTTAAAATCAACACACTCAGCAACATGGCCATGTTCACAGACCATGTTTAGTTCAGGGCAATACACCCTGGAACATGGCCACGTTGAAGACCACGTCAACAAAAGTCAAGAAGCTTTCAAAGGGTCAACGTGGGCATCAACATGGCCATGTTCGAGACCACGTCAACATCAACACCCTCAGAAAAATGGCCATGTTCATAGACCACGTTCAGGGCAACACACCCTAGAACATGGTCACGTTGAAGACCACGTCAACAAAAGTCAAGGAGCTTTCAAAGGGTCAACTTGGGCATCAACATAGCCATGTCCGAGACCACGTCACAATCAACACACTCAGCAACATGCCCATGTTCATAGACAACATTTAGGGAAACACACCCTATAATGTGGCCACGTTGACGACCACATCAACAAAAGTCAAAGAGCTTTCAAAGGGTCAATGTGGGCATCAAGATGGCCATGTCTGAGGCCGCGTCAACATTAACATACTCAGCAACATGGCCATGTTCACAGACAACATTCAGGGCAACACACCCTGGAACGTGGCCACGTTGAAGACTACATCTACAAAAGTCAAGGAGCTTTCAAAGGGTGAATGTGGGCATGAACACAACCGTGTTCCAGGCCGTGTTCATTTTGACTCGGGGAACACATTTACGATGCTATCGGTCGTTAGATCTAACACGGCCTGGGAACACGACCGTGTTTGTTGGGTACGTCGACCTTTTCTGCACATTTTAAGAGAGCAACCGACAGTTTCGTCCATCTACTATTCAACACGGCCTTGAACACAACCGTGTTCGTCGACCACGTTAAGTAAAAAAATCAGCCAATCAATCTCTGCCATGCTAACACATCGATTTGACGTCCAGCTATGAACACGACCGTGTTCCTAGACCACGTTAGAGTTGTTGCTGCCTATAAATAGAAGCTTGCAAGAGAAGAAGACACACCACACACCCCTACTTTCAGACCCTGGGTCTTTCTTTCTTTCTTTCTTTCTTTCTTGTGTTTGAAGTTAGCCAAAACTCTATCCATTTCGATTCCAAACTCTTGTTAATGTTTTCATCTCGTTAATCGTATCTCGTATTTCCTCCATCGTGGTTCTCATGTTTGTGTTCGTATTTGAGAATATCGTGTGTTATTAAGATTACCGAAGTAAGCTTCTGTTTTGTGGGGTTTTGATAATCATTTATTGGTAGATTGGTCGATTTCCACCATCTTCGCCTAAGGATTATCCCCCCGTCAGAAGTTTGCTAGGTGTAGTCTATTAACTCAATATATATCATATTCTCGGCCACTCCGTCTTTGTTGCCATCATCATCATGGTCATGTTCTCAACCTTCATCTTTCTAAATATCATCATGCCCGACTAATCTTCTAGTTGTTATGGATTTGATGAACCCTAATATGTTTTCAGCGGATTGAGTGGTAACTTTGACATAGATGTATTGTTCTAATTCTTACGATCTTTTCTCGACTTATCATGAGAAAGCATCAATAGTACACGTCTATTGCATATTTTGTATGATACATGTGAATGAGACTGCGAGGTAATTTGCATGTAAGATTTCTCATGAAAAGAAGGAATTGATCGGAGCCACCGGCGATGGGGTCACGTAGTTCCTCTGGATTAGCTTAAAAACCTAATATGGAAATTCACAAGTCCGGTTAATGATTTGGTTTAAGAGTCTTGTAAGCTACGGTTTCACTTGGTTTTTAAGTTGAAAGGGTGTTAATACACATGCGAATGGGTTAACGCTAAATTGGGAATTTTCACGGTCTAAGATATGAACACTCGTCTATGTTAAATTCAACTTGTCTGTAAAATGAATATTAGGGGGATTCACTTCTGGGACAACGCCTTCTTCACTTGATTTTACTTTGAAAACTATTTTATTGTGTTTTTATAATTGCATGTGTTTTTATATATAAACAAAATCACTAAAAACAATTGACTAAATAATAGGTGAAAGCCAAGTACTAGTACACATACTCTCTGTGGATACGACCTTGATTCCTGCTATATTCCTTGCCTATTTTTCCTGTGTGAGTTACGGGCGATCAAGTTTTTGGCGTTTTTTTCGGGGACTAAGTCATTTGAACAAGCTTTGAACTATTAATTTAGTCGCCTTTATTTTTCTTGTTATTTTTCATATACACTTGTTGCTTTCACGGGTTGTTCTTGTTTTTGTGCTTGAAATAGTGCATGACCCAAAACCACCCGAGTGGACTAGTCGACCTTGATCCCGATATCGAGAGAATCTTTCGTCAACGAAGAAGAGAGCAACAAATAGAGCCACAAACAATGGCAGAAGAGCAAGCCGAAGTCAACAATCGGGCTATGTCCGATTATTCCCGTCCTACCTTGGAGGGAACTCACTCAAGCATCCGGAGGCCCAACATCGAAGATAACAAATTCGAAATCAAGATTGGGATGCTTCAAATGACCCAAAATTGGGTGCAATTCAAATGGCCTACCCAACGAGGATTCCCAACTCTCACTTGAGGAAGTTCTTGGAGCACAGCGACACAATAAAGATAAATGGCACAACCACTGATGCCATCCGCCTTCAACTATTCCCATTCTCCCTCGATAATGGATCAAGGGAGTGGCTTGATGCACAACCACGAAAATCAATCACAACGTGGACGGAACTTGGCGATAAATTCTTGGCCAAGTACTTTCCTCCAAGAAAGACGTCGAAACTCCGTAGTGTCATTGCCACGTACCCCCAAGAAGATCATGAAACTCTTTATGACATATGGGAGAGGTACAAAAAAACCCTCAGAAAGTGTCCTCACCACGACGTTCCTCTTTGGCTGGAAATGCAAACATTCTACAATGGTCTCAATCCCGATACAAGGCAATCCATAGATACAGCGGCAGGTGGCACCATCCAAAACAAATCGCCCCCTCGCGTGGAACAACTAGTCAAAGATATGACAATGAACAACTATCAATGGTATTCGTCTCGAAACCCATGTCGACCGACACCAACTCGAAATGCTAGAACCCACCAAATTGATATGGTGATAGCCTTGGAAGCCCAGATGGAGTCACTAAACAAGAAGTTTGCAAATTTTGTCACCACGTACAAGGTATTCAAGTGTGAATGGTGCACTGGTGACCGCAATACCGCCAAGTTCAAGATGATCTCCTCATCATCCACCACCGAACATGTTGATTATATCAACAATCCTCAGAGGGGCGGGAATCCATATAGCGGCACATACAATCTGGGATGGCAAAACCATCCAAACTTCTCTTGTTCCAACCAAGGATAGCAGCATTGAAATGCCATTCATCCTCTATTCTCCAAATTTGGATTTTGAGGAATCATGCAAGGTCATGGAGTGCACAGGTAGAAAAGTGGTGCAATCGACTACTCCACCACCTTGCCACACAAACTGAGGAACGAGACAAGGATCAAGCACCACCAAAACCAGTTGTCCAACTGTATAAGCCAACGGTGCCATTCCCATCACGCCTACACCGCGACATGTTGGAAGAACAAGTAATGGAGGTTGGGAAGAATAAGAAGAAGGAGCAAGTGGTGTCCAAGATGAGGACAAGTGTTATTGAAGCATCCACGAGTTACAAGTGCTATCAAAGCTTTCTATCCGACCTCGATGCACTTTTGGAGGAGCACCCGTTTGCAACTCTTTGCCAAGCCAAGGCCAACCCCTCGGTGATCCCTCTTGACAGATGTGATGGAAGTCAATCGATGATGGACTACATAGTGTGGGGCAAAGAGAAAGAAGAAGAAGAGGCCTCGTGGGTGGAGCCTCAAAGCCGATCAAGTTCACGATCTCTCAATCATGAATTCATCCAATGCTCGTGGCTTGAGACTTCATCTGACCGACGAGAACCCCAACTTCAAGGAGGTTCTCGGATGGACCAAATTTTGAGGAGAAACCGTCAAGCTTATGACATAAAAGTAGCGCTTGTTGGGAGGCAACCCAATGAAGGTTTGTGTTTGTTTTTATGATAAGTACTATTATTTATTAATACCCTCGCATTGTGCGAGAATGTGTTTTTTGTAACACCCCGAATTTTGGGTTTTGGTTCGACCATAGTACGTGATCGGTTGGGTTGACAGTTGCGTACTAAAGGTTGCAATCGCGGATCAATAGTAATAATAATTATTATTATCATTATTATTACTATTATTGTATATAAAAAAAGAGCAAGGGGGCCGAGAGGTAGAGGGCCGCCCCAAGCCCCAAACCCTCGTCCCTTTGTTATAAAACCTAACCCCCCGCCTCCCTTTTAACTTTTCCCAAACCCGACCCTCCAGCTAAGCCCCAAAACCCTTGCTATTTTCCCCACGCCGCTCGTCCAATTCCCGAGAGCAGTGGTAAGGAAACCCCGCCCCAATCCAACAGCAGCCGCCTCCAATTATTCCACCCTCGTCGATCCCTTCCATTCCCCAAAGTCGCGCATTCAATCCTTCCGCCAGCCAAGAAATCGCCGCCAAGAGACACTCGGCCAACAAATCCCCACCACCACCAATCCGAGGAAGAAAGTAGGAGTCGACAGTCAATCCTGATCCCATCCCTTTCGCGTTCTAGAAGTAAGGGAACCCGATCCCTTTGAATTAGATCGATTAATTTGGGGATTTTTCGTGAGGGTGCAATTCTGAGGTTTTAGATACAGACGTTCAGGCCTTTAGTGACAGAATTTGGGTGGTCACTAAAGCTGCTGGGAATTTTCAGGAGCATGTTTTAGGTGGCTTTAATTGTTTCGAATCTTTACGAGGGTTTGTTCTTGCGTTTAAATTTTTTATAAATTGAGGCAGGTCTAGGAGATGGATTTAAATTAATTTGGGAATTTTTTAAGATGTATTTCTAATTTTAGAAATTGTTCAAACGCTCGTTTTAATTAAATAAAATTATTTCCTAGGAGTATTGGACGATTTGATAATTTTCCAGGGTATAAGTATTCATGATTGGTGTAGGAAAATTATGATCCGAATTTTTAAGAAGGTTCAAGTTAGGTGGAAAATTCGTCCAAGACTATAATAATTAGGGAAAGTGGTTGGTTTTGAAGGGATTGTTTTTAGAAAATTTTAAAAGTGGGTTAAGAGACCATGGGAGCGAGTCTTGAGGGCTGGTTGGGGAGGAGAGGACGTTCGAGTGACCCAAAAGGGAATTCTAAATCGAGAAAGATCGACTAAGGAGATGACCTTCTTATTAATAGGTTCACCGAGATAATTCGGCTAGGAGGAATTTCTTCGAGTAAGGAATCGAGGAGTCAGCTTTACAAGGTGAGTGTAAAGGGGGTAAATTCTATGCCTTACGTGTTCTTTCAAGAATTACAAGTCTTGCGTATTTTGATGAAGTGAATGTCGTTGTTTGATTGTGCTTATGGTTGATGATATGTGATTTTGTTTGAGCTATGATTGATGTGAATGTGCATGAGTTCTTATTTAAATTTAAGCTTTAAGTTTATAAGCTATTGTTGAAGTTAAGAAACAAGTTCTTTTTAAGAAGTAACCCACCTTCAAGAAGGTGAAGTCGTTTTAAGTGTTTTTAGTCACTAGCGCTAGTCCGTTGCCTTTTGAGACAGTTTGAGATAGAGCAGCAGTTATGCTCTTGAGATTTTAAGATGGCTGATAACATCGGATTTGCACATGTTTGCACCCTCGTTTCTTGATCATTTTGGCTTGAGTTTCTGCTTTCTTGGAATATTTTACGCTAGGTTGTGTTCCTTTGTCACATTTTAGGTCCTAGCATGTGAATTGAAGCATAGGCGCAAGTTTCAAGTCAATCGGAGATCAGTTGGCAATTTGGGAAAAGAAACACGAGCATGACCTGAGGAATAATGGACTTCTACCTCATATTGTGGACAAATAATCATGGAATTTTGTCATGAAAACAAAGATGACGAGACTAGGAGCGTCTGGGATCAAACGGCGACTGATTCGGAGTCCGAACGAGGGAGAAACAAAGCATTAAACAGAGGCTGAGCAAGCCACACGGGCACACCTAAAAACCCACACTGCCGTGTGACCTGGCCATGTGGCCGTGTGGGATTTACCGAGCACTCACACGGGCATCCTGGAGAGCCACACGGCCGTGTGGCCCCTGCCCATGTAGCTTGCCTGGTTGCCAATTAATCGAAACTCCGCGTTTAGGCACTCACACGGGCAGCTGGGTAAGCCACACGGCCGTGTGGCCTGGCCGTGTGAGTCGGGAAATTCAGGGTTTTAACCCAATTTCGAGCTAAAGGAGAGGGAGAGCTGGGTTTTGGTTCCCAAACACCCAAGGGACGAACCCTAGAGAGAGAGAGAGAGCGACTTGGGAACATTCTTGGAGCTATTTTGGAGGATTTCTTCACCATTGGAGCTCGGGAATCAAGCTTGGAGATGGAGATTGAAGATCTAGATCAGATTTCTACAGTCTCTCTCTTCTCTATGGAGTAACTTCCCTTCACTTAGGTTTTGAGGAACCCTAGTTCCATGTGTTAGGATCTTTCTTGTATGAAGTTTTGGATGCTATATTGTTTGATTATAATCGATTTGAGTCATGATTTATAGAGTCAATTGAAGCCTGATCATCTTCTCTTGATTTCTGCTTTAACCTATGATAGATAGAATCTGATTAGGTTAAGAGAGCTTCCTTGATTGATAGTGGTGAATTGGTTGTGCGAGAGTCAATCAATTCACTGCTTTGTACTGGAATTTATTCCAGTAGTGGAGATCTGTGTGAATCACCTTAGCAGTCTATCCCGGTGAAGGCTAGTCGCCTGCCGGGTATTCTGTCTAAGAGGGCTTGGTCAGCTTAAGAGATTCCAAGCTAATTTAGGATCTTCCGTAGTTTAATCAACAGTAGATCAACCAAAGGTAATTGCAACTTAGACCTAATTGAGGAGCTAGGGGGAATCATACCTAAGTGAGTTCCCAACTTGTAATTAGTAGAGTAGTTTAATAAATGAATCCTTAATCTAGTTTGCTAGATAATGAACTGAAGCTGAGTAATAGTAACTCTAGAGACCAGTGGATTCGATATTTATTACTTGTGCCACTATACTGCAGTCCCTTTCATTGGTTACACTTGGCCATTGTTAGGTATTGTGTCATAGCGTGTCAAGTTTTTGGCGTCGTTGCCGGGGAATCCTGTAGGTTATTGGGGAAACGTGAAAATTTGTTACTCTAGCTTTTTCTTTATTGCATTTTATCTCTTCCACCTGTGTGCCTTCACGGTTGTTTCTGCTGATTGTGTGCAGGTAGTGCATGACCCGTAGCCAGTCAGAAGATCTACTACCATTAGACCAGGAGCTTGAACAAACCTGCAGGAACTTCAAGCGGGCTCTAAAGGCGCGACTGGCTGCGGAGGAGGAGCTAGCACAACTGCAGATCGCTGAAGAAGAAGAGATGGGTGATCCACAGGACCATGATGTGGTCCTTCCCGAGGAGCAGACCATGGGATATTACTGGACCGCCAGACCCGCGGACATGAGGTCACCCATTCAACACCCTCATGTCCCAGCCAACAACTTTGAGGTGAGCACCTTCGTCATCACAATGCTGCGCGGTTCAGTGGTGTTCCGGGGCAAAGAGGGGGAGTGCCCCCGATCACATCTCAGGCGACTCCACGAGCTCATCGATGGAATCAAGATAAATGGGGTCCCTGCAGATGCCATCCAGCTGAGGTACTTCCCGTTTACTCTAGAGGGACAGGACAAGGAGTGGCTAGACACTCGACCTTCAGGCTCTATCACCACGTTCGCCAACCTGGCGGACAAGTTCCTCACCCGCTACCATCCTCCATCCAAGACGGCGGACCTGCAGAAGCAAATTACCCATTTTGCTCAGGATGAGGATGAGACCATCAGGGATGCTTGGGAGAGATACACCAGTCTCTTCCTCAAGTGTCCTAACCATGGTTTTACTGATGCCTTCAAGGTGGTTACCTTCTACCATGCCCTCTTCCCGGAGGACAAGTAGCTGATTGATTCGTTCTATGGCGGGAATATGCTCACCAAAACACCGCCCCAGCTGAATCAAATTTTTGAGGAGATGGCAGAGCAGGGCTATGACTGGGGAACTGCAAGGAGATCGAGACGAGCACCAGGACGGGGTGTGCATGTTGTATCCACCCAGTCATCTGATCTGGAGCAGGTGGTATCGAAGCTGGTTTCAGCTATTGATCGTTCCGGGATGATTGCAGGTACCGGAAAGCAGCAGGCGATGCTCTGCCAGTGGTGTGAGAGTTCTCATCACACCGTGGAGGATTGCCAGGCGATGAGGGAGTCTTCTACTCCCCAGGAGCAGCTAGGCTTCATCGGCAATGCCAGGCGCTTCGACCCCTACAGCAACACTTACAATGAGGGGTGGCGCCAGCATCCCAACTTCTCCTGGGATGGGGCAAATTCCAGACCACCAGTCCCCCAGGGACCACCTGGCTTCCAGAGGCCTCCTTACCAACCCAGACAAGGGCAATTTCACCAGCCACAGCTGCCACTCTACCAGCCCAGACAGGGGCCAGTTCCATCTCAGTCACAAGTGCAGCCATTTCAGCAGACAGGGCCAGCACCTGCAGCCCCAACACAGAGTGACCCGATGGCGGAACTGCGAGATCTGGTGGGTTCTCTGGCCAACTCCAGTGCAAACAAGTTCAATAACATCGAGCAGTTCATGGAGAAAGCTTCAGGAAAATTCTTGGAGCTAGAAGCTGGTCAGAGAAACACGTAGGCTGTGCTTCGGGATATCCAGACCCAGCTTGGGAGTGTTGCCCAGGCTGTAGCTCAGAGGACTCCTGGTACTCTACCCGGCCAGACCATCCCTCATCCGCAGAACCCGAATGAGCACTGCGGGGCCATTACCACCAGGAGTGGCAAGGTGACTTCCGATCCACCTGTTCGGGCAGAAGAGAGAGACCCCTGCTTCAACACTTCCAGCTAATGAAGAGGAAATGGAGAAGGAGGTTGAGGTGCCTGCTCCTAAACCGCAACCAATGGTGAAGGAGTATGTACCCCAGCTCCCCTTTCCTACTCGGTTGCACAAGGACCGACTAGAGACTGAGTTTGCCAAGTTCATGGCAATGCTAAAGCAGGTGAATATAAGCATGCCCTTCGTGGAGGCATTATCGAAGATGCCCAAGTATGCCAAGTTCATGAAAGATCTCCTCACCAACAAGAGGAAGCTTGGGGAGCTGTCAACAGTGATGCTCAACGAGTAATGTTGTGCCATCCTGCAGAACAAACTACCAGAGAAGCGAAAAGACCCAGGGAGTTTCACTATACCTTGCATGATTGGTAGTTTGCATATAGGGAAGTCCTTGGCGGATTTAGGCACTAGCATAAATGTCATGCCATATAAATTGTTTAAAAAGCTAGGCCTAGGTGAACCCAGTGATACTAGGATGAGCATTCAACTTGCTGATAGATCCATTGTGCATCCTAGGGGCATTGCAGAGGACTTGATAGTCGCAGTAGGGCCATTCTCTTATCCTGTTGATTTTGTGATTTTGGACATAAATGAGGATGTGGATGTGCCATTGATATTGGGTAGACCTTTTCTCGCCACCGCCAAGGCGCTCATTGATGTGAATGATGGAAAACTGATTTTGCGAGCTGGGGGTGAACAAATCACCTTCTCTGTTTCTGATAATATGAAACACCCCCAGCTCCATGATGATCCTGATTACTATGATGTTGTTGCTGATTTTGAGACCACACTCGCCATCACGAGTGCGGGTACTGATGATTTCCTTGAGCGTTGTCTTTTTCTAGGGGAACAGGCATCACAGGACGTGC